ACACACCTGAAGGGGCAGGACCCTCAGGGGGGAGGGGGACTACCGGGGGGGGACCTGGTACCAAGAAGAGCGGGGGCGGGGGGAGGGACGGAGTGCGGTAGGGGAAGAGGCGGTAGTAGGGTACCGACTCGTCGAACGTGACGTCCTGGGAGGACAGAACACGTCGAGAGGAGGGGTGGTAAAACTGCCACCCAGGGGCGTCGGGGGGGAACCCCAGGAAGACGCAGGGAGAAGCACGAGGGGACAGCTTGTCCGCAGACAGGTCGCGAACAAACGCCCGAGATCCCCAGACCCGGAACGCCGACGCATCGCCAACCTTCCCCGTCCACAGCAGGGCTGGGGAGGTCTCCGGTCGAGAGACCCTGGGGTGGAGGTTGATCTGGTGCGCAGCGTAACTGACCGCAAACGGCCACAGAAAATGGGGAGCAGCCGCATGCATCATGGACGTACGAGCGACGTCCATGACCATGCCAATGCGGCGCTCAGCAATCCCATTCTGCTGTGGTGAGTCCGGAAGCGTGAAGGTCTGACGGATGCCTCGCGCACGACAGTAGGCACTCAGGAGGCCAGAGGAGAACTCTCCGCCTCTGTCCGAGTGCAGACGCAAAACAGGGAAGTCAGAGCCAAAGCTCCTCCGAAGCTGGAGACGAGCTGCGCGGATCCAGTCGATCAACACCTCAGTGACCTCACCCTTGCTGCGCAAGGGGAAGACTGTGGTGTAACGCGAGTAGTCGTCAACCACCAGCAGGAAGTAGCGCTCCTGACCCTGTCCACGGACGCGGGCTGGGCCCCACACGTCCATGTGAAGCGTCTGCAACGGGGCCTCTGTCGGAGGAAACCGGGAGGAGTGAGGGGCAGCACGCTGGCGCCCCTCGACACAGGGGACACAGGTGGGGCCAGGGCCCGGAGGAAGGGGAGGGAGAGACCGGGGAAGACCAGACACAAGGACTCGCGAGGCCATGCCTCTGAGCCGAAGCAGAGAGGGGTGGCCAAGGCGGTGGTGCCAGAGGAGGGTCTCGTGAGACAGACGACGGCACGAGCAGGGGGCAGACTCAGGACCAGACCTGGACGCTGCAGCAAACACCTGACCAGACTCAGCACCTGGAGGAGAAGCAGTGGTCAGTGTGTACAGGCTCGACCCTGGCCGACGTGTAAACGTAGCCAGGTGGCGACCTGTATCCGCCTCCGTGCAGTGGGTCACCCGCTGACGAGCAGGGGTGAACTGGTGGACACCCGCATCCTGGAGGTCAGCACCACTCACCAAGTTCGTCGAGAACGAGGGGAGGTAAAGACCAGTCAGGGTGCTAGAGGGGGCCGCCGGACACGGGAGGACAGTGGAGAAGCGAGACAGGACAGGCCCCCCAGAGGGGTCAGCCAGGGACACCGCAACCGGCCGACTCAGCGGCGTGAGAGTGGTGCGGTCCCTAAAGAAGGAGCGAGACGCTCCAGAGTCAAGGGTGAAGGTGTGAGAGGCCGAAGCCGACACAGTACCTGAGAGGGCAGACTCACCAGCACCTGAGAGCACAGACGCATTGGCACCTAGAGCAGCAGCCTCACTAGTACCTGACGCGGCAGTACCAATGCCCGGGTCGGGCGGGAAACACCGGTAACAGTCATCCTCATCACTACCAATCGCAGCATACATAGCAGAGAGAATATCATCAAAATCAAGATCATAAATAGCTACACCAGCCCTAGACAGCTCTCCCCAGCGGGGGATCTCAGCTGCCTCTAGAAACTGCTGACGCCAGGCGTCAGTCAGGCGGCCAAAGCAGCGGCGGGCTGTGTGGGCGCCTCCACACCTCTCCCCTGCACGGTCACCGGTGCGAAGAACGTAGGGGCAAGGACCAAGCGCACCACCACGCTGACGCTGCGAGTACCACTCACGGAGCTGCTGAGGGGCGGGGACGGTGCGAGAGCGCTGCTGCTGCTGTGGCTGCTGCTGCGGCTGCTGCTGCTGCTGCTGCTGGCGCTGACCACCCCCAGAGCTGCTCCGCTGGGACGAGCCACTCCGACCCCCGCCTCCACCGCCACCCCCGCCTCCACCGCCACCCCCGTCTCCACCTCCACCTCCCCCACCAGGACCGTCGCTCCCACCGCTCCCACCGCCTCCTCCGCTACCACCTCCGCCGCCACCTCCGCCTCCACCGCCGCCACCAGTACCTCCACTCCCGCCACCACCCCCACCGCCACCCCCACTCCCCCCGCCACCCCCACCGCCTCCTCCACCGCCCCCTCTAGCTCCACCCGCTCCCTTGCCCCCCTTGCCCTTGCCAGAGCAGCGTCTGCCGCTGGGGGCAGACGCCGCGCCGACCGACTCAAAGCCAGTGAGGTCGGCCGCAGCGGCAGAGGCGACAGAGGGCAGCAGGGGGGAAGGACCACACCCCTCAAAGATGGGGGTGCGAGGGTCACCCCGAGAGGCCCCTACAGCGACAATACTCTTCTCAGCCGCTAGCAGGGACTCCTCAAGGAGGTCGACAGTGAGAGTGGTGGGACAGACAGAGAGAAACTGGTCCCTAACGACACGAAGGGACTCAGGGAGACGGGTGACGAGAAAGTAGAGAGTGATGTACATGGGAGGAGGGTTCGCAGCGCGGAACTCAGCAGGAAGGGCAGCGCGGTAGCGGGTGTCACTAGCACGGAGGTGGGTAACGAGGTCAGCGACAGTGGGAAAGGAAGCGAGGTCAGGGAAGAGAAACGGTAGCATGAGGCGGCTAAGGGTAGCGGAGGAAGGGGAGGAGTAGCGTGCAACTACAGCGTCGTACAAGGCCTGGGCGGTCTTGCACTGACTAAAGTGGGCACGCTCAGAGGAAGGGAGGTGGCGACGCACAGCAAGACGTGCAGCAGCATCGCGGGTCGCCCACTTGGAGCGAACGGCAGAGTCAGCATCAGCAGGTGGGGCAGGGACAGCGCCAGAGACAAAGTCAAAGAGAGAGACCTCATCTATCGCATCACACAGTAAGTACAGCTGCAGGTCTTCAATCCAGACGGCAAAGTCAATGGCCCTCCCCTCAGCGTCAAAAGTAAGAACATTGGGGGTGGCCATGGCAGCAGCTGAAAGTCTCACCGTGCTGGGAGAGTCGGGTAGGTCAGCAGCAGAGGAACACAGCTCAGGAACAGCAGCACGGCTCCTCAGGCGGCTCGGGCGGCTCGGGCGGCTCGGGCGGCTCGGGCGGCTCGGGCGGCTCGGGCGGCTCGGGCGGCACGGGCGGCTCGGGCTGCTCGGGCGGCGGCTCGGCCGCAGCTCAGCGTCGGCTCGGGCGGCGGCTCAAGTGGCCCGGGCGGCGGCTCAGGCGGCGGCGGCTCGGCGGCGGCTCGGCTGCTGCTGGGCGGCTCGGCTGATGCTGGGCGGCTCGGCGGGGCCGCGTAGCAGAGGGCGGCGGGGCCGCGTAGCAGAGGGCGGCGGGGCCGCGACCGAAGAGGGCGGCGGGGCCGCGTAGCAGAGGGCGGCGGGGCCGCGTAGCAGAGGGCGGCGGGGCCGCGATCGAAGGGCGGCGGGGCCGCGTAGCAGAGGGCGGCGGGGCCGCGTAGCAGAGGGCGGCGGGGCCGCGTAGTAGAGGGCGGCGGGGCCGCGTAGCAGAGGGCGGCGGGGCCGCGTAGTAGAGGGCGGCGGGGCCGCAATCGAAGGGCGGCGGGGCCGCGTATTAGAGGGCGGCGGGGCCGCGTGGCAGAGGGCGGCGGGGCCGCGTAGCCGAGGGCGGCGGGGCCGCGATCGAAGGGCGGCGGTGGGGCCGCGTAGCAGAGGGCGGCGGGGCCGCGATCGAAGGGCGGCGGGGCCGCTAGGGAAGGGCGGCGGAGCCGCTAGGGGAAGGGCGGCGCAACGGGCCGCTAGGGGTGACACGACGGGTCGCTAAAAAAAAACGCGCCTCGGGGCGCGGTTCGGTGGGCCCTAGAAGCAGTCCCTAGGAGGGAACCTGCTCTGATTCCATGTGAAAACAAAGAACGAGAATGAATGACTATGAAGTGAAGTGAATACAAATAGGAAACCCTAATGTGTTGTACCCCCTATGGGATACCCCACTATAGCCTACACAAACAAGTAAGCTATATGTTCTGACAGGACGAGATGATGATCGGCTCATCCGAACGTGCAGCTGCGTTTGTTGGTGCGTGGGATGTCGTCGGTACGTTCATCGTGGATTGTTGACGGGCGGAGTCACGTTCCGCCGTGAGGGTCGCGATTTCAAGCGCCAAATCCTCCAGTTGACGCACGAGACGATCAAGTTGCTCCTGCGTCAATGTGGCGAGCGTGAAATCGGCCATGGCGGGGGTGTCGGGCAAGCTCAGCGAGAGCCTCGGTCGTGGCCGTGCGTGCTTGCGAGAGAGCACTACGAGCGGCGGTGCTGTATCGCTGAGAGACGTCTACCCCCCCCAAAAATTGAGATAGTGGGGAAGTGAAGGTGTGGATGTGGTCCGAGATGGGACCGTAGGCTCTGAATACCAAGTGTTACGAGTGCAATGGAGTGAACGAGCGAGAATTGCACTATCGAAGCAAGAGTACAATGAGCGAAGGTATGAGCGAAGAATATATAGCGAAACTACAGTGGTAACGGTAATGGTCGCGCGACGAGCCTGGAACTGAGGTTGGGAACGTGTCGAAGCGTAGGCCCGGAGCGCGGGTTACCAGCCGAGCCGTGAGGTCGGGATGCGATGTGCGAAAATGGCGGGATGATGAATGATGCGATGGTTGTGAGTGGTAACGGTGCTGACTGAGGTGCTACAGTGGTGTACGCGTTGAGCAGAGATGCGAAGTAAGGAAAAGGGAATTTCCTTACACTCATGAACATCCTCGTAGCACCCCCGAGATTCACGGTTGGTCGAGCTAGTTCATGATCATCATGGTTCAAACGCTATGACCGTGAAGCTTTCAGCTGTTTGTGCAGGGTCCATGGGGTGATGGCCTATCCTGCTCCGTGGTTTTTCTAACGGAGACAAAGCTCCTGACCTACGTTGTGTAGTATCTGATTGCTATAACGAAGGCGGTCATCGATTTAGCCGCCATGCCTCTAAGTCGTACGGCCTCGGCCGCTCTGCCTTTCCTGATAGGGATTCTGGCAGGCGCTACGTTATTGACAATTCAGCAGATTATGACCGGAGGGAACATTTCGTTCCCCATCGCTTCTTCGTCCCTCTTTGCTTTCATGAATCCAGACAACCAATCCGTCTCGCAACACGTGGGAAACCCTGATTGGCTGGCCTCTTCTGCTTCGACCTTCGCTGCTAATGAAGAGATTCGTTATAACACGGACGCGGGACCTGTAGAAAGCAAGCTGAACGTGCATCTGGTAGCACATTCACACGATGACCTGGGATGGACGAGCACCATTGACAAGTACTACGTGAGTTCCCTCTCCCAGAAGGTCCAGAAACTCCCCTGAACTGAGCCTGTTCTCGTGAAAACGATTATCACACTGTGTAACAGTCATCTGTGACTTTCAGATTGGTACACTAATGCACGATATTATTCATTTTGAAAATCTTATTGTGAATGTGTGCAGGTTACATCAGTACAGTACATTATCGAGACTGTCATTGACCAGCTTGAGGCAAACCCTGACCGCAAGTTCATTCAGGTGGAGCAGGTGAGAGTGGCCAGCGTTGGGAACCAACAGTGTGTTTTTGTAACGCTGACCATGTCAGTCTAGCTAACCGTGAAACGTTTCATACTAATCTCAGGCTTAAAGTGTTCATTAATCTCAGGAGAAACATGTCGTTGGGATATTCAACCTTTGTCAGTTTGATTCTAGGCTAACCATCCATCTCAGGCTGTTCATGTCGCACATTCAAACTTATCATGACTTCAGTTCCAGAATAGCCTTGTCACATCAAACAATCTGAGGTGAACCAGGATAATTTTCCAACGCTCCCTCCTTTCGTTCCAGGCATTCTTCTATCGATGGTGGCAGCAGCAGCGAGAGGTCATGCGCAAGAGAGTGCGTGCTCTGGTTGCATCAGGTCAACTCGAATTCGTGTACGCCAGTTAACCTCATTCTCATTGTCATCGTTTAGAATCTACTCCTTTGATTGTTGGCTCTAATGATTTACCTGCCTTCAAAATGGTAAAGGATACAAAAACGGATAATCAATAAGAGTGAAAGTCATCTTCCACTGAAGTTTTTTTCGTCTGAATCTGCAGTAACTTGTTGTCTATTCTATTTGCTCCTGCTTACATGACAGCAACGGAGGGTGGGTGATATACGAGGAGGCCACCACACAATACACTGACATGGCCCACCAGATGTCAATTAGGCTGCGCTTCATTCTCTCCCCTCCCCCACTCCCCCCTCCCATGCCCTCACTTGCCTCGTGCGCGCAGCAACGGAGGGTGGGTGATGCACGACGAGGCCAGCACACACTACACCGACATGGTCCACCAGATGTCGCTGGGGCTGCGCTTCCTGCGCTCCGAGTTCAACGTCACGCCGCGCATTGCATGGCAGATTGACCCGTTCGGCCACTCGGCAACTCAAGCCAGTCTCATCACTGCTCAGGTGGGAAGGGGAATAGGAAGGAGGGTTTCTGGTTTACCCACGTTACATAATTGTTCTTTCCATGTAGTACCTTTTGACTCCACGGACCTCCCTCTGTAAATATAACATTTCCCCTCAACTCGATCCGCCCCCTCTCCGCCTCCTCCCACCTCCCACGTGCTTCCTCAATCTTTCTAACCTGCTGTTTGTGCCTGTATACTGTTGAGCCTCGCATATGAGCAGGCTGGGTTTGATGGAATATTTTTCTCCCGGGCAGACTATCAAGATGTTGCCAATCGACAACAAGAAAAGAAGGAAGAGTTTGTGTGGCGCGCATCTAAAACATTTGGGAAATCGGCCCAGGTAAGCACTCTTCTGCAAAGTCGGGGCTTTCATGGCATTCTTGCATGTAAGGACTGCTGTTGTCACACCATATTCTTCTTATTCTTGTACCCACTTTCAAGAATCTTTACAACCTGGCTGTCTTGACCAGGTGTTTGGTGGGCACCTCTATTGGATGTACGATCCTCCTCCCGGGCTTGATTGTGAGGACCTTAATTTTCCACCGTTTGTCCAGGTAAGACAAAGCACATGCCGAGCATGTGTGGGGCGACATGTGTGGTATGTGTGTGGTGTGTGTGTGGTATGTGTGGAGCGTGTGTGGGGCATATGTGGGGCATGTGTGGGGCACGTGTCAGGCAAAGACACATGCCAACACGCCTGTCTTTCAGTTTCCCCAATTTCCCCCGCACTTCGGCAACAGAAAAAATTCATCTGTGATGATCTTGTCCGCCAGCTCTAAGCTTTGGTCCCTTCCTGGACTCCTCGTTACAGGATGATCCGCAATCAGGGGAGTCAAACATCCGGAAGCTTGTCGGCCTGTTTGTCCAGCAAGCTTGGGAGCAGGTATGACTGGATGCTCGTGCGTAAAGCGTCTCCTGTCAATTGCTGCACTGCAAATGTGCATGCCTGAACAACGTCTTTGTGATTCTTGAAATACATGTCCATCCATGCTTGCTCCGACCAACCACATTATGCTCACAGCTGTGACAGCCCTTGTCAGGATGTGCTTCTTCCCTGTGCCTATCTCCAACCCCTCATGTGCAGGCAAAGGTGACGCGGTCGAACCATGTGATGTTCACCATGGGGAAGGACTTTGCCTACTCCAACGCCATCATGTGGTTTAAGAACATGGACAAGCTCATTCACTATGTCAACCTGGTATGCTGGAGTGGCACGGTGTGGTGTGATGCAATGCGGTAGGGTAATGCTTCATGTGGTTCAAGAACATGGACAAGCTCATTCACTAAGTCAACCTGGTCAGTGGCATGTTGTGGTGTGGTGTGGTATGGTGTGATGCGACGTAGGGTATGGTATGTGAGGGGAGTCGACGCTTTTTGGGGGGACTGTGAGGGGAGTCGACGCTTTTTGGGGGGGCTGTGAGGGGAGTCGACGCTTTCTGGGAGGGCTGTGAGGGTAGTCGACGCTTTTTGGTGGGGCTGTGAGGGGAGTCGACGCTTTTTGGTGGGGCTGTGAGGGGAGTCGACGCTTTTTGGGGGGGCTGTGAGGGGAGTCGACGCTTTTTGGGGGGGCTGTGAGGGGAGTCGACGCTTTTTGGGGGGGCTGTGAGGGGAGTCGACGCTGCCCTGGGGCTTGAGTCAACTCAAAAAGGCCCATCTTCTTGTGCAACGTGTGTTCATCCACCCCCTCACCCCTGCCGGGATGGTCGGGTCAACATCCTCTACTCGCTCTGCCATGCCATGCCATGCACGTCCCCTCTGCAACGTGTGTTTTCATCCACTGCCAGGACGGTCGGGTCAACGCCCTCTACTCCACGCCCTCAATTTATCTGGACGCCAAGCAGCAAGCTGAGGAGACCTGGCCGGTCAAGACTGGCGACTTCTTCCCGTGAGTAGTGCATGCATTGCAGTGCTCATGCTAATGCAGCCTGCTCTTGAGGCAAGGCAGCATGCTGACAAGACTCGTCGTCCTCCTCCTTCTCATCCTCTTCCCCCCTACCTCCCCACCCCGTTCTTTCCTCCTCCCCCATGCATCTATGCCGACGCACCGCACGCCTACTGGACCGGCTTCTACTCTTCCCATCCAGCCTTCAAGCGCTACGTGCGCGTGTGCAGCTTTTTCTGAGATTTGAGACGTCTTAACACCCTTCCACCCCCTTCTTTTCCCCTCCCCACCCACACCCCCACCATGCAGATATGCTGATGCACCGCACGCCTATTGGACCGGCTTCTACTCCTCTCGCCCAGCCTTCAAGCGCTACGTGCGCTCCTGCAGCGCGCTGCTGCTAGCAGCAAGTATTCTGGAAGCAGCAGTGGGGCGAGAGGCCCTGCAAGCATGGGGAGGCGACACCGACGGGATGAATCTTGTGGGATCTGGCGCTGGCAGAATGATGGTCGCGAGTTTCCATCCCTCGGAGGCGCCTAGTGTGGCAACTGGGGAGGGTGGGAGTGGCGGCGGAGACAGCAATGCTGGTGCAGGATACGGGTCTGCTGCTGCTACTGGTGCCGGTGGTGGTGGTGGTGGGGATAGTAATGGTGGTGTTCCTGGTGCTGGGAGCCGGGAGGCTCGGGCCGCGTCGACAGCATCGCTGGGGGAGGCAGTGGCAGTGGTGCAGCACCACGATGCCATCACAGGCACGGCCCAGCAGCACGTGAATGATGACTACACACTCCGCCTGCACCGAGCAGCACAGGAGGTGAGAAACTGGGAGGTTGGAGGTGTTGGAAGGAGTGGGAGAAGGGGGCTGAGATGACAGAGCAGCACAGGAGGTGAGGAATTGGGAGGTTGTTTGGTGGTAAGCGCACTCAGACCAAGGAATCGCACACCATGCATATCCCTGAACCCCTTTTCCACAGTTTTCCCTCACTTGTTCCCCCACCTTGTTTCTCCTGTTCCTCCTCTTTTCCCCAGCCTGAAGCTCTGACTCTGTTTTCCCCTCACCTGCCCTCCTCTCCCCACGCCAGGCCTCCACTGTTCTCACCAGCGCCCTGGCATACCTCATTCTGCACCCGCCGCCTCCTCTTTCTCCCTCGCCTCCCACCGGCACCAACTCCTCTGCACCAGGTCCCACCCATGCGGCGCCTGCTGCCACTCCCGCCAATAGGCCTGCTGCAGCTGGCACCGGTGCTGCTGCCACCGCTGCCGCCGCCGCCGCCGCCGCTGCCACTGCTCCTAGTGTCACTCCCCAGGAACCTGCCACTGCTGGTGCGGATACTGCTGCTGCTGGTGACGAGCCTGCTGCCCCAGATGCGGCTGTGCCTGCAAACACTAGCGCAACGCCACATCGTGCTCCTCTTGAAACACAGGGCTCATTGCAGGAAGAAGGTATTAACAGGGGGAGGCGGTTGCAGGAGAAGCCGAAGCTGCTGCTCGAGACGGTGAGTGGGGATTGAAGTGTGGTTGGTGGGAGGATTGGTGATGGAAGAGATTGGTTTGGTGACGAGCCTATTTCTTGATGAAGAGCTGCATGTTTCAGCAGCTCTTACACCCTTGATGGGACTGTTTTCCTTGTCATCTCTCCCAGATGTCTGGAAACTTCTGCTTTAAACTTGTGCATGTTTCAACAGAGAATTCCCCTTCCTACTCCCTCCTCCTCTCCCCTTTTTCCTGCTCCCTGCAGTGCCCTCTGCTGAACATCTCCTTCTGCCCACCCTCGCAGTCTGGTCTTGAACCCGGCAAGACCCTGGTGAGTCCTCAATCAGTCAATCTTCCTGGTAACCTCTACCCGTTTTAAGTTGACCCCCTAGCGAGTTGACGCTCTGGTGAGTCCCACCACCTCATCTGGTGCGTTGTGCATGGGGCACGTTGCTCATCATCAGGATTGTGACTGTTAGCTGTGCTTCAACAGCCGATGCTCCAGCCAGCTGACGGCACACTGCTGCCATGCTGTGCCATGCTGTGCCATGCCGTGCCATGCCATGCCATCCCACCACCGCTTGTCTCATCCCCAACCACCACCACTCCCCCCCATCCTCCCTTGCATCAGGTGGTGGTCGCCTTCAATCCCCTTGCCTGGGGTCGCACTGAAATCATCCGCATTCCAGTAAGCTCCTATCTCCAGCATCCTTTTGAGTTTCAGCAGGTAATATTCAAGCCATGAGCCCTTCCCTGTGTTAGCTCTGATTTCCGAAAACCACCTGCTTTCAAGTGCTAACTCACTATACTCCACTGTTCCTCGCACCCTCCCACCCTTTCCCAGTATCATTCTCTTCCCCTTCCCCTCCCATCCCACATTCCCCTCGTCTCCTTCTTTCAGTACCCTCTCCTTCCTCACGCCCTCCTGCCATCCGCTCTCTGCTCTCCACTCCACTCCCTCTATCATCCCCACCAACTTTACCCACCAGTCTGTGCTATTACACCTCATCCCTCAGTTTTCCTTCTTGCAACCATCCGCTACTGCCCACCCAAGCATGTCCCTCCCCTGCCCTCCATTCGTCTTTTCCCCTCTCCTGCCGCTCTCCCTTTCTCCCCTCTCCTGCCGCTCCCCCTTTCTCCCCTCTCCTGCCGCTCTCCCTTCCTCCCCTCTCCCGCCGCTCTCCCTTTCTTCCTTCCTCTCTTCCCTCTCCCTCCCCTCGCCGTACCCATCACCCCCTGCCATCAGGTCTCCGCTCCCTCGGTCATTGTCACAGACTCGACCCACAAGCCCATCCCATCACAGCTCATCCCAGACCTCCTCCCTCGTCCAGTAATCCGCACGTTCTACGCAGCAGCACATGCAGGCGCCAGCGTGCCTCCAGTGGAGCAGCAGCAGGGGGTGACGTCAGTGGTGTTCCGTGCTGAGGTGCCTCCTTTGGGCTACTCCACATTCTTCCTCACTGCAGCCCAGCCAGGTTTGACTCTTTTTTTTTTGGTCAAGAGTCAATCATCTGTGCACTCTACGCAGCACCGCATGCAGGCGCCAGCGCACCTCCTCCCAAGAAGCAGCAGGGGGTGATGTCAGTGATGTTCCGTGCTGTGGTATTCCACTTTGTTCCTCGTTGCAGCCCAGCCAGGTATGGCATTCGCTGAGCTTTCTCAGAGGTGGGTATCTTCGATTTCTGAACCTCTCACCTCTTGTTACAATGCTTCTCTCAAATTCTCCCCTTTTCAGGAGCTGTGGGGGCAGCAGTGAGCAGCAGTGACTGGATCTTGGGACCAAAGAAGCAGAGGGGACGGAACACGAGGAGCAAGAAGGGGAAGAAGAAAAAGAAGAAGGCAAAGAAGGATGACTATGAGGAGGGGGGGGAAGGAGGAGAGGGAGGGGAGGGAGGGGAGGAAGGGGAGGCAGAAGAGGAAGGGTATGAGGAGGGGCAGGAGGAAGGGGTTGAGGCAAAAGGGGAGGAGGGCTATGCTGGAGGGGAGGAAGGAGGGGAAGGCGGGGAAGGAGAGGAGGAGGAGGAGGTGGGCTATGGTGTAGGTCAGGGGGATGAGATAGTTCTAGGGGGGGTGGTGGCTGGTCGGCCAGCAGCGCGTGTCTATTTCTCCAAGGCTGCTCGTGGAATGACACGTGCTGAGCTCATCAAGCCGAATGGCAAGGCCTTTGCCACGGTATGTGTGCCATGCCTTTCCTTGTGCCATGTCGTCCATGTGCCATGTCTTTCCATGTGCCATGCCCCTTACATGTGCCATGTCTTTGCATGTGCCATGCCCCGTCCATTTGACATGCCATTGCACCTTTAGAATCCAATGTGTTGCAACTTTCACTCTTGCTGGCAGTACACTGTTTTTCTTCTCCCTGTGCCCTCTCTCCCTATGCCCCGGTTGATGCCTCCCTGCGGTGCTATCAGCTAGCAGCAGCCAACATCAGCAGCGAAACGCTCTTTTACTCATCTGCAGAGGTCAGTTGTCGCCCTCCACTTGTCCTTTGTCAGTTGTCAGTTGTCAGTTGTCAGTTGCCCGTCCACCTCCTCCACGTCAGTTGCCCCCCCGCCTCCTACACGCTCATGCATCAGTCTCCGTGTTAATTCCTGCTGTTGCATGCCACTGTTCCCTCACTTTCCCTTCCCCCTCTATCCGCCTTCTGTTATCACATCACTTGCACCTCCTTACTTTCTCCTCACCTCTTATTTCCAGTCCCCGTCACAATCCACTCTGCACATATTTCAACACCCCCCCTTTTTTTGCATCCCCTACTCCCCCCCCACCCCACCCCTCCAGTCAGGAGCATACATCTTCAAGCCCACAGCAGACGGTGCGCTGCCGTTCCGGCCTTCGCAGTATGATTGTTTATATTCTCAGAAAAACTCTCTCTTATCCCCCTCCTTGCATCATAACCGCACCCCCTCCAGTCAGGGGCGTACATCTTCAAGCCCACAGCGGACGGTGCGCTGCCGTTCCGCAGGAAGCAGAGGGTGCCGATCCGCGTGCTGCGAGGGCCCATCGTGGAGGAGTTTCACCGCCAGGTGGCGCGTGACGTGTCCGAGGTGAGGAGATGTGGTGAATAGAGACGGTTATGCAGCACCATGGTTGCTGCGAGGGCCCAGTGTGGAACGAGTTACACCGGCAGGTGGCTCGTGACGTGTTGGAGGAGAGGCGATGGAGTGAGTGGAAGAAGATGGCTACTGAGCAGCAGCGAATAGAGATGATTGGGGTGCCAGTGGTTGCTGCGAGGGCCCATTGTGGAGGAGTATCACCGGCAGTTGGCGCGTGACGTGTCCGAGGTGAGGCGATGCGGTGAATAGAGACGGTTATTGCAGCACCATGGTTGCTGCGAGGGCCCATTGTGGAGGCGTTTCATCGCCAGGTGGCGCGTGACGTGTCCCAGGTGAGGCGATGGAGTGAGTGGAAGGAGATGGCTACTGAGAAGCAGCGAATAGAGATGCATTGAATAGAGACGATTGGGGTGCCAGTGGTTGCTGCGAGGGCCCATCGTGGAGGAGTATCACCGGCAGTTGGCGCGTGACGTGTCCGAGGTGAGGCGATGCGGTGAATAGAGACGGTTATTGCAGCACCATGGTTGCTGCGAGGGCCCATTGTGGAGGCGTTTCATCGCCAGGTGGCGCGTGACGTGTCCCAGGTGAGGCGATGGAGTGAGTGGAAGGAGATGGCTACTGAGAAGCAGCGAATAGAGATGCATTGAATAGAGACGATTGGGGTGCCAGTGGTTGCTGCGAGGGCCCATCGTGGAGGAGTTTCACCGGCAGTTGGCCCGTGACGTGTCCGAGGTGAGGGGATGGAGTGAATGGGGACGAATAGAGATGCAGGAAAGCATCAAATAAAGAGATTTGGTGAATAGAGGCAATTGTGGTGTCTCTCTCACAGTGGTTGCTGCGATCGGCGCTTGTTGCTAGAGCAGCAGGGAACCGAGGTGCAGTGAAAAGAGGCGGATAAGAGGGTGCCGATCCACGTGCTGCGAGGACCCATAGTGGAGGAGTTTAGCTGGCAGGTGACTCGTGACGTGTCGGAGGTGAGGTGATGCAGAGGAGGTTCTCTGCCTCTAAGGTGCTCTGCCTCTAAGGTGCGCTGCCTCTAAGGTGCTCTGCCTCTAAGGTGCTCTGCCTCTAAGGTGCTCTGCCTCTAAGGTGCTCTGCCTCTAAGGTGCTCTGCCTCTAAGGTGCTCTGCCTCTAAGGTGCTCTGCCTCTAAGGTGCTCTGCCTCTAAGGTGTTCTGCCTCTAAGGTGCTCTGCCTCTAAGGTGCTCTGCCTCTAAGGTGCTCTGCCTCTAAGGTGCTCTGCCTCTAAGGTGCTCTGCCTCTAAGGTGCTCTGCCTCTAAGGTGCTCTGCCTCTAAGGTGCTCTGCCTCTGAGCTGCTCTGCCTCTAAGGTGCTCTGCCTCTAAGGTGCTCTGCCTCTAAGGTGCTCTGCCTCTAAGGTGCTCTGCCTCTAAGGTGCTCTGCCTCTAAGGTGCTCTGCCTCTAAGGTGCTCTGCCTCTAACGTGCTCCGCCTCTAAGCTGCTCTGCCTCTAAGGTGCTCTGCCTCTAAGGTGCTCTGCCTCTAAGGTGCTCTGCCTCTAAGGTGCTCTGCCTCTAAGGTGCTCTGCCTCTAAGGTGCTCTGCCTCTAAGGTGCTTTGCCTCTAAGGTGCTCTGCCTCTAAGCTGCTCTGCCTCTAAGGTGCTCTGCCTCTAAGCTGCTCTGCCTCTAAGCTGCTCTGCCTCTAAGCTGCTCTGCCTCTAAGCTGCTCTGCCTCTAAGCTGCTCTGCCTCTAAGGTGCTCTGCCTCTAAGGTGCTCTGCCTCTAAGGTGCTCTGCCTCTAAGGTGCTCTGCCTCTAAGCTGCTCTGCCTCTAAGCTGCTCTGCCTCTAAGCTGCTCTGCCTCTAAGCTGCTCTGCCTCTAAGCTGCTCTGCCTCTAAGCTGCTCTGCCTCTAAGGTGCTCTGCCTCAAGGTGCTCTGCCTCTAAGGTGCTCTGCCTCTAAGGTGCTCTGCCTCTAAGGTACTCTGCCTCTAAGGTGCTCTGCCTCTAAGCTGCTCTGCCTCTAAGCTGCACTGCCTCTAAGCTGCTCTGCCTCTAAGGTGCTCTGCCTCTAAGCTGCTCTGCCTCTAAGCTGCTCTGCCTCTAAGCTGCTCTGCCTCTAAGCTGCTCTGCCTCTAAGCTGCTCTGCCTCTAAGGTGCTCTGCCTCTAAGGTGCTCTGCCTCTAAGGTGCTCTGCCTCTAAGCTGCTCTGCCTCTAAGCTGCTCTGCCTCTAAGCTGCTCTGCCTCTAAGGTGCTCTGCCTCTTATATACTCTGCCTCTAAGGTGCTCTGCCTCTAAGCTACTCTGCCTCTAACGTGCTCCGCCTCTAAGCTGCTCTGCCTCTAAGGTGCTCTGCCTCTTATATACTCTGCCTCTAAGGTGCTCTGCCTCTAAGCTACTCTGCCTCTAACGTGCTCCGCCTCTAAGCTGCTCTGCCTCTAAGGTACTCTGCCTCTAAGGTGCTCTGCCTCTAAGGTGCTCTGCCTCTAAGGTGCTCTGCCTCTAAGGTGCTCTGCCTCTAAGCTGCTCTGCCTCTAAGCTGCTCTGCCTCTAAGCTGCTCTGCCTCTAAGGTGCTCTGCCTCAAGGTGCTCTGCCTCTAAGGTGCTCTGCCTCAAGGTGCTCTGCCTCTAAGGTGCTCTGCCTCTAAGGTGCTCTGCCTCTAAGGTACTCTGCCTCTAAGGTGCTCTGCCTCTAAGCTGCTCTGCCTCTAAGCTGCACTGCCTCTAAGCTGCTCTGCCTCTAAGGTGCTCTGCCTCTAAGCTGCTCTGCCTCTAAGCTGCTCTGCCTCTAAGCTGCTCTGCCTCTAAGCTGCTCTGCCTCTAAGCTGCTCTGCCTCTAAGCTGCTCTGCCTCTAAGGTGCTCTGCCTCTAAGGTGCTCTGCCTCTAAGGTGCTCTGCCTCTAAGCTGCTCTGCCTCTAAGCTGCTCTGCCTCTAAGCTGCTCTGCCTCTAAGGTGCTCTGCCTCTTATATACTCTGCCTCTAAGGTGCTCTGCCTCTAAGCTACTCTGCCTCTAACGTGCTCCGCCTCTAAGCTGCTCTGCCTCTAAGGTGCTCTGCCTCTAAGCTGCTCTGCCTCTAAGCTGCTCTGCCTCTAAGCTGCTCTGCCTCTAAGGTGCTCTGCCTCTAAGGTGTTCTGCCTCTAAGGTGCTCTGCCTCTAACGTGCTCCGCCTCTAAGCTGCTCTGCCTCTAAGGTGCTCTGCCTCTAAGCTTCTCTGCCTCTAAGGGAAGGATTGTGGAGGGCTTGAGTTCCTTGGATTGGGGGTGTGCGTCTCTGAATGCCTCTTAACTGACTGATATGTCGCCTTCCCTGCGTATGCATCGTACCTACTCTAGAAAGAACTAAATGGAACTTGGGTGCTCGCGTCATACCTTTGTCACTTTGTGTCATGTCTCCCCTGCAGGTGTATCGAGTTTACCCGGGGGAGAATTACGCCGAGCTTGGCTACTCCATAGGGCCTCTTGTTGAGGATGGGTCCCTGGGGAAAGAGGTTGTTGCCTCCTTCTCCTCTTCCATTCAGAGTGGCGATATCTTTCACACGGACTCCAACGGCCGTGACTACCTCAAACGAGTGAGCTTATATGGAGGATATATCATAGAGCGGATTGGTAGGATACGAACAGGTCAAATATATCAGAGTAAGCCTTTCCTCTGTAGATTGTACAGCCTCTTGTTCACTTCTCTTCTAAAAGAGTATCATCCTCTTGGTTTCGGCTCTCCCCTGACCTTCTCTCTGCCGGTTGCCCATCACTCCCCCTCCCTACACCTCTCCACCTCTCCCCCTCCCTACACCTCTCTCCCTCCCTACACCTCTCCCCCTCCCTACACCTCTCCCGCCCCCTACACCTCTTCTCACTTCGGTCCTACCTACTGTGCTGTCCTGCAGGTTCGTGACTCTCGCCCTGACTGGACCTTCACAGTCAAGGAGCCCATAGCAGGGAACTTCTACCCCGTGAGTAACTCACTTTCACAAATGCTCAGAAGTAAGGTCCTCTCTCAAGCAATTCACGCCAGTATTGAGCTCCAAATTCCGCTCAGTCAAAGACCCCATAGCAGGTAACTTCTACCCAGTGAGTTCTTATTGCATCTTCTCCCCCAAGGCACATCAGAAGTCCTTATTGCTTCCTCACTCTCCCATCTCTCCCACCCCTCACTCCCGCCCCTCTCTCACCCTCACTCCCTCCTGCAGGTGACGGTGGGGGCGTTCATCGGGGATGGGGAGGCACAGCTGTCGCTGCTGGTGGACCGAGCAGCCGGTGCTGCCAGCCTGGCAGCCGGACAGCTCGAAGTCATGCTGCACCGGTGAGCCTACAACTCAACTCATGCTGCACCGGTGAGCCTACAACTCAACTCATGCTGCACCGGTGAGCCTACAACTCAACTCATGCTGCACCGGTGAGCCTACAACTCAACTCATGCTGCACCGGTGAGCCTACAACTCAACTCATGCTGCACCGGTGAGCCTACAACTCAACTCATGCTGCACCGGTGAGCCTACAACTCAACTCATGCTGCACCGGTGAGCCTACAACTCAACTCATGCTGCACCTGTGAGCCTACAACTCAACTCATGCTGCACCGGTGAGCCTACAACTCAACTCATGCTGCACCGGTGAGCCTACAACTCAACTCATGCTGCACCGGTGAGCCTACAACTCAACTCATGCTGCACCGGTGAGCCTACAACTCAACTCATGCTGCACCGGTGAGCCTACAACTCAACTCATGCTGCACCTGTGAGCCTACAACTCAACTCATGCTGCACCAGTGAGCCTACAACTCAACTCATGCTGCACCGGTGAGCCTACAACTCAACTCATGCTGCACCTGTGAGCTTCACACCGCACTGATGAGCTTCACGCTGCACCGGTGAGCCCCTGAAGTATCGGCATACTAGCGGCATTGTTTCAGCGTAGATCCCCAACTCATGCTGCAAGGTTAAGCGCCTGTAGCAGAGGCCTGGTTTTCAGCCTGGGTCAACTGTTTAAAATGCAGTCAAAATGGCCTCTGCTGTGATACGTGCAACCTTTGTAATGCTTGTCGTTTTTATATATATATATTTTTTATCCCCCTATCCAAATTTCCAGCCGCTTGGATACGGTGGACAACAAGGGAGTTGGAGAGCCGTTAAACGAAGATGTCTGTGTGGAGGATAAATGCTACCACCTTGTCGTAAGTTCCAATGCGCCTATATAACAAAAAATCATTTGGCATTTAAGCGCAAATTCTGAACATTGGACGCTGATCAACATCGTTCTCTCTTTTTGAGGTCACCTTTCGCGGTGATGGTCACCTTTTGAGCCGAGTCAACATTGTTTCTTTGCCCGTAAACCGGAGATAAAGTCACTTCCCTCCCTTGGGCGTCCAGGTGGTGGGATCACTCCGCTTCGCAGTGCTGCCAGACACACGGGCACGGCCAGGCACACCCCCACAGCAGGCATCAGGCGGGGCAGCAGCAGGGGCCTTCTGGCGGAGAGATCACTCCCAGAGGATGCTGTCCCCGCTGCAGCTCGCTTTTGCTGTCGAGGTGAGCAGTGACTCCTGAGTTGGCTCAAAGGTCGCAGCAAGTATCAGGCGGGGCGGCAGCGGGGGCCTTCTGGTGGAGAGACCACAGCCAGCGGATGCTGTCCCCTCTGCAGCTCGCTTTCGCTGTCGAGGTGAGAAATGGGCTGTTAGTCCACTCGAAAACAGGTGAGAGATCTCTTCTGAGTCGACTCAAAGGAGGTGAGGGATGGCTTCTGAGTTGACTCACATGTCACAGCAGGCATCAGGCGACCACACTCAGTGCCTGCTCTCTCCCCTGCAGCGTTTTCTCTGTCTAGGTGAGAGATTGAGGTTTGTGTGGTTGGGAAGGGGAGGGCAAGGGATAGGGGAGAAGGGGGGATGTGTGTGTGTGTGTGTGTGTGTGTGTGTGTGTGTGTGTGTGTGTGTGTGTGTGTGTGTGTGTGTGTGTGTGTGCAAGGCAGCGTATGCAGTGGGAGGGAGGTGAGGGCGGAAGGTTCACACTCACTGCTGTGTCCACCTCTGCCTGTTGCTCTCCTCCACACTCCCTCCTCATGCGCTTCTTCTCTCTTCTCAATTTCCTTCGTCTCTTCAGTCGACTGAGGATCTGGCAGCAGCAGAAACAGAAGCAGTGGACGCAGCAGAGGCAGCAGAAGCAGCAGCTGCTGCTGCCACTGCTGCAGCTGACACTCCAGACCCTGCTGCAACCGACGTTTCTGGCACATCTGCTGAACCTGCTGCTGACAGCACAGGAGCGACGGGGTTCTTGTGGCGCCACTCCCTCTTCCAGAGCGCTCAGCAGGAGGTGGCAAGGGCAGGAACACGTGGCAGCACCAGAGGGAAGGCGGCAGCACCCTCAGCTAGCTACCAGCTGCCTCGAAATGTGGCTATAACGACATTGGAGGTACACTTGATGAGAATAATAGCTTAAGTTGCTAATAATATCCAGTAGACATCCTCTGCCAGAATTTATATCCCTCCGTCCATGTTGTTCCTAGCTCGCTTCCAATACACGTGTATGTTACAGTTCTGTTTGTGTGTTTGTGTGTGTTTTTGTCCTGCTCCCATCTTCGCCGCCCACGTGTTCGTCCAACAGGAGGTATCACCAGGAGCAATTCTCCTGCGACTGGCTCACCTGTACGAGGTATGTGAAGGCTACGCTAGGAGCATACCATGTGGCACTTCAGTCAGCCCTCGCTGATACACATCCTGAATATTCGATTATGTTAGTGCCTTTGCAAGGCTAGTCATCCCCCCTCCAACCTCTCTTGCTTCCTCACCCATCACATCCACCCTCCCTCCCCGCTCTCTCCCTCCTGGCGAACATACAACTTACTCCCACAGGCTCAAGAGCACCCAGTGTTTTCTCGGCTTGCAGCAGTAAAACTCCGGCAGCTCTTTGCCGGTCGAGAGGTAGGCTGCCTTATGTGATAAAGGATTTGCCATATTCCATTCGCGAGTGTTATGTCATTGTTGTAGGATTTACACGTCACCCTGGCCTGTGTTCTTTATCTTCCAAACATGCAACCATCATACCATTGTGTTGTTTTTCTTGTTGTCTCTACCCCAGGTTCTGAAGGTGACCGAGCTAAGTCTCATGGCAAACCAAGAACGCTCAAGCATGCGACCCCCTTTAACTTGGCAGCTTGATGAAAGTGAAGGAGGTGTGGATGTGGAGGCTATAACAGGCCGTGACATTGATAATTCCACTTATATTGTGGAACTCGGGCCTATGGAAATTAGGACTCTCTTTGTCCAACTCTCCACCTGAAGCTTTCTAAGTGAACTGCGCTGTATGATATGTTTTTATTAATGCTGATACTAGTGGCTGTGCCACTAGCTCTACGAGGCAACTTTGGCGCCTTTTATGGCTGCAGACGTGGAGGACCAGAAACGGGGTTCCGAGCTGAAGTGAAGCCTGCATGGCGAGGTAAATATCGTGAACGTCCATAAGTGCGAGGATTTCAGTGTTCACTAACCCTAAACGCAGAAGGGAGCTCAGAGTTGAAGCGAGTCGCCGTTGAAGAACGGAAAGAGTGTTTGCGCCTTTTTAACGCCAAACTGCATAGTTTTTTTTTACTAGCCACTTTAGGCTCGTGCTTTCTACCTTCTCGAGTATCCTCCTTTTTAACCGGACAACTATCCTCCTGAACAGAACCAGTTTGACTTTGCCGAGTCACCGACAATTATTTCTGGGACCAGCCAAGTGCAGGAAACACCCATTTCACGATTCACGAAACCGAAGCAGGAGCCAATACTCTGTGCGCCTAAGGGCGCGTTCCTGGCTAATGTCAAACTTCCGGTCAAACTTCATGTTTTCCGAGCCAGGGGCGATTTTTTGCGGGAAGACCCGAAGTGGGGCCAGCTGTGGGGCGAGCTTCGTGTCATCCCGGGAAGACTGGAAGCTTGACACGAGCCAGGAACGCACCCTAAGGAACTCCACCCATCTGATGAATTCCGGCCATTCGATCCGGTTCAAGGCAAGAGTCTCCATCTCGGGATCGTCGCCGCTGTGACCCGCCCTGTCCCACAATTGTGGAACTCCCTGTGCACTTTTTGGCTGAACGATCCCAAATGTTTCATTTGGTCCATCACAACCGCTTCAGATGTCCAGAGACTATTTTCAAATCGTCCAGAAACGTACTGAACCGAAGGCTTAAACACTTTTTGGTGGCTCCCGCCTAGAGTTGGTCTGTTATCAGCCAGCTAACGGCATCGTAGTTGCAATCCGAAGGTATCGACGTTCCGGAGCAGTTAGTCTGTCCTCTCCCAAGTATCACTTGATTCTGTTCCGACCGCTGCAAGCCCTAAAATATTATCCTCTCCAGACGGTCTCTTCAGTTCATTTCTCATCCTGTCGAAGTCTAGTCCGCCGTGAGCGAGACCAGGTTCCTGACGTCTCGACATGATAGCTCCATTCAGGGAGATCGCGATGCTTGTAATACGACCTCGGGTGTAGAGGACTCATTACGGAGACTGTACAGAGGTGACGATGGCGAGCCTAGAGTCGACACCAGCGGCGGGATATGCGGAAGACAGGGCGAGGAGCTCATCACTCCCTCGCGGCGAGTCAGAGCCGGGATCCGACCGAAGGTGATTATTGAACAGAACCGAAAGGGGGATCGGAGAATCTTTTGCGAGTTAGGCATTTATGCGGAATCAAATTATCCATTCTGGTTTGCAATTCTCTGCGATTTTCCGGATCGCTAATCAGTAACTAGGGTTATCAGAGGGAACCATTATACAAGCTTCTTATTCATCCACCTTTCTGTTTCCTCAGACGTCAACGGAGACCTAGCAGCGGCATGTCCACGTCAGCGATCGAGCAGGTATCATGGGAGATTAAGCTGGGGGTTGGTTATATCAGATATTGCATTTCAGCAACCTTCTATCTCCACACCTATCTGTTTCCTCAGGAACCAATGGCGACCGAGCAGCGGGCTGTCCACATCAGCGATCGAGCAGATTTCACGGGAGATGAAGCTTTGATAAAAATTTAACCAGATACCACACTCAAACATCCCTCCCCTCCACCGTCGCACCTATCTGTTCCCGCAGGACCCGGCGGAGTCCCAGCGGCGGGCTGTCGACGTCAGCGATCGAGCAGATGTCGCGCGAGGTGAAGCTGATGGGGTGGCTGTACAAGCAGTCTCAACTTTAAAAATCCGGAACACCCCCCTTCTCCCCCCTCCTCATGCCTACCTGTTCCGCAGGACCCGGCGGAGACCCAGCGGCGGGTTGTCCACGTCAGCGATCGAGCAGATGTCGCGGGAGGTGAAGCTGATGGGGTGGCTGTACAAGCAGTCCAAGTCGCGGCCGTTCGGCCACCACTGGGCGCGCCGCTACTTCGTGCTGCGCGCGCAGCGCATCAGCTACTTCCGCAGCCTGCCCTGGCAGCACGAGGTGCGCGATGGAGGAGGGGGGGGCAGAGAGGGGAGGGGATGGGATCCGGTAACGAACTCTGAGAACGTCTCAAACCTAGAGACTCCGTGCTGCGCGAACAGCGAATCAGCTTTTGAGTCGCCACAAAAGTCGTCTATCAAGGCGCCCAAAAGTCGTCTCAAACCTAGAGACTCCGTGCTGCACGCACAGCGCATCAGCTACTTCCGCAGTCTGCCATGGCAGCATGAGGTGCGCGCGTAGCCCGGGGGAAGGAAGGGGGGGAGGGGGAGATGGGATGAGGTAATGAGTTCTGAGAACGTCTCAAACCTAGAAACTTCATGCTGCGCGCGCAGCAAATCAGCCACTCCCGCAGCCTGCCGTGACAGCACGTGTACGCGTGTGGTGGAAGGATAGGGCTACTACTTGTGAGAGGATAGCTTCTGGGGCAATACGAGCTGACCGCTTTGCACCATCCCTTGGTCCCCCTTGGGAAGACTAATCAACACCTTCCCCAACCCAACCATTTCCCCCAAACTTTCTCCCAACTTTCTCCATATCCCCCTCCCCATTCTCCCCTCTCCCTTTCCCCCTCCCCCTTGCCCCCTCCCCGCTCCTCCCCCCCAACGCCCCCTTCTCTCCCGCATCAATGTTCCCTGCCAAACGTGTCGCACAGATTCCAGTGAAGGAGTTTGATCTGACGCCCAGATGTCGTGTGGAGGACACAGGCCGGATTTCCACCAACACCAAGGTACGAACCAAGGTCACCAAGGTCACACCCGCACTGCCTGTTTCTGTGCTGCACGTTCGTGTGATGCTTGCGTGTGCGCTGCCTGTGTTTGCGCTGCTTATGAAACTCTGGAGCTTTATGCCTCAATAGCTCTGACCCTTTCAGGGCTGCTCCTGACATTCCCCTGTATTCTGCACCCTCTACTGTTTCTGTCATTCCCCTGTTGCTTTTTTTTTGTCATTCGCCAGGAGCTCTACACCTTTTGTATACACCCAGAGCTTCCCAAGCCGTGTTTGGTGGGTGCACTTGCTAAGGACACACTCTTTATTGTGTAATGCACTCTACAGCGGTGCCAAACATACGCTGCCTCGAACGACTTTAAGCTCATATGTGCCGAGCCGCCTTGCGCCTTAATCGAAGCGCGATTTCTTTGCCCTGCTTATGGTCTTCTGACCCTATTGATCTTCTAATGCTTTAACACATACTCTGTCATCCGTTATTCCCCCTTTGATTGACACTATCCATGCATCTGCTGTCGCTGAATTCTCATGCCTCTCTCGTGCTCCTCTGTGCCCTCCCGTACTCCTCTTTCCCCTCCCGTACTCCTCTTTCCCCTCCCGTTCTCCTCTTTCCCCTCCCGTACTCCTCTTTCCCCTCCCGTACTCCTCTTTCCCCTCCCGTACTCCTCTTTCCCCTCCCGTACTCCTCTTTCCCCTCCCGTACTCCTCTTTCCCCTCCCGTACTCCTCTTTCCCCTCCCGTACTCCTCTTTCCCCTCCCGTACTCCTCTTTCCCCTCCCGTACTCCTCTTTCCCCTCCCGTACTCCTCTTTCCCCTCCCGTACTCCTCTTTCCCCTCCCGTACTCCTCTTTTCCCTCCCGTACTCCTCTTTCCCCTCCCGTACTCCTCTTTCCCCTCCCGTACTCTGCTGCACGTCCTATGTGCCCATCCCGTGCCCCATCGTGTTCCAGGTGGGAACCAAGGACCCAGAGCTAGTGGCGGTGTGGATGCAAGCCATTCGGGAGACAATAGAACATGTGAGCACAGCAGACAATAGAATGGGTCATGTGAGCACAGCTGTAGACGGTTTGGCTTGGTGATGCATGTTGTGCGTTTACTAGGCGCCTCAGAGCTAGTGGCGGTGTGGATGCAATGCAAGCCATCCGAGAGACAATCGAACATGTGAGCATTGGTGGTGCATATTGTGCATCTATTAGGCGTCTCAAAGCTCGTGATGGTGTGGATGCAAGACGTTCGGGGGACGATAGAACATGTGAGCACAGCAGCGGAAGAATTAGTGGTTCAATCCTGCATCCACATCGCGTGATTGTGCTTTTGTGACCGTCTGAATACGAATTCCCATGGCCTTCTTCCACAGGTCAGTTGCCCCCTCGCTTTCCAATTCTTCCCGCCATCTCGTGTCCTGCTTCCGCCTCCTCCGTATTTCCGCTCCCTCCGCCTCTCTCCCGTTTCCCATCTCCCATCTCCCCCCCTCCCTCCCCCTCTCTCTTCCCTTGGCAGAACGTGGCGCCCACAATCAGAATGCCGTTGACCCGCCCCACCAGCACCAACAGCCTATCAGACGAGGAGGAGGGAGAAACGCCACCGCACCCCAACATGATGACCTCGTGCGTTCCCTCTCGAACGGTCCTTGTACTCATTGTAGGGTGTTACAAGGTCGATGCAAACACATGTCATTGTGCATGCACTCGAATCTATAACCAGCACATTTGATTTGTTCAAGGCAGGATACTTAAAAGTCCGCTCCACCCCTCACCTTTTCAGGGCACAGCACTTACTCTTCCGCCTCACCACTTGTTCGGTTCCGTTCCCTCTCATTCCGTACAGCCATTTCCTTTTCCCCTTTCCTTTCCCTCTCACACCAGCTGCCGTGATTCCATGGACAGCAGTGAGCCTTTTGATGGGGATGGGGATGAGATGGCACGAGATGACTTGCCAACACCGCAGCGACTTCTGCTCGATAGAAGAGGCTCCATTGGCTTCGGTAGGTGTGCCTCCACATGGCTTTCAAGCACCACTGTCCTGAGAACATGGTCGGCACAATGCACACTCAAGGCATGCTCCACGTCGTGCCTTCCTTTCCCTGTGCTGCACTCTCTCTCTCTCTCTCTCTCTCTCTCTCTCTCTCTCTCTCTCTCTCTCTCTCTCTCTCTCTCTCTCTCTCTCTCTCTCTCTCTCTCTCTCTCTCTCTCTCCAATTTTCTTACTTCCCCCCAGCCCCCCCCCCCCATGGAGCTAGGTCTGATGCTTGAGGCCATGATGGCAAAGCAGTGCGGTGCAGTGCGGTGAGTAAATCGAACTCTCTTCGCCCCCATGGAGCTGGGTGGCATGCTCGAAGCCATGGTGGTAATGCACAGTGCAGTGCGGCTCAATGCAGTGCAAGGCAGTGCGCTGCAGTGCAGTGAATAAACTGAACTCTCGTCCCCATTGCCCCCAGGGCCTCCTATGGAGTTGGGTGGCATGCTCGAGGCCATGGTGGCAATGCGCAGTGCGTCAACGGCGTCAGGCATCGCATCCGACGGCTCCTGGCGCCTCATCAAGCTATCCAACGGTGAGTAATGGCCCTGTCCATCCAGTGGTAAGGGCAGGCGGGCAGATGTGGCCGCAGCCAGTCACCGGTGAATGAAGCATCGCACACTGCACATGCCTTTTGAGTTGTCAGCTCGAAAGTCACCCTGTCACTGGTGAATGAAGTATTTCACACTGCACACGGCATATGAAATCGTTCCATTTACACGTCCATCCATTCCCCATGGCCCATTCCCCATGGCCCATTCCCCATGGCCCATTCCCCATGGCCCATTCCCCATGGCCCATTCCCCATGGCCCATTCCCCATGGCCCATTCCCCATGGCCCATTCCCCATGGCCCATTCCCCATGGCCCATTCCCCATGGCCCATTCCCCATGGCCCATTCCCCACATGGCCCATTCCACAGGGCTGCGTTTCTTTGAGGAGTTGAACGAGGAGCGCGGGCAGGCGGGCATGTGTGGCAGCCTGCCGTGTCTGAGCGCCGTGGGAACGGTGGACGCCCCCAGCGATGCCGTCTTTCGACTCGTGCTCGACCTCTCCTCCTCGCGCAACGAGTGAGCATCTTGCTCCTGTCACCCCTAAGCCCCGTGAACTCCCCTTGCTGCTTTGGTAAGTCTCTGAGCAAGTTGACTTTTGAGTCGACTCAAAAGCATCTTGCTCCTGTCACCCCTCAGCCCCGTGAACTCAACTCCCCTTGCTGCTTTGATAAGTCTCTGAGCATCAAGATGCTCACTCCCGTCATCTTGACGCTCTCTCTGATGCCACACCGACTGCGTCCAATGCCGGTTCTGCCCTCTGCCATTGCCCTGACCCCATCCTCCTTCTCTTGCCCTTTCGTGTACCGACCCTCTCGTTCACCAGGTGGGACGTGGCATACGGAGGAGCACGAATGGTAGAAGCTCAGGACGGTCACACAGACTGCATCCACTACCGCTTCCGACCGCTCCCAGTCGGCTTCGGCCCCTTCACCCTCACAGCGCGCGACGTGTGCCTGCGGCGCTACTGGCAGCGCACAGCCGACGGGTGCTACGTGGTGCTCTATCAGTCCATGGAGCACCCCCTATGCCCCCCTGTCAGCCACTCGGCCTTAGTCTTCCCATACACTCTCTCTCCCTCCTTCCTGTGACTCCCTGTGCTTCCCTGTTACCAGGTGGGACGTGGCATATGGTGGCGCACGCATGGTGGAAGCTCAGGATGGTCACACAGACTGCATTCACTACCGCTTCCGACCGCTCCCAGTCGGCTTCGGCCCCTTCACCCTCACAGCGCGCGACGTGTGCCTGCGGCGCTACTGGCAGCGCACGGCCGACGGGTGCTACGTGGTGCTCTATCAGTCCATGGAGCACCCCCTATGCCCGCCTGTCATGGGCTGCGTTCGCGCCAATCTCACCTACGGAGGGTTTATCATCGCCCCAGCGGGGCCGTCGGCGATCGGACGGTCGGTAGTGATGCACGTGTTGCAGATGGATGCAAAGGGGTTGCTGCCGATGTGCAGCGGTGTTGCGACCGAAGTGCATTTCTACCTGCTGTCGAGAGTTGCAGGCATTCGGGAGTTTTTCGCGCAGACGAGGGGGGACTCGCTGGCTGCGCTGCTGGGTCTGAGGGACACGCAGCAGGCTACAGCTGCTGCTACAGCCGCGGCTGTAGCGGCTGCAGAAGGGAGGGAGCTTGGAGGGGGTGGGAGGAAGGGCAGCAGGCGGGATCGGGAGGACGGGCGGATCGGGCCGATACCAGAAGGGGGAGGGGAGGGGTTTGATGAGGTGGAGGGGGTGGGACGAGAGAGAAGGAGAGGCAGCAGTGGGGACGTTATGGGTGGTGAGTTCAGCGGTAGCGATGCCGGGAGCACTGTTTCAGAGCCCTTACCAGGCACTAGCAGTTTCTTTGGAGCAAGAGGAGCAGGAACAGCAGCAGGAGACGCAGCAGTTGCTGCTAAGGCTCTCCTGACTGAAACTCTCCCTGTGGCCTCTCCTCGGTTCTGGCAGCTAGGTTCCCGACCCTCCACCGGGTCTCGACTAGCTGGTTCGGCAAGGGCGGCAGGTTCGGTAGACCCTTGGGCATGGGCGTACAAGACGGGGAACCTGGCCCGGGGGTCGCCGATGGGGGGGATTAACTGCTGGAGCGAGGCGGAGGTTCGGAACTTTACAGTGCGGTCGAAGAGCTATTTGAGGGATAAGATGAAGCAGAGTGCGGGGCAGCCGGGGATGGCACTGGTGGCTGTGGATTGGCTGAAGCGCGTTGAGAGGATTGATCATGTGGTGGAGCTCAAGCGCACCCCCGTGCATGTGAGTGTTCTCACTGCAGTGCTTGTTAGTGAGTGTGCGAGCATGCATGCTTTGCGAGTGCAGGGCAGCCAGGGATGGCGCTGGTGGCAGTGGATTGGCTGAAGAGAGTGGAGAGGATTGACCATGTGGTGGAGCTGAAAAGGACCCCCGTGCATGTGAGCGTGCTTTCGCTTTTTGTGCATTTTGCGCCTATGGTGGTTCATGGGTGGGAATGGGTCAGCGCTGGTGGCTGTGGATTGACTGAAGCGCGTGGAGAGGATCGACCATGTGGTGGAGCTTAAAAAGACCCCCATGCATGTGAGTAAATGTAACAACTCAGTCGATAGAGGTCTTCGAAATGGACCGGCACTGGTGGCTGTGGATTGGCTGAAACTCGTGGAGAGGATTGATCATGTGGTGGAGCTCTAGCGGACCCCTGTGCATGTGAGTTTGCTGACTGTGGTGCTTATGAGTGTGTGTGCGCTTTTCTTTGTGCGCATGTGGAATCTAGCAACACAGCTGGTAGAGGTTTGAATGGGTGGGAATGGGTGGGACCAACGTTGATTGGCGGCTGTGGATTGATTGAAGCGAGTGGAGAAGATTGATCATGTGGCGAAGCTCAAACGGACTCCTGTGCATGTGACTGAGTCTGCTCCTCCGCTGTCTCTGGTAGCATCTGTGTCACACACAGCCCCATTTTGGCTCATCTCCCCCCATCTCCTTCCATTTTCCCTCCATTTTCTCCCATTTCTTCCCATTTCCCCACCCCCATCTTCCCCTGTGCCTGGTTATCAGGGAATGCGCGAGCTGATGGCCAGCAGTGACGCCTCGTCGCGGCCGTACTTTTTCATTGTGAATATGCAGGTGCGTGGGGGGGGGGGGTAGGTGATTGGATCAATGGTTGTCAGTGGGGCATGGGGGGAGTAGGGGAGGTGGGGCAAAGACGATGGCCAGCAGTGCTTGACGTCTCACCGCGGCCGTACTTCTTCATGGCCATGGAGGAATCACCCACATGGCGATCTATCACACCTTAACGCATCACATCACCCATACCATATACCTCACACACCCCTCACAGGCCACCAGGTGCCAGCAGCGCAGCAGTACAGCGTGTTCTACTGGGCCATGGATGAGCGTTGCTGGCAACACCTCCATGGCACTCTCTCATGCGTCAACATCACCCATATACCCCACCCACATGTCACAACCGCCACCAGGTGCCAGCAGCGCAGCAGTACAGCATGGTGTTCTATTCGGCCATGGATGAGCGTCAAGGGGGCACTGCTTATTGCGGCCCACTCACATATTCTGCTTTCCTCCTGAATTCTCATTCTCTCACGTCCCACCAGGTGTCAGCAGCGCGGCAGTACAGCATGGCGTTCAACTGGGCCATGGAGGAGCCGCCCACAGAGGCGTGCATGGTCATACTCTCTCAATCCTCAAAGCATCACCTGTATACCACCTGTATAACCCACATGCCACAAATGCCACCAGGTGCCGGCAGCGCAGCAGTACAGCATGGTGTTCTACTGGGCCATGGAGGGGCGCTGTGTGGGGACATGTGCTCATTGCTCTGCCTGTCACCCATTCTCTTACATCAATTTCCAGGTGCCAGCAGCGCAGCAGTACAGCATGGTGTTCTACTGGGCCATGGAGGAGCCGCCCACAGATTCATCCATGCTGGGGCAGTTCATCAACGGGGACGACATCTTCCGCAACTCACGCTTCAAGCTCATTCCCCGCATCCACCAGGTGGGTGTGAGAGTGCACTGCGCCGTGTGCACTTGCATCTATGAGGTGTGTGTGTATTTGCCCTACTGCACGGGCATGCGGTCCATGCTGGGGCAGCATCAACGGGGATGACATCTTCCGCAACACACGCTTCAAGCTCATTCCCCGCACAGACCAGGTGGGTGTGAGTGTGTGCTCTGTGTGCTCTGTGTGCTCTGTGTGCTCTGTGTGCTCTGTGTGCTCTGTGTGCTCTGTGTGCTCTGTGTGCTCTGTGTGCTCTGTGTGCTCTGTGTGCTCTGTGTGCTCTGTGTGCTCTGTGTGCTCTGTGTGCTCTGTGTGCTCTGTGTGCTCTGTGTGCTCTGTGTGCTCTGTGTGCTCTGTGTGCTCTGTGTGCTCTGTGTGCTCTGTGTGCTCTGTGTGCTCTGTGTGCTCTGTGTGCTCTGTGTGCTCTGTGTGCTCTGTGTGCTCTGTGTGCTCTGTGTGCTCTGTGTGCTCTGTGTGCTCTGTGTGCTCTGTGTGCTCTGTGTGCTCTGTGTGCTCTGTGTGCTCTGTGTGCTCTGTGTGCTCTGTGTGCTCTGTGTGCTCTGTGTGCTCTGTGTGCTCTGTGTGCTCTGTGTGCTCTGTGTGCTCTGTGTGCTCTGTGTGCTCTGTGTGCTCTGTGTGCTCTGTGTGCTCTGTGTGCTCTGTGTGCTCTGTGTGCTCTGTGTGCTCTGTGTGCTCTGTGTGCTCTGTGTGCTCTGTGTGCTCTGTGTGCTCTGTGTGCTCTGTGTGCTCTGTGTGCTCTGTGTGCTCTGTGTGCTCTGTGTGCTCTGTGTGCTCTGTGTGCCTCTGTGTGCTCTGTGTGCTCTGTGTGCTCTGTGTGCTCTGTGTGCTCTGTGTGCTCTGTGTGCTCTGTGTGCTCTGTGTGCTCTGTGTGCTCTGTGTGCTCTGTGTGCTCTGTGTGCTCTGTGTGCTCTGTGTGCTCTGTGTGCTCTGTGTGCTCTGTGTGCTCTGTGTGCTCTGTGTGCTCTGTGTGCTCTGTGTGCTCTGTGTGCTCTGTGTGCTCTGTGTGCACTGTGTGCACTGTGTGCTCTGTGTGCTCTGTGTGCTCTGTGTGCTCTGTGTGCTCTGTGTGCTCTGTGTGCTCTGTGTGCTCTGTGTGCTCTGTGTGCTCTGTGTGCTCTGTGTGCTCTGTGTGCTCTGTGTGCTCTGTGTGCTCTGTGTGCTCTGTGTGCTCTGTGTGCTCTGTGTGCTCTGTGTGCTCTGTGTGCTCTGTGTGCTCTGTGTGCTCTGTGTGCTCTGTGTGCTCTGTGTGCTCTGTGTGCTCTGTGTGCTCTGTGTGCTCTGTGTGCTCTGTGTGCTCTGTGTGCTCTGTGTGCTCTGTGTGCTCTGTGTGCTCTGTGTGCTCTGTGTGCTCTGTGTGCTCTGTGTGCTCTGTGTGCTCTGTGTGCTCTGTGTGCTCTGTGTGCTCTGTGTGCTCTGTGTGCTCTGTGTGCTCTGTGTGCTCTGTGTGCTCTGTGTGCTCTGTGTGCTCTGTGTGCTCTGTGTGCTCTGTGTGCTCTGTGTGCTCTGTGTGCTCTGTGTGCTCTGTGTGTCCGGTGTGCTCTGCTATACCATCCATGCAGCAGACATGTGCCACTTTAATCTGCCTCGCTTGTGCACTCACCCTCTCATGTCCCCATGTATTGGCCATACTGTAGTAATCTGATGTTTTTTCTGTTTTTTTTTGCCATTGGCGCTGGTACATGGCAGGGCGCATGGGTGGTGAAGAGGAGTGTGGGGACGACACCTCTCATCATTGCTGGAGCTCTCACCGTGCAGTACTTCAAAGGACCCGACTACTTTGAGGTACAGTGCTTTGAGGTACAGTGCTTTGAGGTACGCTACTTGGAGGTACAGTGCTTTGAGGTACAGTAATCTGCAAATATGTGATGGAAGTTGAATTGTCATGTTGTGGCATTGTCTGTATCACATGAGCCCTGTTTGAATGGATGAAGTGATGTTTCGTTTGTACTGTTTCCACACTCTCCCTATGACACCACTGGAATATAGGTGGATGTGGATATTGGGTCATCAGCTGTGGCCAATGGGGTGGTGAGATTCGTGCTAGGATACGTCCGTACACTCATCATCGACATGGCATTCTTAATCCAGGTATTGTACTGGCATTATATATATAATATGTATCTATTTCTAATGTGCTATTGATCCACTGTTTGCATTGTGGTGGTTTGTAAAAAGTTGCTTATGGTGTACGCTATTTACGTTACTTGCAGGGAAACACAGACGAGGAGCTCCCGGAGAAGCTTCTAGGAACCATTCGCATTTCACATCTAGAGCCAAACGCAGCGTTAGACATGGACCTTGACAATTCAGAGCCACCCCCTCATCCTGTCTCTCTCCACGAAGATCCTAAATCTTGATTGAATGGTGTTTTTGGCAAATAATTTGCTTTCTCATCAATAGTCAGTTTTTCCGTCCCAATTACCAGCCATTGTGGAATCAAGGATTCATCTGTAGTGCGAAAGACCATGGGGAGGGGAAGTCTGATGGCAGCATTTTGGTTATTTGACAGGTATACTGTATGCACATGGCAGCTAAAAAAACATGTACGGTACGAGGGAAACGTGTCCATTACATCAGTCGTTTCTTATTGTGTTGGTTTCTTGAGCAGGACCGTTGGACGGTTCTTCGACTTGAAAAATACAATTGATGCCCAACCAGTGCACGCAAATTTGCCTTGCACCGGATGGAAACGCTGCACCCGAGCTCGAAACCCCTGCTTGTTGCTCCCACAATACAGGCACCTGGATGGCTGCCTACAGTACACGCGCTGCGGCCACCACCAAACGTGCAGTCCCGAACAAGGCAGGCCGACCCTGGCTTGCCTTGTTTCCAGGCCAGAAGTCAGTCTGGTGAAACGTATGGACTAAACGTGAATGGTTTCGTCAATGCACTCGCCGAACTTACCCGCCACCTAGGCGAGGTTCATGGTGCGTGTAACAGACGTTTGGGCACATACACACTGCCACGTGTATTCTGCCTCTGTGGGGTACAAGCGCATTGTCAGCCAGGCGTTGTTCGCCGAACCCACGTCAGATGTTCAATCGTGTGGTTACTGAAACAAACAGGCGATAATTCAGGATGGATGCATGGAACAGATACCCGAAACATGTCTTCGAAGTGCCACACAGAACAGGCCCCCCGAGTGCCACAGCACGCTCACCCAGCTAAGTTTAAAACAACCCCGCGAAATCACAAAATCATCATTCACACTCACTCCCGCCTCTCAAGATGCCCCGTTTCCACCGTCGTGAGCAGCTCCCGCTCCATATTAAACGCGCTATCTGCGCTCATCACGTGGATAACCCTCGCCTCCGTCATGTTGACCTGGCAAGGTGGTGCTATTCGCAGTACGGACTGCGCCCGGACCGCTCCACTGTTGGCCGCATTCTGAAGAACGCCGAGCGCTGGGCTGTCGTGGCGACTGACGACAACCAAGTGCGCCGACGAGGAGGCGCATGGCCTGAGCTGGAGCAGGCCATCGCACGTTGGATTGCAAACGCCGGGCCCGCTGGTGTCCCTCTAACGCTGCAGACAATCCGCGACCATGTCGCCACCATGGCGCGGAACATGGGCATTCCGCCCATGTTCCGCTGCTCTATCGGCTGGGTGCGCCGTGCGTTGCGGCGCCAGAGTGTGAGGTGCCGTGCAGCAGCTGGCGAGGCGGCCAGCGCGGACATGGCCGCCGTGCGCGACGCACGGGAGAAGCTGCCTCAACTCCTCACTCACCTCGGCCTCGGCCCGCGCGACACGTTCAACCTGGACGAGACTGCGCTCTGGTTGTCCGTGCTGCCGAGGCGGACGTACAGCGACGGCCGCATTCCTGGGCGCAAAGTGTCTAAGGAGCGTCTGACCGTGGCGTTCCTCGTCAATGCTGACGGGAGCCACGCCTTCCGCCCCCTGGTCATCAGCAAGGCGAAGCGCCCGCACGACTTCCGCTCGGATTACGACCCCGAAGCCCTCTGCTACTGGCGTCACAATGCCAAGGGTTGGATGACAGCCCTGGTATGTTTTTTTTTGTCTATGAGTGAATGAGGTTGGAGATTCTTCAATACTCTTCCCGGTTTCATATGTTAGCTTACCACGCACTATCCCCTTCCTTCCCTTCCCCTCCAACAGCTGTTCACCCATTTCATTTCGCAGCTCAATGCTGCAATGTATGCGGAAGGATGCCAAATCGTCGTTTTGCTTGACAACGCGAGCTCGCACATGCTGCGGAGCAAGCTCGCGTGGAGCGAGATCATTTGTGGCATGCGGACGACTTGCCTGAGAAACGTCCGGCTCGTCTTCCTGCCGCCGAACACCACTGCCTTCACCCAGCCCCTTGACCAGGGCATCATCGCCACCGCAAAAGCCCGCTACCGCCAGCACTGGCTGCGGGCCTTCACGGCCTTGTGGAACGATGACGGCGCGACGAGCGCTGTCGTGCGGTACCGCCCGAACCTGCGCGACGTGTTGGGGTGGCTGTCGGAAGCGTGGACGAGCGTCGGTGCGCGCACCATCCAGCGGTGCTGGTGGCGCACGGGATGTCTCCCGCTGTCTTGGAGCCTGGAGTTGACCCACGTTCACGACGACGAGCCCACCCCGCCCGTCTACCCCGACATCGAGCTCGATGACGACATAGACGACGTCGGCACGCTGATAAGTGCGCTCGGGCTCGGGCATGGCGCGATGACCGCCGCCGAGTACGTCACCATCGACGACGGTGAGCCAACGTGCGCGGAAGGTGCGGCAGAGCAGACGACGATGGAGCCGGAAGCGGGCCTGGTGGCAGAGCTCTGGCGGGCGCCAACCACCATGCCGGCCGTGTACGACGATGCGGACCCCGTGGGTCGTGAAGCGCGGCGCACTGCCCGGGCGGCCTGCGAGATGCTCATCGGCTACGCTCGCGCCACATGCATCACGCCGCGCGACCTCTGCCACCTCTTCGATATCCGCAACCCCCTTATTCTCGCGCGGATGGAGCGGGCAAGCCCAGCCATCAATCTCAACGTGGCCCCGCCGCCCGTGCTTACCTCGGGCGCAACACCCACGCCCGACACCCCGCGTCCGCGCGGCCGTGTGCTGCCTGGCTGGATGACCCAGCCGTCCCGCCGTCAGCAGCTGCTGGACGCTGGTGTTGGCGCCGTGATGGACGGGTATGTTGACTCGGCTGAATGGATGCGCCTCTGAATTGAAGTTCCTAGTTCCGTATCGAGCACGCGTCCGTGGCATTCTGCTGTGCGACATTGTTCTCCCCTCACGCACATTTGTGCGTGTGTTGATGTTTTTAAAGGCTGGAGTTGTGGGGCCATGTGGGTGACGCTGATTGGTTATGGTTTCTGCTTTGGATGTTTCAATCTAAGTTGAACATTTGATGAGGCTGTTTGGTTGATTGTTCTTGCATTCGAGAAGTAACCAGTAACGCGCATTTGTGACAAGGAGTGCCGACCATCACTGTTGCGAAACAGACAAATCGGGTGGTTACCATGTTTAGCTTAGAGGCACGCGCAAAGCCTGACGAAATGTAAGAACCCCATACGAAATGTAGGTTTAGCATACAGACCCCCTTCACAAGGAAACCGGGAGGGGCTCTAACGGGCATTAGCTGTATATGGAGACAAATGATTGGACAGTGACGGCCGTTATAACCACACACAGACAAAATTATGGGTCGCCTACATTTGTCGTCTTCGAAGGCTCGAACAATTGCTTATCAAGTAACGGTATCTGTCGCTTAGCATTGGGGGTTCTGGTTCCTCCACGTGTAGGCAATGTACTGTATTGCACAAATTCTCAGAGCGACCACGTCAGCACCAAATTACAGTAGCCCAAGTGCACACAACAGTCGTACAGTGCGCGACACGATACCCAGTCAACACGGTTCGCCTGCTTTCATCTCATCCAATCAAACCTCACGCCCTCGCGTTCACCAATGGTTGCCTGGCGCCCCAGCCCAGACCTTCATTCAAGGGAAATGCCATGTCATGTCTCATCACAGATTTCTCGTTCCCGCTTCAAGCCACGCATGGTCATAGTGCCCCCGTCACAGAGTCAAGCCTTAATTCCACAGCAGTTCGAAGCAGAGATTGTCGGCACGATTTGTTTCCTGGAACATTTTTTTGTTGTCGAAATCGCGACTGAAAAGTGTAGAGTGAACGGTATTTCACAGAACTAGTTGCCATTTTCGGCTTCATAAATACGCCCCTAATAGTCTGAAGCGGACAGGAATACCACAACAGAACCTGGAAATTGCGCATGAGATTAAAGTCGAGCACCAGTGAAAACCTCGTGAATGTATTTGGTAGGAAATGTGCAAGGGGCGTGCACCTTTGGGTGACCGGCGTGGCGCCCTGTCGAGGATCCTAGAGTGAGTCAAACTACAGATTTCGAGCCGACTACTATGATCCCCACGCAATGATGACGTTACATTTCGCTGCGACTGCAACTGCGAATAGGGTTACCGTCGGATCCCCGCGGAAGCGCGAGTTCTGGCGAGTACTCGGCGGTGTTAGATCCTCGAGTATAAATTGCTTTCCGGAAACTCAGCGCATATTCTTTCTTTACAAGAGAAAAACTGCGTTATCGCCGCCAATGCAATGCGTGAACGGTATTATCCCCAGCAGCAGCAGCAGTCGCTTTCCCGGGCGCAATTTTCGAGAGGGGCGCCTTCGCAGTCCCAACAATCAGTCAATGCAGTCAACGCGTCGGTCAACTCGTTCAATGCGGTCAATGCGCCCACAGTAGGGGCAGGAAACGTCACCTCCGGCTCCCTCGGGATGCCTTACGATCAGTTTCGCGACATCCAACGACTATGGGAGTCGCAAGGGTCGCATCGTGATGTTGCACAAGGAAGCGCTGTCGCACAAATTAGACCCTTCGCACAACACGAAACGGGAACAAACAACACCCCCCTAGGCCAAGCTACAGGGTCCTTAGGCGGGTATGTTTCCGCTGATGGTCCTATTTCCCCGTCCGGAAGCATGGTGGGCAGAATGAGTGGCGGAATGGCGAGGGGGAGCAGTTTTGGCGAAGGGATTGGGGGAAGGCGGGGGGGAATCGCCACGCCCGCGCTGCCTGTTGGAGTTATTGGTCCTCCAGGCCTGGGGGGCGGAAGAAATACGGGGGTTGCAGCAGCAGGGGGAGGCGTAGGATACACCGCGGACAGCGCAACGATGATAGGCGCGGGGATGGCGGAGGGGAGGCTGGAAAGCTTGCTGGCGGAGGCGCTACTTGGGGGAGGGGCTTTCCAGGCGCTGGCGGGAGGAGGTACTTTCCAGCGGCAGTCTGCAGCTCCCCAGGTGTCACCTGCAAGCAGGGAGGTGGGATCTGGTGCAGGTGGGAATATGGCATTACTTGAGCTGATGAGAATGTCAGGGCTCGCTAGTAGCCTCCCTCTCAACCGTACTGTATCAAGCAGCACCGGGAGCGGATACCACTCAGCTAGCCTACCAACCAACTTCGACATGACTTACGCTGGTACAAGGAATCAGCCGCTGCAGTCTTTCTACGGGCAGCCCGGGCAGATGGCAACGAATTCCGAGCGGGGGAACCAAGATCGCGGGCAGCAAGCTACTATGAGAAGCTGGGGGGCGGTTGGGGGGTTGGGTTTAGAAGGAGTGACGGTAGGTGAGGGGTTAGGGTTAACGGCAGGTGAGGGGCTGGGACTGACGGCGGGCGAGGGGTTGGGGGTTTTAGCGGGCTGCCACGACCTGTCTGCAGTTCTGGCTGCTGCTGCCGCCGCCGCTGGTGCCAGCAGCGCACATGGCGCCGCTAGCAGCGCACAGGGTGGCGCTAGCAGCGCACATGGCGGCTTCCCCAGGTCTGGGCTAGGAGGGGGAAGCACAGGGGGAGGGTACGTGAGCGGGGGCATGGTGGGCGGGGGTTGTGTGAGCGGAGGGGGCGGTGGGGGAGGAGGCGCGGGGATGGCGGAAGGGGAGAGCGATGGGGAGGGGTCGGGGGAGGAGGAGGAGGGCGGAGATGGCGCCCCTCGCGCCAGCACCAACGCGAAAGGCCAATGGACCCCGGTATGTGCGTGCGCCGCAAGGTGCATTAGTTGGTGGTACGTGCCTGCATTGGCTTTTGAGTCGACTCAAAAGTCGCGCCAGCACCAATGCCAAAGGCCAGTGGACCCCGGTACGTGGCTGTGTCCGTCGCAAGACTAGTGATTGATGGTACGGGCCTGCATTGATTCTTGAGTCGACTCAAAACTTACGCCAGCACCAACGCGAAAGGCCAATGGACGCCGGTACGTGCCTTTGTCGCAAGCATAGCTGATGCTACGTGCCTGCATTGCAGGGTAGGGGTTGATAATCAACCATGCCTGTGTTGCAGGGTAGTGCTCGATGGTGCGGAGCGTGTGTGCACTGCCAGGCTTGGACTATGGTAGAGGAGTGTAATAGTAACAGCTTACTTGCAAGGCTCCTCTCTTCCGCTCCCGCCTATCGCCTCCCCTCTCCACACCGGCTTTTCAAGTCGACTCAAAATTCGCCTCCCCTCTCCACACCGGCTTTTCAAGTCGACTCAAAATTCGCCTCCCCTCTCCACACCGGCTTTTCAAGTCGACTCAAAATTCGCCTCCCATCTCCACACCGGCTTCAAGTCGACTCAAAATTCGCCTCCCCTCTCCACACCGGCTTTTCACGTCGACTCAAAATTCGCCTCCCCTCTCCACACCGGCTTTTCAAGTCGACTCAAAATTCGCCTCCCCTCTCCACACCGGCTTTTCAAGTCGACTCAAAATTCGCCTCCCCTCTCCACACCGGCTTTTCAAGTCGACTCAAAATTCGCCTCCCCTCTCCACACCGGCTTTTCAAGTCGACTCAAAATTCGCCTCCCCTCTCCACACCAGCTTTTCAAGTCGACTCAAAATTCGCCTCCCCTCTCCACACCGGCTTTTCAAGTCGACTCAAAATTCGCCTCCCCTCTCCCCTTTTCGAGGTTCTCCCTTCCCGCCCTTGTTCCCTCACCCCATCCCCCTCCCACCTCCCACCTCCCCTCCCTTCTCACCCCCCACTGTTGGCCCAACAGGAGGAGGACGAGATTCTGAGGAGGTTGGTGGAGAGGGGGGGGGCGCGGCGGTGGTCCGCCATAGCAGCGCAGCTCAAGGGGCGCGCGGGGAAGCAGTGCCGTGAGCGGTGGCACAACCACCTGAAGCTGGGGATCAAGAAGGACGCGTGGACGGAGGACGAGGAGGAGACGCTGATAGAGGCGCACAAGCGCGTGGGGAACAAGTGGGCGGAGATTGCGAAGCTGCTGCCTGGGCGGACGGATAACAACGTGAAGAATCATTGGAATTCGACTGTGAGGCGGAAGGAGGACGTGGGGCGGACCGGGGGGAAGGTTGGGGGGAAGCCCACGCTGCTGCTGAGGTATATACAGTCGTTGAAAGGGGGGAAGGATGGGGGCGGGGGGAAGGGGGGGAAGGGCGCGGGGGGGAAGGATGGGGGGCGGGGGAAGGAGGCTGCAGGGAAGGCGGAAGAAGGAGGGGAGGAGAAGGGTGGAGAGGGGGAGGAAGGAGAGGAGGGAAAGGGAGATGGGGGAAAGGACGGAGGGAAAGAGAAGGGAGGTGGGAGAGAGGGAGGAGGAACGGGAGAGGAAGGGGAGGAGGGAGAGAAGGGAGAGAAGGAAGAGAAGGGAGAGAAGGAGAGAGTAAAGGGACAGGAAGATGAGCGTGAGATAGTGGAAGGCATGCAGGGAGGGAGGGAAGGGAGGGAAGGGATGGCAGATGGTGGGGATGGGGATGGGGATGGGGATGGGTGTGGGGATGGGGATGGGGACGGGAATGGTATTAGGGATGCAGGGCACAGGGAGAAAGAAGGAGAAGGGCCAGCTTTAAGAAGAGAGGAAGAGAATGGTTTGGGGAAAGACAAAAGAGAGAAGACAGAAGAGACACGGGCAGGCGAGGAAAGGGGAAAAGAGCTACAGGCAAGGGAGGAGAGGGCAGGAGAGACGCGGAAAGACAAGGAGAGCATAGAAGAGGAACGAGCAGGAGAGGAGACCGAAGAGATGGAAGTTGGGGAGAAGGAAAGGAGGGAAGGGACGGAATCAGGAGGAGGGTTGGGGGACGGAGAAGGGAGAAAGGTGGATGCAGAAGTAGCACAGGGGCCCAACAATGGTAGAGAGGCAAGCAGTGACGCTGCGAATGGAGCAAATGAAGGGAAAGGAGGGGTGAGGCAGTCCCATGTAAACGGGAGCGAAGGAGCAGAGGAGCAGAGGAGCGAAGTAATGGGAGAGGAGCAGATGCGTCTGACAGAAAAGGTGGGGCCTGACACGGGCAGACAGACGCGGGCAGGAAAGGAGGAAGAGAAGGAGCAGCAGACGTCTGAGTTGCCTCAACAGACAAGGGCAAGGAAGGAGGAGAAGCAGGGAAAGGAGGAGAAGGAGGAAGAGGAGGAGGAATGGAAGGGAAAGGAGGGGAAGGAGAGGAAGGAAAGGCAGGAGAGGAGGAGGACGGGAGGAAGAGGAAGGTCCGAGGGTGGAGCCAGGGCAGCAGAGGATATAGGTGATGCAGTCTCCATGGACATTGATGTGAGTGGAGAGGAGGGGGGAAGAGGGATTGGGGGGGGGGGGTGAATGGGTAAACGATTTAAAAAACCTGATAATTTCATGTGTCCCATCCAACATCATGTATCCCATCCAACATCAGTCCTCATCCTTGCACGCTTACTCTGCTGACTATTTCCGTTCCCTCCCATCCCCTCCCTTACCCCTCGAATCCTTCCCGTGCCCCATCAGACCCACCACGTCACGTCCCACAGCAGCAGCAGCCTTTCCATTCGAGGCTCGTCAGCGACAGGGAGGGCAGCAGCACCAGCAGCAGGAAGCGCAGCAGCACCAGCAGCAGGAAGCGCAGCAGCACACACACAAACAGCAGGAAGCCCAGCAGCACACACACAAACAGCAGGGAGGGCAGCAGCACAAGCGGTTCAAGGAGAGACCACCACACCTGCAGCAACAGCAGCAGCTTCTTCCTCTCACGCTCTTTCCTCCAGCCATCCGCGTTTTGAGACGACTCGACACTCGATCAGTGCAGACACTGCCTCAGCAGCGTCGCCCTTACGCTCGCGTTCTTTCAGCAATGCTCGCCTCTCCTCCTCCCATGTCCCTTTTGAGTCAACTCAAAACGCAGAGACTGCTGCTGCAGCAGCGTCGTCCCTCCGCTCGCATTCTTTCAGCAATACTCGCCTCCCCTCCCAAGTGACTTCTGAGTCGACTCAAAACGCAGAGACTGCCGCAGCAGCAGCAGCATCCTTGCGCTCGCGTTCCTTCGGCAACGCACATCTCTCCTCCTCCCGTGTCCCCAGTTTCGAGGCGCCTCAAAATTCCTCACCCTCAAAATTCCTTACCTCCCATGTCTCTCTCAGAGCTGCTTCGTTCCCCCGCGCTCCCGCTTTCCTCCCGCCCACCTGGCCCCCCTCGCCTTTTGAGACGTCTCAAAATCCGTCCTCCTGGCCCCTCTCCCGCTCGCTCCCAAACGCTCCCACAGCCAACACTACTGCTTCCGCTGCTGCTGCCGCCGCCACCGCTGCTGTTGCCACTGCTGCCGCTGCTGCCATTGCTGCCACTGTTGCCACTGCAGCCGCTGCTTCAAGCGAAGCTACTCCTGCTGAGGCTAGTGTAACAACTGGGGCTGCACCTGCCGTTGCTCTTACAGCGGAGAGGCACAGGGAAGCAAACAACAACACACAGCCACACCACGGCCCCGGTGTGTTTGACTTTGTCCCAAGGAGACAGCACACAGGTGCAAGGGAGGCGATGCTGGGACAGGAGCATGCAGCCCAAGCGTGTCTAGGGCAGATGCAGCCCACAGGGGAGAGGCACAGGGAAACAAACCCACGGCAATTCCAAGGCCCCAGTGGGGTTGACCCAAGGAGACAGCCCACAGGTGCAAGGGAGGCGATGCTGGGACAGGAGCATGCAACCCAAGCGTGTCTAGGGCAGATGAGCACTGGGCAGCCATTGGTGGAGCAGGAGCAGATGTGTGTGGGGCAAACATTGACAGCACAGACGAGTGTGGGCGACCAGAGGGATCTAGCAAAGGCTATGGGCGACCAGAGGGAGCTAGCGAGGGCCATGCTTCAACTGGACGCACTCTCCTCTGCTGGCCTGCTCATGGGCCTCCCTGCTGCTGCCGCTGCTCACTCTGCTGCTGCTGCTACTTCTTCTACATCTGCTGCTGCTCCGTGCTCGTCTGCCCCCACTCGTGCCCCTCCTGCTTCTCCCTCCACCGTCTCCTCCCCCCGTTCTGCCCCCTCCTCTCGCCCCCCATTCCCTCCCTTTCCTTCCCCAGCACCGCTCTCCACCACATTCCCCCGCTCTTTCTCCACCCCTCAAGGCCGAATCCCTGCTTTTTCCCCCTCTTTGTCATCTCTCACTAATTCTCTCCCAAATACACTCCAGCCTATCAACCCTTTCCCGCACAACCCTTCTCTTCCTCTCCCCACCTCCGCTTCTATCTCTGTTCCCTCTACCTCCTCTGCTGCACCCACCAATCACCCCCTCCCCTGCCTCTCTCGCTTCGCCACAGTGTCAGCTTCCGACCAATCAGCAGCCGGCGGTCTGACCACCCGGGCAGCTGAAATTGCGAGTGGGGTGCAAAATCTTTTCGACGCGCTCATGCGCTCGGACATCCTCCCTGCCCCCTCCGTTCCATCCTTCTCATCTCAACCGTCCATTCCTGATGCTACGCGAAGATCGGCACCGTTGACCCAGCATCCACATCCCCATCTCCCATCCCCATACCATCCTGCCCCAAGTCAACCTCCCGCCTTCTCTACCCTCCCGCCTCCCCTCACATCCTCTTCCCGAGCTCCTTGGGCTGGGGGGAAGAACCCAGGGATGGCAGGAGGGGAGGTAAACGTGTCTAGTGTGTCAACCACAGGGCGTCTAGAGGGCGGTGAGCTGTGGACTGGTAGAAGCAGTGGCACCACCGGATCTGCTGGTAGCGCTGCTGCTGCTGGTGATGCTGCTGCTGCTGCTGCTGCTGCTGCTGCTACTCGTCCTGCTGCCTCTGGTAGTGCTGGCAGTGCACACATCATTGGATCAGGCGGTTTTGTAATCCCTTCTCCACATCTCAACCATCTTCTTGCTCTCCCTTTTCCTCTCGCTACTTCTCCTGCTGCTGTCCCTGCTGGTAATATTGCATCTGCTGCTGTCCCTGCTGGCAATATTGCATCTGCTGCTGTCCCTGCTGGTAATATTGCATCTGCTGCTGTCCCTGCTGGTAATATTGCATCTGCTGCTGTCCCTGCTGGTAATATTGCATCTGCTGCTGTCCCTGCTGGTAATATTGCATCTGCTGCTACTGTTGCTGATGTTGATGGCGGTGGTGGTGGTGGTGGTGGTGCTGCTGCTGCTCCTGCTCCTGCTGCTGCTGCTGCTGCTGCTGCTGCTGCTCGTGCCGCAGATAGAGACAACTGTGATACGCTGCCCAACCCGTCTCAGCTGCCCGATTTTTCTCAACTGCCCAATTTCTCCCAGCTGCCGAAATTCCTAACGCAGGAGCAACTGGCACTACTGAAACAGGTATGCACCATACCCACACCTTCTGTACCATACCCACACCTTCTGCACCATCACCAACCCCGCTGCACCATCACCAACCCCGCTGCACCATCACCGCGCCCTCTGCACCGATTCTGCATTGGTCTCCCTCAATCTACACAACCCCTTTGTTTCCCCCTCCATTGCCCTCTTCCCCAACCCTTCCCCATCCCCCTCCCTCTCGTTCTCTGTCCTTTCGCCAACATGTGACCTTTGCTCCGATCGTGCCCCACTGTCGACTCACCTCCATCCCCATCCCCATCCTCATCCCCATCCCCATCCCCATCCTCATCTCCATTCCCATCCCCATCCCCATCCTCATCCCCATCCCCATCCTCATCTCCATTCCCATCCCCATCCCCTTCCCCTTCCCCATCCCCATCCCCATCCCCATCCCCATCCCCATCCCCATCCCCATGCCCATCCCCATCCTCATCTCCATGCCCATTCAATCATTCTTGTACGCCCACTCTCTGTCCCCATCCACTGCATGCCCCATCCGATCGCAGTGGCTGGAGGGGGGTCGCAGCGGGCAAGGCATGCAGAGCCAGGGGGGACTGGAGGCCACTGCTGCTGTGCCTGGTGGCTTGGGGGGCGAGTTTGGATCGACTCAACAGTCAGCCCAGGGCCCTGCAATCGTCACTACACCTGTCACTGCAGCTGTTACAGCACCTGCGGCAGCACCTACGGCAGCACCTGTTACTCCACTTGTGGCAGCACCTGAGGAAGCACCTGGGGCATCAACCGTGGCAGCACCTGTGGCAGCGCCTGTGGCAACACCGGTGGCAGGACCTGTGGCAGCACCTTCAACAGCACCTGTAGCAGCACCTGTAACAGCACCTATGGTAGCAGCAACTGGAGACTCAATGGACCGTTCCAAGGGCCCTCAAGGTGCACGAGGGAAGGGCGACGAGGTCTTTCGGATTCCACAAGACCGGCCGACGATGACCTTCGAGTCAACTCGAAAGTCAACTGGAGAGTCAGGGGACTGTTCCCAGGGCCCTCAAGGTACAAGAGGGAAGGACGACGAGGGCTTTCGGGTTCCCCGAGACCGACCGTCGATTCCTGGCCGAAATACAAGAGCTGAGGCAGCCACTGACAAAGTGCATGCCATTCCCTCTGCTGACAGGGGTGTGGGAATTGGTGGAAAGTACGAGGAAGGAGAAGAAATGGTTGGAGGGAGGGTGGAGGGTATTGTTGTGAGAAACAGCGAGAATGAGAGACAGGGTGCTGCCGGTGATGAGGTTCGAAGGGAGGAAGAGGTTCCAAGGGAGAAAGTGGGTCAACAGGAGGACGATATGCGGGGCAGTGATGTACAGGGAACAGTTGAGAAGAACAGTCACCAACCGCAAGAGGAGCAGAAGCAGGGTCGGCAGCACCAGCAGCAGCAGCAGCAGCAGCAGCAGCAGCAGCAGCAGCAGCAGCAGCAGCAGCAGCAGCAGCACCACCACCACCAACATCAGCAGCAGGAGCAGCGGCGGGAGAACCGACAGCAAGAGAACCTGCATCAGGAGAACCAGCAGCAGCAGGAGCAGCAGCAGCAGGGCCAACGGGAGGAGCAAGGGGAATCAGCAGCAACAGGAATGGATGTTGATGGTACACTCAAGGAGGGTGGGCACGGAGGGGACGAGGAGCAAGAGACGACTTTTGAGGCGCCTCAAAAGCAAGGAGTGGGGGAGCAAGGAAGGGGCAAGGAGGGGGGTGGTAGAGAAGACAGTGGGGACAGGCAGGGGGATAGGAATCCTGTTGTTCGCCGAAGCTGCAGTGATGGTGGTGGCAGGCTTGGTTCGGAAACTGGTTTGGATAGGCGGTCCCCTCGCCCGGAGCAGCTACAGGTGGTTCGGCGGTGGAATACCGGGAGGCTCGGCAGCTGGTCGGAAAGGAGCAGCTTGAGCAGTGGACAATCTGGACCGTTGATCTCGAAGAAGCGGCCGATCACAAGCGTTGATCCCAGCACCCCTAGTCCCAGCCCACAGCATCAAAGGGAGCAGAACCAGCAGAGCCAGCAGCCACCACAACTGCAGCTGTCACAGCAACAGCCCCACTGGCAGCAGCCGCAGCAGCAATGTGAACAACAGCAGCAGCAGCAGCAGCTGCCACACCAGCAGCAGAAGCAGGGGGAAGAAGTCCAACAAAAGGACAACCAAGACCGCCCGCCGCCACGACCCATGCGCACCCGTCCCATGCTCAAGCGGAGCATGGCGGGACCCCTACCAGGCGCGCCTATAGCCGTCATAGACGGCACAATCCAGCTCGTCGGCGATCTCTCCCTCCTCGACGGTGGTGGCTCCTTCCCCCCTCCTCCCTCCGCCCACTCTTCCCCTCACCCCCTCTCCACGTCTGCTCCCTTCCCCACCCGCGGCAACACCGCCCCCCTGTCTTCAAATCCCCTTGTGCTCGCCGTGTCTCCACACCCCAGCCCATCTCCTGGCGTGGCGGCCCGGCCTTGGGGGATGAAATCCCCTCTGCCAGGTGAATCGCAGAAAAGAGATGCGGTACTGTCTCCGTCTCCCCGTGCTGCTGCTGCCCGGCCTTGGGGTTTGAAGTCGCCACTACCACGTGAGCCACAGAAAACGGCGCCAGTATTTAAAGCGCCTCAGGAGCCTCAAGCAGCAGCGCTTCCATCGGGTGCTGAGGCGCAGAAATCGAGTGCAGGTCTGGTCAAACCAGGTGTAGCAGGCGTGGACGGGCCCGCAGTGGAAGCAGCAGCGCTTCCATCGGGTGCTGAGGCACAGAAATCGAGTGCAGGTCTGGTCAAACCAGGTGTAGCAGGCGTGGACGGGCCCGCAGTGGAAGCAGCAGCGCTTCCATCGGGTGCTGAGGCGCAGAAATCGAGTGCAGGTCTGGTCAAACCAGGTGTAGCAGGCGTGGACGGGCCCGCAGTGAAAGCAGCAGCGCTTCCATCGGGTGCTGAGGCACAGAAATCGAGTGCAGGTCTGGTCAAACCAGGTGTAGCAGGCGTGGACGGGCCCGCAGTGGAAGCAGCAGCAGCGGCTGCAGCTGCAGGTCTGGATCGGCCGAGACTCGATGTGACGGTGGAAGGTGGTGGCGCAGTGCTGGGAGCAAGTGAAGCACCATCGCGTGCTGCTTCTTATGGAGAGCCAGGTGTAGCAGCAGTGGCAGCACCAGCACTGGGAACGGCAGCAGCACCAGCAGCGCCAGCACTAGCTGCGCCAGCAGCAATAGATTCACCTGGATACCAGGCTAGCCCAGCCAACCCAGCCAGTTTTGAGACGTCTCAAAGGTCGCCAGCAGCAATAGATCCACCTGTATACCAGGCCGGCGCAGCCAACCCAGCCAGTCCTGCTAAGCGAATTCTGAAACACAGCCAGTCAGCCCGGCTCCCTCCTCCGGACCGCCCGCGCCTCTCCCCTGCCCTCCGGAGCTCTAGCTTCGGGAGCCGAGGCTCGGCGTCAGGCTCGGGACAGTTTGCGGCTGATTCGACCGAAGGTGAAGCAGCCTCAGGAATGGAGGATATGGTGTTTGAGAGGAGGGATGTCGGGACTCAGGTGAATCCTTTAGAGGGGTCGAGTGGGGGAGAGGGAATGGATAGTGTGTGGTCGGGGAAGTTCGTCCAGGAGTGGAGTGGAAGACGAGGGGGGCAGCATCTTGCCAGCGTGACTGAAGGCATTGCGATTCAAGCCGATATGAGAGAGAGACACGCTACTGGCAGTGAGGCCAGAGCTAGTGAGTTGAGAGATGGTGGGAAGGAAGATGGTGGGAAGGCTGATGGTGGGGATGCTGCAGCGTGCAGAGAGGAGGAGGATGCTGGTGCTGCGACTTCTGAGTCCATTCCACAAGCAGGAGGCAGCATGGAGTTCAATGGTGCTGCGACTGGTGCAGCTACTGGTGCAGCTACTGGTGCTGCACACACTGCATCTCTTAGGGAGGACGAGCGGATGGGTCGGCAAGGGCAACAGCAGGATTACGAGCAGCATAACAGGCATGGGCAGCAGAATAACGATTATACTCATGTGCAGCAGCAACAGCAGCAGTTGGGAGAGCAGCAGCTGGAAGATGCAGAGGAGGAAAATGAGGGAAGGGAGGAACATGAGGAGGAGGAGGAGGAGGAGGGACATGAGGAGGACGGGGAAGGGGAGGAGTTGCAAGAGCACGAGGAGGTGTATGAATACATGGGTGTGCGATCAAGCCTCACTTGTGAGGCGCCTCGAAAAGAGTTGCAAGAGCACCAGGAGGAGGACAGGGAGGAGGAGGTGCAAGAGCACAAGGAGGTGTATGAGTACATGGGTGTGCGATCAAGCCTAACCATCACCCGCAGCAGCACCACCACCATTCCCTCCCACCCCTACTCGCACGTCCACAACCCCACCCAGCCAGAGTATCCCAGTGCACAGCTTGTTCATTCCGAGCCTAGTGCGTCTCATTATCATGAGCCCACGAACGCACCAATGGATTCGGGTGACTATGACTTGGACACTGCAGCCAGTGGCAGAGCCAGCAGTGGTGCTGATGCAGCAGCAGCCTCCACTCCACCGCCAGTTTCTCCTGCTGCTGTTGCTGCTGTCACAGCGCCTGCAAGCACGGGTGCAACGCCCAACACCATCAGTGCAGCCCTCTCCCCTGTACACCCACCTCCGCCTGTGTCTGCCACGGCTGCTTCTGCCGAGGCTGCTTCTGCCGAGGCTGCTTCCACTCTCCCTGCTTCGGGTTTCGGCCCGAGTCCGTTTGGTCAGCTTGCCTCTCAATGGATTCTCTCCAATCTTCCGCCCCAACCTGTTGCCACCCAGTCAAACCCATCCGTCCCGAACCTTCCAGACGTGCTGCCGAGCCTCTTGAACGGCCCTCCAAACCTCGAAAGTACCCGTCCAAGCCTGATAACCTCTGCAGCACCTGAGATCACTTATCCCTCCATGTCTGACCTTATAGCAGGGTGGTTTTCAGGTGATAGCCCAGGTGTGATTATGCAGCAGTGGGGCTCTATGGGGGGACTAGGCTCAGGGATAGGACCCAGCCCAGGTGTGACTATACAGCCGTGGGGTACTATAGGGGGGATGGGCTTGGGAACAGGACCCAGCCCAGGTGTGACTATGCAGCAATGGGGTACTGTAGGAGGGATGGGCTCAGGAATAGCAGCCAGTCCAAGTGTGACTATGCAGCAGTGGGGCTATATGGGAGGGATGCGCCCAGGGGTAGCAGCAAGCCCAGGTGTGACTGTAATGCAGTGGGGCTCGTTTGCAGGGGGGGGCGGAACGGGAAATGGGTTCGGAGGGCTCGGAGCGAGCCCAGGCGTGATTATACAGCCATGGGGCTCTATCGCGGGAGCAGCTGGAGTTGGGACAGCAGCAGAGTCAGGTGCAAGGATAGGGGCCGAGGCGACAGCAGGTGCAACCCCAGGTGTGATTGTACAGCAGTGGGGCTCTAACGAAGGGGCAGCAGCACCAGCAGCAGCAGCAGCAGCACCAGCAGCAGCAGCAGCACCCACACTAGCAGCAGCGGCAGCAGCAACCCTACCAGGACTAGAAGCTTCCCTAGAGCAGCTGCTACAGCAGATGAACCCATCCTCGTTACAAGACGCCAGTGCGATAATAGACGCTCTCAGCTTCCAAGCGTCCCTGGCAGCTTCAGCAGGGCTGCCGTTCTCCAACCTGCCCGCTTCACACGGTCAGAGTGGGGGGAGCCCTCCCACCTGTGCTGCAACTGCTGCCACTGATGCACCGGCCGCTCCTCCCGCTGTTGCCAATACTACAGGTGGTTCCGCTAGTGATGAGCCGCCAGGTTCAGCGTGTGAGCCCATGGATATATAGGCTCTCAGCTCCTCCGTGTGAGCCCATGGATATATAGGCTCTCAGCTCCTCCGATTGAGGTGCCTTGTGAGCCTTTGCAGCCTTCACCTCATGATCACTTGTTACAGCCTTTGCAGCCTTCACCTCATGATCACTTGTTACAGCCTTTGCAGCCTTCACCTCATGATCACTTGTTACAGCCTTTGCAGCCTTCACCTCATGATCACTTGTTACAGCCTTTGCAGCCTTCACCTAATGATCACTTGTTACAGCCTTGGCAGCCCTCACCTCATGATCACTTGTTACAGCCTTTGCAGCCTTCACCTCATGATCACTTGTTACAGCCTTTGCAGCATTGTGGCTCCCCTTGTTACAGTTCCATTTTTTGTCGCCTCAAAAGAAATAAAGAGTGTTCAGGGATCATGCCGGTACGTCACTTCTGCTGGGCATTGAGGCTTCCCATACAGCACTTCCAACCACCTGTCCTCTTCTGCTGGTCGCCTGCTTTGTGCGCTACTGTATACCGTACCGTATATTTCATTATACAGTACTGATCACTCCCCCTCAGGGTTCGAAGGGACCAGCAGACCCAATAGTTCTCCCCAAGTGCTTGTGGTGGTAAAGGCTCATTTTTCTTGCCTTGTATGGCATGGGGTGGGGTGGTATGGCATACATGTGCCCGCTCCACTGCATAAGCCCTTCCTGGATTTTGTATTGAATAGTGGCCGTGATTTGAGTGTAGCATCTGAAAGAATATCACCGTAGTCTCTGCTTGTGCTCTCCTTTCAGCCCTGCAAAAAAACTTGTGTATTGTCAAACATTTGTAACAACACAAACCCTACTGGGTTACAGAGTAACAGCTAAACACAACCACCTGAGCGCAATCACGTATGCGCATGATATCAGTCCGGTGGTCATGCCTGTCATGCTCTCCTCCTGAGTGTCCTCATACTCTGCCTGCTGTCTGTCACTACTGCTACTCCTTTGCTTGCACCTCCTGCTTTGCTTGCTCCTGCTGCTGCACTCGCTCCTGTAAGTGGGGGGCAAACGTCTCGGCTACAAGCAGGGGGAAGGCAATGGTGGCATCGCAATACACCTGCAGGTGGCCAAGGGGAAATGGAGGATGGAGGAGATGGGTGAAAGGGCAGAGGGGATGGGTGAAATCACATGGGAATTCTTAGTCAACTCAAAAGCAGAGGGAAGGTGATGGAGAAATCATTATGCACCTGCAGGCAGGTGAAATGAAGCCATCAGATTATAGGCTTTTACTGCAGAGATGGGCGAATGAGATAGGAAGAATGGCAGAGGCGATGCTTGACTTGGAATTACGACACTACATGTGCTCTCTCACTACCCCTACAGTGCCATCACATACGCCACCTGCTCCCCGTGCCTTCTCTCCCCACAGCATGTGTGTCTGCTCACACTCTCACAATTTCACAAGGCGACATTGAGCCAGCTTAAAGGAGATTTCTCTCTCTCCCTCTCAACTTCACAGCGGTGGCATCTTCTCGGATCATCCCCCAGCTCACAGCCTCGTCCGGCCTGGCCCCCGAGTCGCTCCCATCAAACTCCGAATAGCCACATAATCCTCCCCGTTGCGCATCATCCAATAACCCTCCCAGTACCTTCTCTTCCCTCGCCACATGTGCTCGCTTCAGAGGACTCTCAAAAGGGACTCTTCTCACCTTAACTGCACTCGCATCTCCTCTGATCTTCCCCCAGCTCACAGCCTCGTCAGGCCTGGCCCCCGAGTCGCTGCCATCGAACTCGCTCGCCGTGTTGATGTAGACCGCGTAGTCCGCCCCGTTGCGCATCATGTTGGCGTTGCAGATGTGGTGCTTCGGCAGCCCCCCTCCCAGAATGATCACGCCCGTTCGCCGCGGGGTGGCGTTCACTGCCTCACCGTTCATCCGCCGGATGTCTGGGGGGAAGAGGGGAGGTGGGGAAGAGGGGGAAGAGAGGAGGAGGAGGAGGAGGAGGGGAGCCGCAGGGGTGGAATTGTTGTTGGGGTGGGGGGAAACACTGTTCATTCGCTGCCAGGGGGTGTGTCAGGGGCAAGGGTGTGTCAGGGGCAAGGGTGAGGGGGGTGTCAAGTGGTGGGAGGTCAGCCCCGTTGCGCATCATGTTGGCGTTGCAGATGTGGTGCTTCGGCAGCCCCCCTCCCAGAATGATCACTCCCGTGTGCCGCGGGGTGGCGTTCACTGCCTCGCCGTTCATCCGCTGAATGTATGGGGGGAACCATGGGGCGTTCAGGGAAGAGGGTGAATAAGGAAGGTTGCGAGTAAGGAGGGTGCCTAAAGGGATGGTGAGGGGTTGAGTGAGGAGATGTGTCAGGGAAGAAGGTTGCCAGCCCCGTTGCGCATCATGTGGGCGTTGCACCAAGTCAACCTAGTCAACGCAGGTCAACACACCTTGCACGAGGTCAATGAGGAGCCCGGGCGAGCGGAAGGAGTGGAAGTAGATCATGTCACCCAGGGACCCGTCCGTGATGGCTGGACAGAACACCGGGATGCCGTTCTGACATTACAGGGGGGGTGGCGCACAAACGCAAAGATGCACAGGATATGCTTTTCTGTTATTTTCCTATTTTTTAATCAAGGGTTGAGCTGCTGACAGTGTGATGGAGAAGAGGCGCACCTAGAGGCGGGGGGAGGCTGACCTTATGGGCCCAGTAGAGAACCGACTCCTCATGGTTGATTTCCTTCCCCAGGCGGTCGATGAGCTTGGAGGGCGTCCACACCACGCCCTGCTTGAGACCGGCACACATGGGCAGGGGTAAGGTCAAGGACAGTGAGTGCGGTTAGACTCACATGTCACACCGCTTATCCGACATAAAGAGTCCCCTGCTTGATGTGGTGTGTGTGAGCACATGAGGGACGAGAGGAGGAAGGGCAGTGAATGTGGAACGAACACAGATGATAACTGACTGAAAGGCAAACGGCAAGCAGCAATGCGGAGAAAAGGGTGCTCCCTTCGTTTTTCTCCCCCTTACCCCCTTAGCTCTCACCTCTTATTTCTCCCTCTCCCTCTCCTTTTCCCTCCCCCTCTTCTCCCCTCTTTCCTCTCCCCCCCCCTGTCATTTTCCCCTCACCTCACCTGCGTCTGCTGCTCCTCGAGACAAGCATCCAGCACGGGCAGGACCCAGTCTTCAAAGAGGCAGTAGTTGTTGTTCAGTATGAGCAGGTTGACCGTCCTGCCAAGACACCACCTCCCACTCCCTCTCTCTCTCCCTCTCTCGCTCACCTCGCCCCCCCCTCACCTGCGTTTTCTGCTCCTCAAGACAAGCATCCAGCACGGGCAGGACCCAGTCCTCAAAGAGGCAGTAGTTGTTGTTCGGCACGAGCAGGTTGCCGATGCGGTTCAGCCCCTTGGCCCGCAGGTCCTTCCCCGCCAGGGAGAAGTCACCCAGGAGCGTGGGCGCCAGGCACTTAATCACGTCCTCTTCTATGCCCCCCGCTGTTGTCACTATCACATCCACCTGGATGGGTGCGTGGTTAGATGAGAGAGTGTAAGGGAAATAACATAAATGAGGGGTTTGACTATGAGAGAAGCGCAGCAAGCAAGACCATGACAAGGTACAACAAGAATAAGAGCATGACTGAGCGTAGGGGCCGTTACACGAACGGGAGTGGGGGATGGAGGAGGAAAGAAAGAAGGATTGATTGAAGGAAAGAAATGAGGGGATTAAACAGATGTGCTTACCAGTTTGTGCTTTGCCAGGAAGCAGAAGGTCTCTCGGAGCATTAGCCCGAGAGACAGGAGCTCATGAGGTTGGATTGGATGTGAAGCCCAGGAAGATCTTGCACCGCACCGACGACCGGAAGGCCGGGAGTCCCGGTATACTTGAGTGATACAACCCCCTGACTAACTCACACGAGGCAGTGACCCACCAGTTTGTGCTTTGCCAGGAAGCAGAACGTTTCTCGGAGCCCCGAGCTCATGAGGTTGGAGGTGAATCCCAAAAAGATCTTGCACCGCACCGACGACCGGAAGGCTGGGTCCCTCTCCTCTTCTGTATCGTCCGGCTTGGGTGGGTCGTCGCTCAGCCGCCACGCAAGCTGGGGAGGGGAGGGAAAGGAGGAAGGGGGTGAGTGATGGGTATGAGGTAAGAAGGGACGACCGGAAGGCTGGGTCCCGCTCCTCCTCCGTGTCGTCCGGCTTGGGTGGGTCGTCGCTCAGCCGCCATGCAAGCTGGGAAGGGGAGGGGGGGGGTTCAGGGTTCGGGTTTAAGGTTTCAGCTGAGGGTTGAAGGAAGGACGGAGAGGTAGCAGCCGGGTCCCTCTCCCCCTCCGTGTCGTCGGCCTTGGGCTCGCTCAGCCGCCACGCGAGCTGGGGAGGGGAGGGGGGTTTTGAGGGTTGAAGGTTTAGAGGTAGGGCGGAGAGGTAGCAAAGGCAGGAATCCTCCACTCCCCTATGACTTCGGTATTGGGCGGATGATCTTCGCGCAGCCGCCACGAGATTGGAAAAAAACGGATCCAGGGTTTCGGGGTTTGACATGGAAAAGTCAAGGTGGGGGAAAAGGGATGGGGAATGGGGGTTCAGGGACTACGAAAGAACGGAATGACAGGAGCTAAACGCGGGACGAGCAGGCACAGGGACGGCCGTGGGGGAACATCAGACGCGAGGAACGAGATCGCACCATTCGGTTGACTTCATTAATCGCCTGTCCCAGACACGTGGCTTGGAACCCCGTCGTCACCATTCGCTTCATCAGCAGCGAGTAATCCACCGTCACCGATCCCGCCCCTCCTACTCCCACTGCTGCTGGTACGGCCCTACAAGCTTCCCCTCGCCCTGTTTGTTCTGCTGTAGCAGTCGTGACTGCATAGCTATCTCGAGTATCGCCATCCGCGCTACAGGGGGTTTCGATTCCGCTACCCTCTCGCGGCTGATCGCGGCGGGGAAATTCGCGCGCGGGGAGAACAGAAGCTTCGTGGAAGGTGTGCCCGCGGACACGTGGCGTGCTGTCGTCTACAGCCTCGGATCGCTTCAGAGCCGCGTCTAGCGCGCATTGCGGTGGCTGCTTTTGCTCCATGGAGGAGTAACGCGCTTATGGCGCTTATGGCGCCTAGGAGCCTTGTAAAAGATCGTGCTGATCTACCGGTTCTTCTGTGCCGATGGTCTAGCTGCGGAGTTGAGTTGTGAGTGTTTCAGAATGGAGCGCCAGCGCAAGTGAGGCGTACATTTTGCCAAGCAGTGAGCATTATGGACCAGTACAAGCAGACGCGTTTGTGGACGGTGTAGCACGTTCGCCACACATTTCAATTTCCCTGCAAGTAAAAATAAATGAGTCCATCAAACATGGCAAGTCCTAGGAAAACCAACACAGCACAACCAACCCATTCTTGAACTTATTGAGTGAGAAGCTGCACTGCAAAAGTGCGGATTTCCCCTGGGGCTAATTCCACTGTAAGGGAAGATGGGTCCACAGGCCCGCCCTGGGGTGAATGCTCCTTAGAACGGCTTGAATCGCCATCGACATGCCATGTCATCGGACGGCGCATATCCGATCGTTTCTGATTAGCCATTAGACTCAACTCTGTCACTCCTTGTATCTGCACCAATCAGAGCACACAGAAGCTAATGTGAACAAACGGGGGGACAAAAACAGGCGTGCACCAGCAGCTGGGGGCATCATTAAGACAGCACAAATGATTGTGTATGGGTAATGTACAATAGGATATGATGCATTACCTTTTGTGACGAAAGGAGTTGCCTTAAGTCAACGCGCTCGATTCTGGATTGTGTTGGATGCTCATCAGCCTACGGGGATGGTGGTGATGGTGGAAAGAGGGGAGTTGCCTCGAAACACAAGTGAGGGCCTGAACAATATATGTTCTAGAGGTGCTCTAGGGCAACACAACGAAGTGATTGAGGCATCTTTACAGATAAAGTGGGGAGTAGAAAGCTCTGAAAGTGATGCCAGGTACGGTGCATGGTGTCATGGGGAGCGGCACAATGATCCGTGCGCACACTGTTCTCAAGCTTGCCATACCTCGTACAGATGCGCCAGTCGCAGCACAATGTTCCTTGGGGACAGTTCCTGCATGAGAAAGAGTGCAGGGGAAGCAACAGGCAATGAGGCGCCGCCACATTGGACCAAGCCGGCGTGGTTGTGATCAGCTAGGAATACATTAGCACAAAGACGGTACGTCCTCGTCTCACAACACCGTGCCATGGAACAACTTTTGAGGCGTCTCAAAAGTGTTCAACAAGGAATACATTAGCACAAAGACGGTACGTCCTCGTCTCACAACACCGTGCCATGGAACAACTTATGAGGCGTCTCAGAAGTGTTCAACAAGGAATACATTAGCACAAAGACGGTACGTCCTCGTCTCACAACACCGTGCCATGGAACAACTTTTGAGGCGTCTCAAAAGTGTTCAACAAGGAATACATTAGCACAAAGACGGTACGTCCTCGTCTCACAACACCGTGCCATGGAACAACTTTTGAGGCGTCTCAAAAGTGTTCAACAAGGAATACATTAGCACAAAGACGGTACGTCCTCGTCTCACAACACCGTGCCATGGAACAACTTTTGAGGCGTCTCAAAAGTGTTCAACAAGGAATACATTAGCACAAAGACGGTACGTCCTCGTCTCACAACACCGTGCCATGGAACAACTTTTGAGGCGTCTCAAAAGTGTTCAACAAGGAATACATTAGCACAAAGACGGTACGTCCTCGTCTCACAACACCGTGCCATGGAACAACTTTTGAGGCGTCTCAAAAGTGTTCAACAAGGAATACATTAGCACAAAGACGGTACGTCCTCGTCTCACAACACCGTGCCATGGAACAACTTTTGAGGCGTCTCAAAAGTGTTCAACAAGGAATACATTAGCACAAACACGGTACGTCCTCGTCTCACAACACTGTGCCATGGAACAACTTTTGAGGCGTCTCAAAAGTGTTCAACAAGGAATACATTAGCACAAAGACGGTACGTCCTCGTCTCACAACACCGTGCCATGGAACAACTTTTGAGGCGTCTCAAAAGTGTTCAACAAGGAATACATTAGCACAAAGACGGTACGTCCTCGTCTCACAACACCGTGCCATGGAACAACTTTTGAGGCGTCTCAAAAGTGTTCAACAAGGAATACATTAGCACAAAGACAGTACGTCCTCGTCTCACAACACCGTGCCATGGAACAACTTTTGAGGCGTCTCAAAAGTGTTCAACAAGGAATACATTAGCACAAAGACGGTACGTCCTCGTCTCACAACACCGTGCCATGGAAACACTTTTGAGGCGTCTCAAAAGTGTTCAGCAAGGAATACATTAGCACAAACACGGTACGTCCTCGTCTCACAACACTGTGCCATGGAACAACTTTTGAGGCGTCTCAAAAGTGTTCAACAAGGAATACATTAGCACAAAGACGGTACGTCCTCGTCTCACAACACCGTGCCATGGAACAACTTTTGAGGCGTCTCAAAAGTGTTCAACAAGGAATACATTAGCACAAAGACGGTACGTCCTCGTCTCACAACACTGTGCCATGGAACAGGATTGAGACGGGATGGAAACGAGGGGCTGCCAGGAGGGTCGAGCTGTCTCGATAAAGCAAGATTTGCAAGCTAAGGGGTTCAATCTGAACTGCGAGGAGATATGGGGGCTCCATCTGACCTGGAAGGAGCTAGGGGGCGGGGGGGGGGGGGGGGGGGGGGGGGGGGGGGTTCAAGCTGACCTGGAAGGAGCTAGGGGGCGGGGGGGGTGGGGGGGGGGGGGTTCAAGCTGACCTGGAAGGAGCTAGGGGGCGGGGGGGGTGGGGGGGGGGGGTTCAAGCTGACCTGGAAGGAGATGACAGCAACGTTGGGTGGCAGGGAGTAAGCAGACTTGGGTGTGCGAGAATTGCTGGCACGTTCTCCCTGCGAGATGGAGTAACGCCACCTGTGGGATGCCTCCACTGCTCTTATGGCCTCCTTTGTCTGTGGGGGAACAAGGGTTAGTGGGTGTGGTGGGTTGACAGGGTGAGTTGGATATTGGATTTTCCCAAAGAAGCAACTGATCTGACAGGGAGGCAGTGGGATGCCGTGGGCTGATAAGGATGGACAGCTGTGACAGGGATATGGTTGCTTGAAGGGGTTCAAGAGGAGGGATTACAGGGTGAAGGAATCAAGAGGAGGTAACTGGCAAGATCTCGTAAATTGCTGCAACAGATGAACCTGATAGGGTTGGCTTGGCAGGAAAAAAAGGCACGAATGAACGTCAACAGCAAACTCGTTGCACAGACAAACTCGTTGCACAGACAAACTCGTTGCACAGACAAACTCGTTGCACAGACAAACTCGTTGCACAGACAAACTCGTTGCACAGACAAACTCGTTGCACAGACAAACTCGTTGCACAGACAAACTCGTTGCACAGACAAACTCGTTGCACAGACAAACTCGTTGCACAGACAAACTCGTTGCACAGACAAACTCGTTGCACAGACAAACTCGTTGCACAGACAAACTCGTTGCACAGACAAACTCGTTGCACAGACAAAAAGCATGCGCAGACGCTAAGGGCAAACATGGCAGACAAACAAGAACCATGCTCGCACCTCAACAGCAAACGCCAGCTGCAGAGGGGCAATAAGGCGCTGGGCGTGCACCCTCCTCCACTCCGCCCCCTGCCCCTTCCCCCCACCCTCTCCCTCCTGCCTCTCCCCGCCACGCCTTTCCCGAGGCCGGCCCATCTCTGAGAAACCCTGATTCGCCTCCTCTATGCCCCCTCCTCCGTCCGTCTCAGCCCCTCGCCTTCCATGGGGGGTTGCAGTGGCCGTGTCAGCATCAGCAGGGGCAACGGCAGAAGTGGTTGCTGTAGGTTGCTCCTCATCGTGCTCCTCATCTGCCACCCCTGTGCTGCCCCCTGGGTGCAAGCCAAAGCGGATGGAGCCTATGACCTGGAGAGGAAGGGTGGGGAAGAAAAGGGGATCAAGAAGGAAGGACGGAAATAGTAGCACTTGCACACTCGACTGGCAGCCTGGCAGGCACTGAACCCCGCTTGCTTGCATTGGCGGCCGCTTTCTCTGACCACATTTCTTGGATGTAGCTTGTTTTCCGAGGGCATTGTCCTGAGGTATGCCATGCATAGTACACCTATGCGCATACCATGAGGTGACTTTTGAATGGACTCAGAAGTCGCATGCTCTTTTGCACCATGCCATGCATAGTACACATATGCGCATACCATGAGGTGACTTTTGAATGGACTCAGAAGTCGCATGCTCTTTTGCGCCATGCCATGCATAGTACACATATGCACATACCATGAGGTGACTTTTGAATGGACTCAGAAGTCGCATGCTCTTTTGCGCCATGCCATGCATAGTACGTACACATATGCGCATACCATGAGGTGACTTTTGAATGGACTCAGAAGTCGCATGCTCTTTTGCGCCATGCCATGTATAGTACACATATGCGCATACCATGAGGCGTTCATTGATGCCATTGAATGCGATTTGCTCGTTGAGAATCTCCCCCACTCCCTTCATGTCCACTGTCACCAGTGCCCTGCATTCACACGCACAGAGGTGTGAAAGTACAAACAAATGTGAATTTCATTGCCTCATTGAGAATCTCCCCCACTCCCTTCATGTCCACCGTCACCAGTGCCCTGCATTTGCACACGCAGAGGTTTGACATCACAGGTTTGACATCACAGGTTTGACATCACAGGTTTGGGTAAAATTCGTATGGAACATCATAGTGACTGAGTGTGCCCAGACATGTCAAGGTTCGTATTATACCCTTACAACAAGATTCTTCTTAGCATGTCAAGATTATCATTCTAAGATTCTTCTTAGGCTCATTGGTGCAGCATGGCCCAAGCTGAAACAACGCCTCTGGTACAGAGCACTCACCGGTGCAGCATGACTTCGAGCTGTCCGGCTGCCAGGCTGGCAGCACCGGCTGCTCGGTCCACCAGCAGTGACAGCTGTGACTCGCCATCCCCGATGAACGCGCCCACCGTCACCTGCAGGAGGGAGAGAGGAATGAGGAAGCAGGGAGGCTCCTTCAGGTTTCTCAAAATCGTCAATAAACGCCCCCAGCGTCACTTGGGGGAGGATAGGGAGCATGGATGCAGGGAAGCTTAGTTAAGGCGCATCAAACACCCTTATGAGTGCACCCACCATCACCCTTGGTTCAACTCAACTGGCTGATTGGACTAAGAATTGGTTGAGCTGGACTGACAGTAAGGATTGGTTGAACTGGACTGACAGTAAGGATTGGTTGAACTGGACTGACAGTAAGGAATGGTTGAACTGGGCTGACAGTAAGGATTGGTTGAACTGGACTGACAGTAAGGATTGGTTGAACTGGACTGACAGTAAGGATTGGCTGGAGTGCACTGACCGGATAGAAATTGCCTGCGATGGGATCGGTGAGGGTAAGCTCCCAATCAGCGCGATGGTCTACGATCTGTGGTGGAGAGAGAGGCGCGATGGGATTGAGGGGGGAGAGGGCATGGGATTGAGGGGGGAGAGGGCATGGGATTGAGGGGGGAGAGGCGCAATGGGATTGAGGGGGGAGAGGGCATGGGATTGAGGGGGGAGAGGGCATGGGATTGAGGGGGGAGAGGGCATGGGATTGAGGGGGGAGAGGGCATGGGATTGAGGGGGGAGAGGGCATGGGATTGAGGGGGGAGAGGGCATGGGATTGAGGGGGGTGACAGGGCAGGGAGGATGGTGTGGGGAGACAGGGAGTATGGAAAACGAAGGGAGGGTTGGGAGAACAAGAATCTGGAAAGAGAAGTGTGCGAAGGTGGGAAGGCAGAGGGGAGGGGACAATGGATGGATGGAAATAAGAAACAGATAAGGTGGAAAGGGGAGCGAAAGAGCAATCAGGCAGCTCTCACCAAGCAGCAAACAGCATTCACTCGTTTCACTTTAAGTACTGTTGGTTGTTGGTGATAGTGGCTGCACTGAGAATGCAAGTATTCGTTTTAAGCTGCTTGCCCCTGCTTATAAGCTCACCCGTTTGAGGTACCGCCTGCCATTAGAGTCAGTGAAAAATGTCTTGTTGCTGTTGATGGGGGCTGAAAAGCGAGTCACAACCTCGTGACCCTTGCTGTCTTCGGGGGTTGGCCCGATCTGTGGGGTGTGGTTGGGGAGGGAGGGAATGGAAATATGTTCTGAGTCCAATCAAAACACACAAAGCAGGTCACCACTTCGTGACCCTTGCTATCGTAAGGGGTAGGCCGGATCTGTGGAGTGTGGTTTGGGAGCGAGAGAGTGTGGAGACACAATAGGGTATGAGCAGCAGCACACAAGAAGGGAGTGATGTGAGGAGCAGGGAGATGCTTTAAAAGGAATGCTTGAGCAACTTTTCAAAACGCCTCAAAGGTGTTCGTTACAGGAGTGTTTTCAGCACTCCATCATGCGTAAGCACTGAGAGCACAGACACTTGCACAGGCATGCAAAGCGCGACCAATAGGAATCTTCATCGAGCGAGCAAGGTGGTTTGACAACGAGCGTGGGTACCTTTCAGGTCAAAGAGCATGATTAGGTCTGGGAGGGAAGAGAAGGACACTTACCACATAGTGCAGTTCGGCATAGTCACAACCTGGGTACACCCGGAAGGTCTGCAAAGAAATGCATGCAGCAGTCGAGGGGTGGGGGGAAGGGGGAGGGCGGAAAAGTGAATGCAGAGAGAGCACTGGAGAAATAGGAAACGGAAGGAGCTGCAGAGGGGCGTACCTCTGAAATCCATGGGGCAACTTGTCGAGAGAACTCTTCCACGATTGGTCCACGTTGAACGCGGATGGACACCTGGACACGTCAGCATGGCCAAGAGAATGCATGAGGTTCCATGAGGATTGTGTTTGTGTAAGTGCACAAACAGAAGTGTGAGTGACAAACACTTGCTTTCCTTCCATTCCATCCCATGGAGAGTCCATGAGATACCAGAAGGACAAAACACTGTGCATTTGAGTCAAGTGCAAATACTTGTAGCCTCATCCATAATTCTACAAACGCCCCACGATGTTTGACAATTATCGAACTGACAAACCCTGGTCGTGCTGAGCTGACGTGGACGCTTACTTCGTCAGGACCTGGCTGTCAGGCTTGAGCTAGCGTGGACACCGAGGCGTCCACAGTAGCGCAGACAGATCCTGATTGCACTCACCCGGTCGTCTCTCTGAGTCGGGTTGGCTGCTTCAGTAGTGGGGTCAAAGATGTAGGCTCCACCCTGGAAGGCGGAGGGGGGGGAGGGTAGGGGGGAGGCAAGAGGGCAGGAGGGGGGATATGCAAGGAGAGGGGAGGGGCGCATGGGTGGGTGTTTAGAGGGGGGTTGAGAGGGTTTCCAGGAGAGGTAAAAGGGGATTGGGAGGGAGGGGAGGAAGCAGGAAGTGAGAGGGAGATTCAAGAAAGTGGGGTGGAAAAACGGGTGGGAGGGGAGATGGCAAGTGGTGGAGAAAGGGACAGGCACAAGTCTAGGGGATTCAGCAGATACCTTGCTTGTGTTGTGACATAATCCACTACGCACCTTGCGCGTGACATACTCCACCACTCTGTACCTTGTGTGTAACATTCTCCACCACTAAGTACCTTTTGTGTGACATATCCCACCACCGTGTACCTTGCGCATAATATACTGCACCGATGTGTACCTTCTGCGTGACATTCTCCACCGCTGTGCACCTTTTGTGTGACATACTCCACCGCTGTGTACCTTCTGCATGACATTCTCCGCCGCTGTGTACCTTTTGTGTGACATACTCCAGGACGTCCGACCTGACAGGCTTCACCACATCCTGCCAGAGCAGCAAGGAAGCAACAGAGAGGTTTTTTTTCGCAAAAGGGTAAGGCAGAGCGAAGGCAAGAAGTGGGTGGAACAGGGAGTGAGAGGGTTATTGCAGGAGTGGGGATGTCGATTCGCTGTCTGTTTGCCATCTGTTTGTTGAAGGAGCTTTAAGTTGATTCAAAAGTCACTACCTACCACCCCAAGCAGAACACCCACTCACCACAGTCACATGTTCACCATCAGTCTGTCGAACGAGCTCCATCTGCGTCATGCCATACGCTGCCTAGGAGAAAGTCACTTGCAGAGCAGTGTCTCCATCCTTTCCTGCACCAGTAGGCTCGGCACCAGCACCAGGACTATCCCATCCCATCCCAAGCAGTTAGCTCGCACTCACCACAGTCACTTGTTCACCATCTGTCTGTCGGACAAGCTCCATCTGCGTCATGCCATACGCTGCCTTGGAGAACGTCACTCGCAGTGCACTCTCTCCCTCCTTGCCTGCACCAGTACCCTTGCCAGCAGCACCACCAGCAGAAGATGAGTCGGCTTTAAAGCCCCCTAGAACGATGTTTTCAGCTGGAGAATTTGCTGTGCTTGCGCTGTTGGGGGTTCCGGTTGGGTCTTTGAGGGCAGGGACTTCTGCAGACTCTGTAGTGCTGATGACGGCTGCTCCTTGTGTGCCTGTGTGGGGGGCATATGACGGGCGAAAGAACAGGGATGACATGACTGTGTGAGGAAGGGAAAGAGCGCAGCGCAGGGGAGGGGATTAAGGGAATACAAGGTGGATTATGTCACTGTCGCTGTCACTGTCACTGTCCCTGTCACTGTCACTGTCCCTGTCACTCTCAGTCTCACTGTCACAGTCACTGTCACTGTCACTGGCTCATACCTGGTGGCACGGCAGTGAGGAAGAAAGTAGTGTATCCAAGAGGAGGCACCTCGGCACGGAACACAACCGACATTTGCTGCCCCTCCTGCTGCTGCTGGGCCCCGTCCATTTGCCCCTCCTGCTGCCCTGGCTGCTGGGGCTGCTGCTGAGACTGCTGGGGCTCCTGGGGCAACTGGCCAGTGTATGCAGCAACATAGAAGGCGCGTGTGTTGGGGTCTACGAGGGTTTCGGTGACGATTTGGGCTGGGATGGGGGAGTTGGACGAGTCTGTCACCAGGACTGATGGCGAGGACACCTGTAAGGTAGGAGATGCGGGCCGGGTGTGCAGTTGGATTGGGGGGAGTGGAAGGGAACGGGTTGTGCGGTGTTTGGGAAGGGGGAGGGTTACGAAATAAAGAAAGATGCAGAGAGGTGGAAAATTGCCGAGAAAAATGGAAGAGGGATGCAAAGGGAGGCAGGAGGGGCGTACCGGGAACCGAACGATCTCTGTGCGGGGCCACCCTAGTGGGTTGAACACAGTCACCACCTGGTTGGGGTTTCAGCACGAGAAAGTCCGTTGTTAGCGGAATAAAGAGTTGACTTTCCAGCCGACTAAAATGCGACATAGTTGCCTGGTTGGGAACGCAGCATGGGGCGTGGCTGAATTAACAACACGAAGTGTGTGTGGAGAAGGAATCTGAACGGTGCAGGAGGAGAGATGCATGCTAAAAACAGGACGACATGAAGAGGAGAAAGGAGGTGCGGTATACCAGGACTTGGTCTGGGCTGAGTTTTGTTTCAGACGGGGGACAATAGGAGAGGTTGAGCAATGGACACTGCAGCAGAAGTGGAGAAATGTAAGTAGAAGGGGATGGAAGAGGAATGCAGGGGATGGGATGGGGTGTGGAAGGGGATGGAGAGTGTGAATGATGGAAAAATATTAAGCCAACGAAAGTAGAAATACACTTAAATGGGAAACCACAGTGAGGGCAACATATTCTCAGAGTGAAGAGTAAGTGAGGCCGCTACTTGCCCACACAACTGAAAAGCCTGGAAACTGCATGGTTCGGTAGAAGCTGTAACACAACAAAAGCATTGCATACCATTTGAAAGTCCAGCACAGGCATGCCGTGCGTCGCCCCTCCCTCGCTTGCACTCCTTCGATCACCACCCTCTGTGCTCGCTTGCTCGCTGCCCTCGTTCCCTTGACGCGCATCGGCCGCACTCCCTCCCTCCCTCAGAAGCCGCCTTCCCCTGTTGCTGCAGCTGCTGCCGGCACCAATCCCACTCCCCCCCACTTCCTCACCTGACTCTCCATTCCCACCCACCACTCTGCTACTCTCTCCCGCTATGCTGGTTCCCCTTCCCCTCAGCACAATCTCTTGCCCCCTTCTCCCAGGCGAAACCTCCTCTTGTGGAGCATGAACATCAACGGTTCCTGATGGTTGTTCCTGTTGATTCGCATCTGTCCATTGCACTGTCTGCTGCGACTGGAGTGTCTCTTCCAAAGGGGGCACTTGGCGGTTGTAAGGGAAGAACGAAGGCGTATCCACTGAGTGCTGCGGCTCTCCCTCATTCGAGCCTGCATCACCATGAGTCAATTCTGGGTGCAGTTGAGAGAACAGCGGGTCAGGCTCGCTACCGTCTGGCATAGGCGGATCAAATGGACTGGCAGTTTCGAGGGTTGGCTTTTCAGGAAACGACTGGGGCTGATTCAGGTCTACAGGATCCCATGGCTGGGCTTGTAACTGAGCAGCAGGATCAAGTGTGGGGTCATTGAAGGGAGGGAAGTCTGAGGGCCCCATTGTTGGGTCAGCAGTGGGTGTGAAGAAGGCTCGAGATGGGTCTTGGGGAGTTGAGCTGGACGTTGGGGAAGAGGAGCGCGGCGGGAGAGTGGTGGGGGCTGCTTGGGTGATGAGGTGAACAAGAGCAGCTGCCACTACAGTGGAGGCCTGGAGTGATTGTAAGGAGGGGAGAAACGGGATGGAAACAGGGGAAAGGTGTGGTGTAAAGGTGGGTCACTCAAAAAGGAGTGAACACCAAAGCATAGACAGCGAGTGAAATGGTATCCGGCATAAGTGGACAGCCTAGACTCTCGACACCCTTCCCCACAACTGCAACCACCTTTCACCTCCCTCCCCTCGCCCACCCTTGAGATGATTCTTGCAGTCTGACCATGAGGGCAACATTCACTTGCTGCTCTACCCCACCCAACCCCCCCATACCACTCTTCCCACCGCTTCCACCCCCACCCTCCCCCGCTTTCCTCACCTCCTGTGCGGCTCGGTGCAGGCGGATTGTGTAGTCGTCATTCACGTGCTGCTGGGCCGTGCCTGTGATGGCATCGTGGTGCTGTGCCACCGCCACTGCCTCCTCCAAAGGGAACGTTGACGCCACCCTCCTCCTCCTCGCACCCGCACCCACCCTCTCCCACTCCTCCCACTCACCACTCTCAACATTCCCTCCCACTCCCCCTTCTCCACTCCCTCCTCCCCCACCCTCTCCCATGGCTCCACCACGTTCGGCCCCTTCTGTCCCGCTGGTGGGTTTCAGGTTCTTTCCCAGGTGATTGTCAAACAGAAACTCGTCTGTAGCGATCATCCTGTGGGTCTTCAGCCCCCAGTCCCTCAGAGCGGTCTTGCCCACCGCAGCCTCGAGAATTGTGGTCGCCTGGGCGAGTTAGGAGCAGGGGGGTGAAAAGTACAGAATAGTCGCTGGGAGAGGAAGGGACACAGGGAACCCCCCATGTGAATTGGAAGTAAAGAAAACTAGAGAAAGGGGGGTGATAGGGGTGCAGAGAAAGCGGCCATGTGTGTAAGTACAGGAGTGCATGAGAGGCGACAGACAGGTGGGTGGGTGTAGACAAGGGGGAGGTTGACAGTTGACTTGGCTGAGACAAGGACGGGCAAGAAAAAGTGGACCATACATTGGTTCGTGACACGTCAAGTCAAGACAAGTCAGCTCAAGTCAATTCAAGGCCAAAACGGCGTACCAGCAGCAGGGAGCTGCAGGCGCGAGCAAAACGCTTGAAGTTTGCCCGGCTGGCGAAATACCCCGTCCAGACGAAGTTTGGGGCGTCGGCATAGCTGAATTTATGGTTAGGGAGGGAGAAGAGGAGATAAGAGTAAATGGCAGGGTCTTGAATAATAAGAAGCATGGAATAAACCAAGTGCTGGCAGGGCACCGCAGGGGAGGGAGGAGGGAGAAACAAGGGTGGAAGCAATAAATCGGAGGAGACACAGGAAAGGTCAGAATGCATGTATATGGATATCGTAATTACTGATATTTTTGAAAGATCACGTAGTCATTACGCACGGGAACATGTCACCGGTCTTGAGAGGCCACGTCTTGTTCTCCTTTTGAACAGCGTCCACATAGAGGGACGGTGTGGAGTAGAGGGCATTGACCCGGCCATCCTGACAGGGGTGGGGGCGCGAATGAACACACGTAACACGTTGCACAAGAGGTTTGTGAGAGCGTGCATGGCATTGCAGGGCGTGGAGTAGAGGGTGTGGACGGGGCCATCCTGGAGAACAATCGTCAAGCACCGTGTAGGTAAGGCAGGCAAAACAGCTGCTGACAAAACCATGAACGAGGATTCAATCAAGCCATGCCAGAACATGCCAAAAGCTGGTGGGGTGGAGGGTTGGAGTGGTGGAAAGGTGGAGGCGCCTGCCTCTTAGAGGAGAGGTGCCTGGCTCTTAGAAGAGAGGCGCCTCTATGAGGACAGGCGCCTGCCTCTAAGAGGAGCGGCGCCACTTAGAGGAGAGGCGCCTGCCTCTCACTCAGAGGAGAGGGGCGCCTGCCTCTCACTCAAAGGAGAGAGGCGCCTACCTCTCACTCAGAGGAGAGAGGCGCCTGCCTCTCACTCAGAGGAGAGGCGCCTGCCTCCCACTCAGAGGAGGGGCGCCTGCCTCTCACTCAGAGGAGAGAGGCGCCTGCCTCTCACTCAGAGGAGAGAGGCGCCTGCCTCTCACTCAGAGGAGAGAGGCGCCTGCCTCTCACTCAGAGAAGAGAGGCGCCTGCCTCTCACTCGGAGGAGAGAGGCGCCTGCCTCTCACTCAGAGGAGAGAGGCGCCTGCCTCTCACTCAGAGGAGAGAGGCGTCTGCATCTCACTCAGACGAGAGGGGCGCCTGCCTCTCACTCAGAGGAGAGAGGCGCCTGCCTCTCACTCAGAGGAGAGGGGCGCCTGCCTCTCACTCAGAGGAGAGGGGCGCCTACCTCTCACTCAGAGGAGAGAGGCAACTGCCTCTCACTCAGAGGAGAGAGGCGCCTGCCTCTCACTCAGAGGAGAGGCGCCTGACCCTCTCACTCAGAGGAGAGGCGCCTGTCTCTCACTCAGAGGAGAGGCGCCTTCCTCTCACTCAGAGGAGAGGCGCCTGCCTGTCACTCAGAGGAGAGAGGCGCCTGCCTGTCACTCAGAGGAGAGAGGCGCCTGCCTCTCACTCAGATGAGAGAGGCGCCTGCCTCTCACTCAGACGACAGAGGCGCCTGCCTCTCACTCAGAGGAGAGAGGCGCCTGCCTCTCACTCAGAGGAGAGAGGCGCCTGCCTCTCACTCAGAGGAGAGAGGCGCCTGCCTCTCACTCAGAGGAGAGAGGCGCCTGCCTGTCACTCAGAGGAGAGAGGCGCCTGCCTGTCACTCAGACGAGAGAGGCGCCTGCCTCTCACTCAGAGGAGAGAGGCGCCTGCCTCTCACTCAGAGGAGAGAGGCGCCTGCCTCTCACTCAGAGGAGAGGGGCGCCTGCCTCTCACTCAGAGGAGAGGGGCGCCTGCCTCTTACTCAGAGGAGAGAGGCGCCTGCCTCTCACTCAGAGGAGAGAGGCGCCTGCCTCTCACTCAGAGGAGAGGGGCGCCTCTAAGAGGCGTGGACGGGTGGATGGGTGGAAGGGTGAATGGTTGGAGGTGTGGAGGGGTGGAGGGGTGGATGGGTGGATGGGTGGAGGGATGGAGGGTTGGAGGGGAGAAGGGGTGGAAGGGTGGATGGGTGGAAGGGTGGATGGGTGGAGGAGTGGATGGGTGGAGGGGTGGTGGGGTGGAGAGGAGGATGGGTGGATGGGTGGATGGGTGGAGGGGTGGAGGTGTGGATGGGTGGAGGGGTGGATGGGTGGATGGGTGGAGGTGTGGATGGGTGGAGCGATGGATGGGTGGAGGGGTGGATGGGTGGAGGTGTGGATGGGTGGAGGGGTGGATGGGTGGATGGGTGGAGGGGTGGAGGTGTGGATGGGTGGAGGTGTGGATAGGTGGATGGGTGGATGGGTGGAGGGGTGGATGCGTGGAGGGATGGATGGGTGGAGGGGTGGAGGCATAGAGTGGTGGATGAGTGGAAGGGTGGATGGGTGGAGGTGTGGAGGGGTGGAGGGGTGGATGGGTGGATGGGTGGAGGGATGGAGGTTTAGAGGGGTGAAGGGGTGGATGGGTGGAGGTGTGGAGGGGTGGAGGTGTGGATGGGTGGAGGGGTGGTGGGGTGGAGGGGTGGATGGGTGGATGGTTGGAGGTGTGGAGGGGTGGAGGGGTGGAAGGGTGGAGGGGTGGATGGGTGGAGAGGCGGAACGGTGGATGGGTGGATGGGTGGAGGGGTGGAGGTGTGGATGGGTGGAGGGGTGGATGGGTGGATGGGTGGATGGGTGGAGGGGTGGATGGGTGGGTGGAGGGGTGGATGGGTGGATGGGTGGATGGGTGGAGGTGTGGATGGGTGGAGGGGTGGATGGGTGGATGGGTGGAGGTGTGGATGGGTGGAGGGGTGGATGGGTTGGATGGGTGGAGTGGTGGATGGGTGGATGGGTGGAGGGGTGGAAGTGTGGATGGGTGGATGGGTGGATGGGTGGAGGGGTGGATGGGTGGAGGGCTGGATGGGTGGAGGGGTGGATGGGTGGAGGGCTGGATGGGTGGAGGGGTGGATGGGTGGAGGGGTGGTGGGGTGGAGGGGTGGATGGGTGGAAGGGTGGAGGAGTGGATGGGTGGAGGGGTGGATGGGTGGAGGGGTGGATGGGTGGAGGTGTGGATGGGTGGAGGTGTGGATGGGTGGATGGGTGGAGGGGTGGAGGTGTGGATGGGTGGAGGGGTGGAGGTGTGGATAGTTGGAGGTGTGGATGGGTGGATGGGTGGAGGTGTGGATGGGTGGAGGGGTGGATGGGTGGATGGGTGGAGGTGTGGATGGGTGGATGGGTGGAGGGGTGGATGGGTGGATGGGTGGAGGGGTGGAGGTGTGGATGAGTGGATGGGTGGATGGGTGGAGGGGTGGAGGGGTGGAGGTGTGGATGGGTGGAGGGGTGGATGGGTGGATGGGTGGATGGGTGGAGGGGTGGATGGGTGGGTGGAGGGGTGGATGGGTGGATGGGTGGATGGGTGGAGGTGTGGATGGGTGGAGGGGTGGATGGGTGGATGGGTGGAGGTGTGGATGGGTGGAGGGGTGGATGGGTTGGATGGGTGGAGTGGTGGATGGGTGGATGGGTGGAGGGGTGGAGGTGTGGATGGGTGGATGGGTGGATGGGTGGAGGGGTGGATGGGTGGAGGGCTGGATGGGTGGAGGGGTGGATGGGTGGAGGGCTGGATGGGTGGAGGGGTGGATGGGTGGAGGGGTGGTGGGGTGGAGGGGTGGATGGGTGGAAGGGTGGAGGAGTGGATGGGTGGAGGGGTGGATGGGTGGAGGGGTGGATGGGTGGAGGTGTGGATGGGTGGAGGTGTGGATGGGTGGATGGGTGGAGGGGTGGAGGTGTGGATGGGTGGAGGGGTGGAGGTGTGGATAGTTGGAGGTGTGGATGGGTGGATGGGTGGAGGTGTGGATGGGTGGAGGGGTGGATGGGTGGATGGGTGGAGGTGTGGATGGGTGGATGGGTGGAGGGGTGGATGGGTGGATGGGTGGAGGGGTGGAGGTGTGGATGGGTGGATGGGTGGATGGGTGGATGGGTGGATGGGTGGAGGTGTGGATGGGTGGAGGGGTGGAGGGGTGGATGGGCGGAGGTGTGGATGGGTGGATGGGTGGAGGTGTGGATGGGTGGAGGGGTGGATGGGTGGAGGTGTGGATGGGTGGAGGGGTGGATGGGTGTATGGGTGGAGGGGTGGATGGGTGGATGGATGGATGGGTGGAGGTGTGGACGGGTGGAGGGGTGGATGGGTGGAGAGGTGGAACGGTGGATGGGTGGATGGGTGGAGGGGTGGAGGGGTGGATGGGTGTATGGGTGGAGGGATGGATGGGTGGAGGGGTGGAGGCGTGGATGGGTGGATGGGTGGATGGGTGGAGGGGTGGATGGTTGGAGGGTTGGACGGGTGGAGGGGTGGATGGGTGGATGGGTGGATGGGTGGAGGTGTGGAGGTGTGGACGGGTGGAGGGTTGGATGGGTGGAGAGGTGGAACGGTGGATGGGTGGATGGGTGGAGGGGTGGATGGGTGGAAGGGTGGAGGGGTGGAGGTGTGGATGGGTGGAGGGGTGGATGGGTGGATGGGTGGAGGGGTGTTGGTGTGGATGGGTGGATGGGTGGAGGTGTGGATGGGTGGAGGTGTGGATGGGTGGATGGGTGGATGGGTGGAGGTGTGGATGGGTGGAGGGGTGGATGGGTGGAGGGGTGGATGGGTGGAGGGGTGGATGGGTGGAGGGGTGGAGGGGTGGATGGGTGGATGGGTGGAGGGGTGGAGTTGTGGATGGGTGTAGGGGTGGATGGGTGGATGGGTGGATTGGTGGAGGTTTGGATGGGTGGAGGGGTGGATGGATGGAGGGTTGGATGGGTGGAGGTGTGGATGGGTGGAGGGGTGGATTGGTGGATGGGTGGAGGTGTGGATGGGTGGATGGGTGGATGGGTGGAGGGGTGGACGGTTGGAGGGTTGGATGGGTGGAGGGGTGGAGGGGTGGAGGTGTGGATGGGTGGATGGGTGGAGGGGTGGACGGGTGGACGGGTGGACGGGTGGATGGGTGGATGGGTGGATGGGTGGACGGGTGGAGGGGTGGTTGGGTGGAGGGGTGGACGGTTGGAGGGTTGGATGGGTGGAGGGGTGGAGGTGTGGATGGGTGGATGGGTGGATGGGTGGATGGGTGGATGGGTGGAGGGGTGGATGGGTGGAGGGGTAGAGGGGTGGATGGGTGGATGGGTTGATGGGTGGAGTTGAGGAGGGGTGGAGGTGTGGATGGGTGGAGGGGTGGCGGGGTGGAGGGGTGGATGGGTGGTGGGGTGGATGGGTGGTGGGGTGGAGGGATGGAGGGTTGACTGACCAAGTTGACGTAGTGAGCCTGTCCATGTTCTTTAACCTCGTAACGCACATAGCATATACAACTACCAAACCATGCCATACCACCATGCCATAGCATGTCAACCTCACACACCATACCACACCATGCCATGCCACAGCACCCCCACGTCGACTGCTGACCTGGTTGACGTAGTGAATGAGCTTGTCGATGTTCTTGAACCACATGAATGGTGCCATACATACCATACCCTACCGCATTGCATCACACCGCACCGTGCCACAACGACTGACCAGGTTGACGTAGTGAATGAGCTTGTCCATGTTCTTGAACCACGTGAAGCGATACCGCACATACCATACCCTACCACACTGCACCACACCACACCACACCGTGCCACGCCGACTGACCAGGTTGACGTAATGAATGAGCTTGTCCATGTTCTTGAACCACATGATGGCCTCGTTGAACGAGAAGTCCTCGCCCATGGGGAACAGCAGGTGGTTCGTGCGGAACGCCCGCGCCTAAAGGGGGAAATAGAGGGAGAGAGAGAGCACGTGGAGCGAGAGGGAGCGGCGAGACGGGGAAGAGGGGTGACAATGGAAGGATGGTGAAGGTGGAAAGATCCCCCATACATGCATGGAAGAAACTCTTCATACGGCATTTTTGGTGTGCTTGACTCATTTGACATTCAGCTGACCGAAATGGAACAAATCCCGTATATGCTCGCTCACCATGGCCTCCTTGATGACTCACCTTGCATATGCTGACTCACCCTGTTCAATGTCTCCTGAACAAAAAAATTCACAAATTGCTCCACGTTGGGATTTCTCTCGTTCGGCCAGTCCTGACGATGCACACAGTGAGAGGTAAGGGGGCACAGAGGAACGGGAGACGAGGGGACACAGTGAGTGACGTGATGGCACGTGACATTACCATGCCATTCACGCCTCACTCACACCTATGCGCCATAGCATGCTTCACCTATGCGTTCTTTCGCATTTATGCTAGAACGTCAACCACTTCTCAACGACCCAACACTAACTCCAAACCAGGGCATTGTGCTATCAAGCTGACTCATGGTACCAAAACTCCTGTAAGTAGCATTTCCCTTGATTCAAGAGTCCCAGGCTCACAGCTTGTGCCTGACTCACTATGATGCTTCAGGCCACGAACCAGCCTCCCCCCACCCACTCTCCACCAACCTGCTTACCCTGAATCGGTACTCTGGGCTGTCTGTCTGCTGGTAGCGGAACTCCTGCGGCGAGTAGTATCCATCGTACAGAATCCCAGTGAACACCTGCGTATCCCTGGGAGCACCTGTGCCCGCCCGCCACACGAACTCCATCTTCTGCTCTGCTTTGCGCTTCTCCATGTCTTTATAGTCCGCTCGGCCAAAGATAAAGGCGTCCAAGCCACCCTGGCCGTGACACAGGGGTAGACGGTACGGGAGTAAACGAGACAGGATTGCAAAACGCCTGACGGACGAGAACAGGGTACAGATAATAACAGCTCCGACCAATATTATGAGAGGCTGGAAGTTGATGTTGCTACAAAAGGAGCTGTTGCAAACGAGGATTTCTTAAACAGGAGAGGGCAACCATAGAAAACGGAAAACTTTTCTCACCTGCGAGGTGATGAGGCTAGCCTGGGTGGCGGAGTGGCCGAAGGGGTCAATCTGCCATGCGACGCGTGGAGTGATGTTGAAGTGCTCCTGGATGAAGCGATGGCCCATGGACATCTGGTGCACCATGTCCGTGTAATGGCACACCGCCTCATCGTGCATCACCCACCCGCCGTTGCTACACAAACAAGGCACAGGGCATGGGAGGCGGGAGTGGGGGGAGAGGAGATAATGAAACGATGGCCCATGGACTGTCCATGGCGGCGTGGTGGAAGGTGAATGGCTGGGAGTACCCTGAACTGGCAGGCCTTGCGCGCCGTGCGGTGTCACAGGCCGTTTCCGCCTCTCCATGCGAGCGGGGATGGTCTGTGTTGGATGGGGTGCACACGGCGCGCAGGAACAGGCTTGGGTCGGAGAAGGTGCGCGACCTAGTGTTCGTGGCGCACAACTGGCCGGTTGTGCACGGCCACCACCAGGGCGCAGCTGGTGGAGCAGGGCCAAGTGGGGAAGTGAGGAGGGCGGGGGTGGTGGAGGGTAACATTCCCACCCCTCCCCTCCCCAAGGGATACAAGTTGGAGGAGGACGGGGAGAGGGAGGTGGACGAGGACGACCCGGCAGTCGACGAGTACAAGGACCAGGAAGCGATGGACGAAGAGGGGGAGAAGGAGAGCGAGGATGATGGGGATGCGTGATGGTTGACTTGATGCAGTGCAGTGGTAGTTTAGTAGTATGCATGGTCGTAAGTGGTTGGATTAAACGTAATGTGTGTGAGACCTTGTGAAATGTGTGACACGTGACTCACCTTAATCTCATATTTTGGGGGAAAATTTTGTGGTTGGGGAAAATTTTGAGGTATGACACCCCCCCCCCCCCCTCTCCCAAGCCCTATACAATTTTTTTTGGCCTGCCCGGGGGTGTTTTTTGCCCTGCCCGGGCTTGCGTCTTTTGGTGCGTCTTACAGGTCCAGGTTCAGCGTCCTGCGTCTGGGCGCATGCGTCCAGGACGCAGGACGCGTCTTTCTGATCTAAGCATGGACATCTGGTGCACCATGTCCATGTAGTGGCACACCGCCTCATCGTGCATCACCCACCCACCATTGCTGCACAGCACACCGTACAGCAGGGAATCGAGCAGGATAGGGTATGAGTGCGTGAGAGCCTATTCCAGGCAGAAAATGTGCGCCTGTGTATGGCCTTGCAGGCAAGGCGAGAAAACGGTCGCATGTGCCGAAACGTATTGGCGTCAAGTGCTCAGGTGGTGTCTCAGATTCTCGACCTTTGGCCTCACATGAAGAATCGCGTGCATGTGAGGCAACACTTCACGAAGTGAGGCCGGAATTTGGCATGTAACAACAAAAGTCAGGCGTGTGAGTTTACAGGACAGGTTCATAGATGTGAGGACTTGCACAAGCATGATGAGGAGTGACGTCTGAGGCGACATGAACGTTCAGCTTAGCCAAATTCATCCCTTGGATAGCTTGTGGACTCACATGAACTCAAGTTGACCAGAAGCGACAAGCTTCCTGACTCTATTTCTCATTGTCTCACCCTGCTGCTGCCACCATAAGAAGAAAAACCCCTGCCACACGATCAGTTGAAACATACGCGTTAATGCATGTCTCGTTTCACGGCGAATCAGGGCAAAAACTGCATCTTAGAGACGCGACAGCTCACCTGTTCGACTTGGATGAATTTACGGTGAGGATTATCTGCGAGCTGATCAACGACGGTCTCGATGATGTATTGTACTTGGTCAAGCTGTAGAGGAGAATCTCAGAATCAGCGTAAGTGACAAGAATGATTACAAGCAAATACGATATGCGGCTTGAACTTACGTAGTATTCATCAACTGTCTTCACCCATCCGAGATCGTCGTGGGAATGAGCAATCAAATGGACGTTCAATTTTCCTTCCACAATTCCCGCTGACGTATTATAACGAATCGGTAACCGTTCTTCAAACGAAAACGAACTCTTGTCGACGGAATTCTTTAGCATTTGAGGCGAATCGACATATTCCGTCTGCTGCTGGTCTTCCGTAAAAGATTGATATTTTAAGTGGGTAGACATTGACTGCTGTACAGCTAGCAGTGTGAATCCCGTTAAGATGCCAACAAAAAAAGGCGGAGCAAGCATTGCAGTTCGGCTTATCCATGTCGGTGACATGCTGGTGGTTATGTCGAATACGAGCAGAAAATTTACGAAAGTCAACGTCTCCGATGAGAGATCTTCGCGGATCACCTGACAGTCAGGGCACTTTAGGGTTCTATCCAACAACAATGCGAGAAATGGGTTGACGATATCGTGTGGAGTGCGTCAAATAGTCGTAGAAGTCTTCTGGTGGACTGTACAATCGAGATAACCCCAGCTGATCGCGAAATTCAGAGGGCTGGCCGAGAGACGAACAGACAACTTTGACCCAACAACTCCTCGATTGTTGTAATGCCTGCTGCACACATATGTGAACGTGAGAGCTTCACCACCTAAACACCTCCCCCAGCACAGTAGTATGAACCAGCATTGTTCTGCATTACCTCGTTTTTGGGACGCCATTTCCAACTGAACAACTGGACCATTCAACTTCCCCTTCCTCCCACAGGGAGCACAGAATCGCTGCTTCTGCTTGCTGGTTTGCTTTGGTGGAATCTACAGTTTTGGCTGGGTAACATCGGCTCGGCTCGGCAGGGACAAAGTTCAGGTCTGTAGTCCAAGTGCTCGCTGTGAAGGATGCCTCTTCTGCCAGATGAGCTCTGTGATCCGTGGATGAGAAAGAAATGGACGGCTCGCACAGGTTCGCTAAAGCATAGTCTGAAGCAGATAATATCTGTGAACTCAGCCAATCCCGAGGTTCCCAGACAGCACAAACCGGACCAATAGGCCATGGTCATCACAGCTTACAATCACATTTAGTGTATATGTCGTACCCGATATTGCAAAGCATGCAAAGGAGAACGTAGGGTCTACAAAGGCACATCAAATTGATTATTAACGATTGTCAGTACAGGCGATACGAACCTATTGCACACGAGCTAAATTGATTATATCACGATGTGGATGTGGGCTTCATAAACGCGTGTCGCACAATGTCAACTATTCCACCACGCCTTTCTCTAAGAGTCGCATCCGCCACCTCTTTTCGCGGCGACGAAGTGTTCGTTCGCCGAATGAATTGGAGGTGGAATTGTCACTTCGATGCCTTGGAGGTTAGCTGATCCTGCTGTGGCTGATTTCCGGAAGACTCGCCGGCTTCTGTTCCGACTAGCAGGGTCCGCAAAAAGGGCATCAACTGACTCGGAACTGCGGTTTTTTGGAAGGCTTCCGCCATACAGCTCGTCTGTTCCGTCGTTACACGTCTCCCGGCTCCACCAGCGTCCGAGCGAGCTTGGGCTTCGGCACGTCGCAGGTTGACGGTCTTTAGTTGAGAAAGAGCCGGAATTTCTCCTCTGAGAGCCAAGTTGGTTTTCTCCCGCGCTCAGAAGCTCCGTCGATGCTTCCGCCACTCGCGCGCTCAATTCCGCGGACGCCTGTTGCGCCTCGACGACAGCAAGCGCCGCCCCCCGAATGCGCGACCTAGCGTCGTCAATCCACACAGGATCGCACGCGAGCTCTGCGATTCGCCATGAGCAGGTCGGGCACAACGCCTCTGCGCAGTCTCGCCGATCCGGTAGCGCTACGAGTGCATCACGACGGGGTGTGCAGAGGTGAGCGTATCCTGCTTCCTGTCCAATTCTGGCATCACAGGTAGGAAAAATCGGAGCTTCCATTGGCGAGAGCCGCCTCGGCCTCGCGTCAATCCACTCGAACGCCCCCCCCGCTCTGACAGTTGTAGTCTGGGTGTTGGCGATTAGGTTGGCGCACTCCCGAGCCGCGTCGTGGCGCTCGAAGCTGAGTGAGAGCGTGGAGTCAAGGGAAAGGAGATCGCTTGTGCAGGTCGAGTTTTGTGCGCAACGTACGGCAACGCTGTGCATAAGTGCGGTGCTTGACAGACTCATGGTGGATTATTCGACGTTTTGAGAGACTTCGGGTTTGAATAGCTATTACTAGAAGTGGTGTAAGTTGAATTGGTCAGTGATGGAGCCTCGCAACGACGCGGTACCTGTTTGCATTTTTCAAGGTTCGGGGAGGATCGTTGCCTCACATCGATCCTGGCACATCGATCGGCACACGGATGGCCCACACTGCAAATTTGCTGTGAGGTAGACACATCGAGCTATAGGTGCCAGGGTCGAAATTGCAAGTTCGGGGAGGTTGGTTCCGCGTCGGAATATCTGCGCAGCCAATCAGGGCAAAGCTTGGTTGGTCGCCCAGGAATTTCATTCGCAGCGACTTGAAAAAAATTGGCCTGCGACCATGGGCGACGCCGATCGATCGCGGCTGTCACCTGTGGCACGATGTGCTCTCACACCAACCCAAACGCACTATCGATTTGTGCACCAGGCACATCGATCGTGCGAGCTGCAGGTGCCACTAGTTTGGGTACCCGTTTACTGTACACTTTCGAGCTCCCGCGAAAAACGGATACCAAGCACTAGTGATGTCGCAAATACACTGTATAAGCGGCACATCGATCCCCTCCAACGATCGATCCTCCCTAAATGAAAAAAGGTACCGCGTCCTAATACCGCGCATGCATTTGTACGGTACGATGTGGCTGGCCGCAACGGCGAGGTATTGCAGTCGAAGTGGTCTGTGATGGTTATCGCCGCCGCATCCACGTTACAACCCGAGCGAGTCGCCGAGTCTTCGTGAACCAGAGGGTCTGAAGACTTGTCTTTTGTACGTAATGGGGCTGCACCTCCTTCCCTCATTGTCGGTTCGTGGTCGGTGCGCAAGGGGCAATGTCCCCACATGTCCGCATGCTTACAGCATTCATTTCAAACACCGAAGTGAAAAGGACCAAGCAGCAATTCTCCAACCAGGATTTGTCTCGGGACCCGTGCTGATTCGTCGAAGCTTTGCGGAACGCGCAGGCAACCAAAACACAACGATGCTTTCGCGAATCAGCGTGGTATACGTACTTGACGAAAATGTTATAGTGTAAAGCAAGTCATTCTTGGAGTCCCTTCAAAGACAATTTCTCGCTAGCACAATTTCCAACTTGTCTGTGGTTCTCTGTCGTATGGTGCCCTCGGCCCACAAACGAAAGAAACGGAGTAACGTATGATCCAGTGCCACTGGTCGCATGGCATGCGCGACAGTTGATGGGTGGTTGCTTTTTCACGTGAAGTTTTGTTTCTTTTGTGATACGGGTCAACAAGGGGATTTCTTCCTCTCGATATGGTGGGCTTCACTATGTGGGAAACGTATGTCTTTCTCTGAGTCTCCATTAGTATATTTTTTTTATACACAAAGAGTTCAGTGATTCGTCAATCTCAACAAGTGCGCAGAGGTGGTGTCAGCAATCCATGCTGACGATATAATGCACCAATCACAGACGGTTGCCTAGAGAGCAACGTCACCCTGGCGTCAGCGAAGCTGCTGTTTGTTTATTCATGTTTTCCCAGCCCCAGTGTCCATCACCATTTGAATGTTCTTTTGAGAGGTGAACGACCAAGGTGAGGCAGACAACCACCTTGCCACCACAATATAATCGTACATGGAAACATTTACGAAATTCTGGGCAGCGAGGGCTGTCCACCACAACTCGTTGTGTCCTTTCGTCGTCGCTTCCACGGAGGTGGCAGGAGGCGTACTGGCAACCGTCGCCGTGTCGGGGAACCCAGCAGGATGTTGCCGGGTACACTGCTCTCCCCCTGGCCTCTAATAGCGTCGACCTGACGTGCCAGCTCAGGGCCCCCAAACAGAACAATACAAATCCCCCATAAACAACATAACAGCCATTTTAGATCTTGTTTTCTGATGCCTTCTCTAGTTTCTGGTCTACGATTCTGCGGAAATCGCTGAGCAGTACACAGCCCGTGTTGCGTTCGTACCGTTGTAGAACGTAAGCAGATGCTGAATGGTCAATGTAATAAGCCCAAAAATCGCAGTTCGCGTAGTTCAGTTTATGATGTTAGAGTAATAACGCTCGTTGCGAGTATCTGGGCTATTCAAGCTGAGTGGTAGCACTAAGGCATTAAGTTAATAATAGACTTGGATTCAGAACAAAAGGGGGAAACGGACGGATCCAAGAAGCGACAGGGAGGAGGATCGGATCACCCTGCGGCCATGATCCATCCTGGAAATCCAGACGCGGGGAATCAGGAAAGCATATATCATCCTACGGTTTCAGACGGCGGAAAGCCGTTGCTACTTGAAGAGATGATGGTAGGCGACTCGCCGGTCGCCGTCTCCGAGACACCGAGAGGGGAGACGGAGGCGACCGAGAAGAACGAGAAGGATGAGAAGGATGATGAGGGGGAGGAGAAGAAGGGGAAGAAGAAGGAGAAGAAGCCAGCGGTGCCGTACTGGCAGCTCTTCTCCTACGCGGACCGCACGGACGTGGCGCTCATGGCGGTCGGCACGCTCGGCGCCGTGCTTCACGGCGCCGCGCTGCCGATCTCGTTCCTGTTCCTGGGGAAGATGGTGGACTCGTTCGGGACGAACGACCTGTCCGGCGTGAACACGGTGAGGGATGGGGGAGGGGCGTGAGGCGTTAGGCGCAAGGAGGGGATTTATGAGGACTCAAGAATGACTTGTGCTGCTGTCGTTCCTGTTCCTGGGGAAAATGGTGGACTCGTTCGGCACGAACGACCTGTCCTGTCCGGCGTGAACACGGTGAGGGGCGTGAGAGAGGGACGTGAGAGAGGGACGTGAGAGAGGGGCGTGAGAGAGGGACATGAGATAGGGACGTGAGAGAGGGGCGTGAGAGAGGGACGTGAGAGAGGGACGTGAGAGAGGGACGTGAGAGAGGGGCGTGAGAGAGGGACGTGAGAGAGGGGCGTGAGAGAGGGACGTGAGAGAGGGACGTGAGAGAGGGGCGTGATGATGGGGAGGGCGTGAGGTGAGGGCCAGGATGGGAGGGGTATGCTGTAGGAAGACGAGTACGTGTGGGTGTATCATACAGCGGCGAGTGGGCTTGTAAGGCGGACAATGTGCCTGGTTACGTTGCTTTCTTGCTTGCCTCGCTCTCTCCGTCTCTACTGTGCTAATGTTTTCACATTTTTCACTTGTGGTGTGCATGTGGTGTGTGTGCGATGTGTATATGATGTGCATGCCATGTGCATGTGATGTGCATTTGTGTGTGATGAGCATCTGATCTGATGTGCAAATGTATGTGATGTGCATGTGTGTGCATGTAACGTGCATGTATGGATGTGCATGTGGCAGTTTGTCCTCGCTATGGTCTACATCGCTTTATGCTGCTTGGTTGGCGGATGGCTAGGTAATATTCATCATTCATTCACATCAGAGTCTCAGAACCACCGCATTTTTTATACAAAGGGATCCACGTCATCATCCACGTCATCGTCCATGTCTCTCCAAAACCCGTTAACTTTTCTCACCTCAAATGCCATCTCCTCCCCTTCCCCTCTCTCCAGAGGTGGCATGCTGGATGCATACAGGCGAGCGGCAAAGTGCGCGGGTGCGCCGGCTGTACCTGCAGGCGCTGCTCGGCAGGAGGAGCAGTCTGGGCCCTTGTGTTCCACTCCTCTCCGCCACTCCCCACACCTCCCTTTCTCCTCCCCCTTTCCTCCTTCGCAGAGGTGGCGTGCTGGATGCACACGGGCGAGAGGCAGAGTGCAAGGGTGCGTTGGTTGTACCTGCAGGCACTGCTGCTTCATCCAGAGCAATGGGGGTACTCAGCCTTTCAGTCCTCTCCTGGCCTTCCCCCATCCCTTCCTCTTCCTCCCCCATGGCAGAGGTGGCGTGCTGGATGCACACGGGCGAGAGGCAGAGCGCGAGGGTGCGCCGGCTGTACCTGCAACTCACATTTCCCCCTCTTCCCATCTCCTCCTCTGTCCTCCGCTTCCCCTGCCATCCCCGCAGAGGTGGCGTGCTGGATGCACACGGGCGAGCGGCAGAGCGCGAGGGTGCGCCGGCTGTACCTGCAGGCGCTGCTGCGGCAGGAGGTGGCCTTTTTTGACCTCGAGGCGTGCTCGGGGGAGTTGGTGAACCGCGTATCATCTGATGTGCTGCTGCTGCAAGATGCCATCTCGGAGAAGGTGGGTGTGTTGGTGCTAGAGGCCCCTCAAAATATATGTCTCTGTGGCAGGAGGTGGCCTTTTTTTACCTCGAGGCGTGCTTGGGTGTGATGAGACGAGTTTTAAGTCGACTAAAAACTCGTCTCAGAATATGTGTTGCTGCGGCAGGAAGTAGCATTCTTTGACTTCGAGGCCTGCTCGGGGGAGCTCGTGAACCAGCGTGTGGCGACGTGTGGCATCGTGTGGCAGCGTGTGGCAGCGTGTGGCAGCGTGTGGCAGCGTGTGGCAGCGTGTGGCAGCGTGTGGCAGCGTGTGGCAGCGTGTGGCAGCGTGTGGCAACGTGTGGCAGCGTGTAGCAGCGTGTGGCAGCGTGTGGCAGCGTGTGGCACCGTGTGGCAGCGTGTGGCAGCGTGTGGCACCGTGTGGCACCGTGTGGCACCGTGTGGCACCGTGTGGCAGCGTGTGGCAGCGTGTGGCAGCGTGTGGCACTGTGTGGCAGCGTGTGGCACCGTGTGGCAGCGTGTGGCAGCGTGTGGCAGCATGTGGCAGGGCACCTGGCCCTACTCCACACACCTATCCTCTCTCCAATCCTTGCTTCCTTGCCCCCCAACCAGGTGGGCAACTGCATTCACTACTTCTCCACGTTCGTGTGTGGCTTCATAGTCGGCTTCACCAGCGTGTGGCAGCTGGCTCTGGTCATTCTCGCCGTGTGCCCGCTCATCATCGCCACGGGAGGGATCTATGCGGCTGTGCTCACGGGCCTCATGACTCAGGGAGAGAAGGCTTACACCGAAGCAGGGAAGATTGCTGAACAGGTACGTGTCTCAACCGACCGTCTTTTGGGTATTGGCAGGGAGGAGCAGGAAAGATCGAAGAACAGGTGCGCACAGGGCAGTCATACATGGCAGAGGACAGCAAGGAGGACAGAAGAGGAAAAGGTAGAGGGAGATGAGGAGGACAGCAAGGAGTGCTACTTGTGAGCCCCAACCATCTCCCTCATTCCTTTCATCCTTCCCCCTGTTTGTCCACCCAAACCCCCTCCCTCCACCATCACAGGCCGTGGGGCAGGTGCCCCCAGTGCAGTCATACGGGGCAGAGGACAGGACAGTGGAGGCGTATGGGCGTTCCCCCAACGAACCCCTCACCACCCCCTCTTCTCCGTTTCTTTTCCTTCCTCTCCCCATCCCCCCTCCACCACCACAGGCGGTGGGGCAGGTGGCCCCAGTGCAGTCATACGGGGCAGAGGACAGGACAGTGGAGGCGTATGGGCGTTCCCCCAACGAACCCCTCACCACCCACAACCTCCCTCACCACCCCCTCTTTACCACCCTCTCCCCTCCATCGCCCCCACCACATCAGGCGGTGGGGCAGGTGCGAACAGTGCAGTCGTACGTGGCAGAGGACAGGACAGTGGAGGCATATGGGCGGGCTTTAAGAGACACGTTCAAGCTGGGAGTCAAGGTGCGTTGATAGGTGCTTGTCCTTGCCTATCCGACCCTGGGTCTGGGTGTGCTATCTATATCCCCATGCATTGGCAACGGAGGCTCAATCCTCACCACCATGTTCGCCATCACCCTTGGCAGCCTGGGGCTTGGCAGGCCAGGGGAGGGGAACCAGGCTGGGGCTTGGCAGGCCAGGGGAGGGGAACCCACTACCACTCTCGTTTCCCTCCCTCTCCCTCTCCCGTGGCCTTCCTACCAGGGCGGATTAGCCAAGGGAGTGGGCCTAGGCGCCATCTACGGACTCATGTTCGCGTCCTTTGCGCTCATGTTCTGGTTCTCCGGCCTTCTCATCGCACAAGGCATCGGCAACGGAGGCTCAATCCTCACCACCATGTTCGCCATCGCCCTTGGCAGCCTGGGGCTCGGCCAAGCCCTCCCTAACGTCACAGCCTTTTCCAAGGGCTGTGTGGCAGCGTATAAGATCTTTGTGACTATAGCGAGACGGCCGGTGATTGGCGGGGAGGAGGAGGGGGGGAGCGGTGGGAAGGAGTTGGAGGCGGTGGAGGGGCGGGTGGAGTTTGAGAAGGTGTGCTTTGCATACCCGGCTCGGCCTGAAGTGCCGATATTTAAGGTGAGCTAGCTGCTTTTTGTCGACTGAAACACGGGTGCAGGGGCGGGTGGAGTTTGAAAGGGTGTGCTTTGCGTACCCGGCTTAACCAGAAGTGCCGATATTTAAGGTGAGCTAGCTGCTGCTTTTCACGGAGTTTTGGGACTTCTCAACACACTCACCCGGCTTGGCCTGAAGTGTCGATATTTAAGGTGGGCAAGTGATACCGTTGCCATCGTTTCAGCTTAAGGATGCATGCCGTAGGCCTCCGCAGCCCACCTGTCCGTTACTGACAGCTCTTCCACCTTAAGGATGCCGTATTTAAGACTTTTGAGGCGCCTCAACAGTGAGCAAGTGATTGCATCAATCCCTCTCCACCAGCAAGCCAACTGGCATCATCTTTTGAGAATTCTCAAAACCGGAGGGATTTGTAGGCCAGCTATATTGGAGTGACTTTGAGAATTCTCAAAAGTCACTCCACCAGCAAGCCAACTGGCATCATCTTTTGGGAAATCCTAAACACGGTCGTTTTAATCCCCTCCCTTGACCATGCCGGCATTACAGTCACCCTGGTGGGCCCATGAGGCAGCAGCAAGTGAACCGCTCTCGCCCCAGTTCCCTACCACTCATCCTTCACCTCGCTTCACCTTCTCTCTCCTCCATTCACATTCCCACTTCCCTCCCCACACTCTCAGGACTTCTCCCTCTCGATCCCTGTTGGCACCACGGTCGCCCTGGTCGGCCCATCAGGCAGCGGCAAGTCAACCGTCGTGGCGCTCATCCAGCGCTTCTACGACCCGACAGCTGGCAGCGTTTCATTGGACGGCACGGATCTGCGCCAGCTCAGCCTGACGTGGCTGCGCTCCCAGCTGGGGCTTGTCAGCCAGGAGCCGTCCCTGTTTGCTACCAGGTGAGGTGGGGTGAGGTGGAGTGCGGTGGAGTGAGGTGAGCTGATTGATGATGCAAGTGTGTGTGATGTATAGCACCCTTCACCATTCTCTCTCCCTTCTCTCCCTCTCTCTCCCCCTCCCCATCACACAGCATTCTGGAGAACATTCGGTACGGCAAGGAGGACGCGACACAGGAGGAGGTGGAGGAAGCAGCAAGGATCGCCAACGCGCATTCCTTTGTGACTGCGCTACCGCAAGGGTACAACACACAGGTGAGCAAGGGTACAACACACAGGTGAGCAAGGGTACAACACACAGGTGAGCAAGGGTACAACACACAGGTGAGCAAGGGTACAACACACAGGTGAGCAAGGGTACAACACACAGGTGAGCAAGGGTACAACACACAGGTGAGCAAGGGTACAACACACAGGTGAGCAAGGGTACAACACACAGGTGAGCAAGGGTACAACACACAGGTGAGCAAGGGTACAACACACAGGTGAGCAAGGGTACAACACACAGGTGAGCAAGGGTACAACACACAGGTGAGACGGTTTGCATTGATGCTGGTTAGGGATGGTGAACTGAGTTGATGTAAGAGGTGGAGATGCTGAACTGAGTTGATGTAAGAGGTGGAGGAACTCAGATGCCACCGCGCATTGCCAATGCCATTGCTGTGAATGCGCGTGCAGGTGGGAGAGAGGGGCGTGCAGCTGGCAGGAGGGCAGAAGCAGCGCCAGAGCAGTCACGCAAGTACCCATCCCGTTATTCTTGTCTTTGCCCCCATGCAAATCTGCAGGTGGGAGAGAGGGGCGTGTAGCTGTCAGGAGGGCAGAAGCAGCGGATTGCCATTGCTGCGACAGTGCTAATGCGTTGACCATCACACGCATCCAACACCCTCTCTTCCCTGCCCGTCCCCCATATCGATGTGCGTGCAGGTGGGAGAGAGGGGCGTGCAGCTGTCAGGAGGGCAGAAGCAGCGCATCGCCATCGCCAGAGCAGTCGTTCGCAACCCCCGCGTGCTGCTATTGGACGAGGCCACGTCAGCACTGGACAGCGAATCAGAGCGCGTGGTGCAGGCGGCTCTGGACGGTGGGCTGATGCGTGGCAGATCAACGGTTGTGATCGCACACCGGCTGTCCACGATCCGGAATGCAGACAAGATTGCTGTGGTGGCCGGGGGAAGGGTGGTGGAGGAGGGGACACACGAAGAGCTGATGGCGCATGGGGGGGCGGAGGAGTGGGGAGGGGGAGGGGAGGATGATGAGGGGAGGGGTGTGGTTAGTGCAAAGGAAGGTGCGAGGAAAGAGGGGGGCGTGTATGCTAACTTGGTTCGCCTGCAGATGGTAGCTGGGGAGGATCGCTACGTAAGCCTGAATGCTCTGGCCAATCAGGTTCCAGGATTGAAAGCAGCCGGCCGCCTTCGAATTGACGTGAACCAATCAGGATACGAGGAGGACGTGGGTAGGAAGATCTCGAGGGCGCTCTCAGCATCCTCCACGCCACGTGGGTTCAGAGATCCTGCTGCTGACGTGGGCCAATCAGGGAGCATAGAGAACGTGGGAAGTAAGCTCTCGAGGGCACTGAGTTCCCTGTCAGCAGCCTCCACTCCACGTGGCTTCAGAGAGCCTGCTGCTGACGTGGACCAATTAAGGAGCATAGAGAACGTGGGAAGGAAGATCACCAGGGCGCTTAGCTCCCTCTCAGGAGCCTCCACTCCACGTGGCTTCAGAGAGCCTGCTGCTGACGTGGACCAATCAGGGAGCATGGAGGACGTCGGAAGGAAGATCTCCAGGGCGCTGAGCTCCCTGTCAGCAGCCTCCACTCCACGTGGCTTCAGAGAACCTGCTGCTGACGTGGACTTTGACTTGGATCTAATGGGATCTGACGTGGAGGAGGAAGAGGAGGAGGGAGGAGAAGGGGGAGGAGGGAAGCGAGTGTGGGGGGAACTGAGGAAGGTTCTACCAGCTCCCCTGAGGGCGTTGCTCCCTGGCGGCAAAAAGAGAGGAGATGACAAGGGGGAAAACAGTCAGGAGGGCAAGGAGAGTGGAGAGGAGGAGGAGGGCGCGAAGGGAGAAGGAGAAGGAGAAGGGGAAGGAGAAGGGGAAGGAGAAGGAGAAGGAGTGGGGGGAAAGAAGGCGTCGTGGTGGCGACTAGCGCGTATGAGTGCTCCTGAGTGGCCCTTCACTGCTCTGGGCGCGGCTGGTGCTGTCATGGCAGGCGCGTTCAACCCCGTGTATGCGCTTCTGCTCATTGATGTGAGTGCAACTGTGGTTTGGGTGGGATTGTAACGTGAGTGTGACACTGCTGTAACGTGAGACACTGCTTTGGGTGCAGCTGGTGCTGTGATGGCAGGGGCGTTCAAGCCGGTGTATGCGCTTCTGCTCATTGATGTGAGTGGGTCTGTAGTGTGGGTTGGTGTGTGTTTGTAATGTGAGTGTGTCAGTGCCCTGGGCGCCACTGGTGAGTGTGAGTGTGATGGCAGGGGCGTTCAACCCCGTGTATGCTCTGCTGCTCATTGATGTGAGTGGGTCTCTTGAGTCGGCTCAAAATTCACCTGTTGAGTTCTCTAATTTTGAGACGTCTCAGAAGTCTATTGAGTCGGCTCAAAATTCACCTGTTGAGTGATTGCTGGTGAATTCACCTGTTGAGTGATTGCTGGTGAATTCACCTCTAAATGTCTTCTCCGCTGGTGCTGTGATTGCTGCGGCGTTCAACCCCGTGTATGCTCTGCCGTTCATTGATGTGAGTGGGATTTTATTGTGAGTGCATTGTGAGCGTGAGCGTGATTGCAACGTGAGTGGGATTGCGGTGGAGTAATCACTAGGATCCTTGTCTTTCCCTTCCCGCTACAGGATCAAAAGCGTGATTGCAACGTGAGTGGGATTGCAGTGGAGTAATCACCTTGCCTTGTCTTTCCCTTCCCGCTCTTCTGAACCACTCTCTAGGTCATATCAGCTCTGTAAGACCCACAACATAGACTATGACACGGACGATGGGGACTTACACTTCACTGCTCCTTCCTATCACATTCTGCCATCTCCACACCCCCCCCCCCATCTCGACCACTCCTCTTCCCTCCTTCAGCTGGTTGCGGCTCTCTACAACCCTGTTACCGATGAGATGAAGCGGGCCATAGTCTTCACTACTCCACCCACATTGTGCCATCCCCCTCCCATCCCCAACCGCACTGCAGGTGATAGCGGCTCTCTACAACCCTGATACCGATGAGATGAAGCGGGCCATAGTCTTCACTACTCCACCCACATTGTGCCATCCCCCTCCCATCCCCAACCGCACTGCAGGTGATAGCGGCTCTCTACAACCCTGATACCGATGAGATGAAGCGGGCCATAGTCTTCACTACTCCACCCACATTGTGCCATCCCCCTCCCATCCCCAACCGCACTGCAGGTGATAGCGGCTCTCTACAACCCTGATACCGATGAGATGAAGCGGGCCATAGTCTTCACTACTCCACCCACATTGTGCCATCCCCCTCCCATCCCCAACCGCACTGCAGGTGATAGCGGCTCTCTACAACCCTGATACCGATGAGATGAAGCGGGAGGTCAACAAGTGGGCCATAGTCTTCACGGCTCTCGGCGTGCTGGCGCTGCCAGTGCACTCGGTGCAGAACTACGGCTTTGGCGTGTCGGGAGAGGCGCTGGTGAAGCGAGTCAGAGAGAAGATGCTTGCAGGTGCGTGGGGGAACATTGCCAGGTTGGGAAAGGTACGGATTTGGTCTTCACGGCTCCAGGTGTGCTGGCCTTGCCAGTACACTCAGTGCATAAATGCGGTTTTGGGGTGGCAGGGGAAGCACTGGTGAAGCGAGTCAGAGAGAAAATGCTGGCAGGTGCGTGGGTGGTGGAAGGGTGTCAACATCTTAAGCACCTGTCCTGGAAGGGTCTGCTTTGGCGTGCTGGCCCTGCCAGTACACTCAGTGTAGAACTACGGCTTTGGTGTGTTGGGGGAAGCACTGGTGTAGCGAGTCAGAGAATATTCTCAAAGGTATGTAACATAGGAACATCACAACAGGAGGGGGAGGGGGAGGGGATTCACGGCTGAGTGTGCTGGCGCTGCCAGTGCACTCGGTGCAGAACTACGGCTTTGGCGTGTCGGGAGAAGCACTAGTGAAGCGAGTCAGAGAGAAGATGCTTGCAGGTGCGTGGGGGAACAAAGCCAGGTTGGGATCGGTATGGCTTTGGTCTTCCCTGCTCTGGGCATGCCCTGCCAGTGGCACTCCTTGCAGGATTGTAGCTCTGGGGTGGTGGGGGAAGCTGCGGTGAAGTGAGTCAGAGAGAAGACGAGAAGACGTTAACACCAGTGGAGTCATCACCAGTGGAGAAGACGAGAAGACGTTAACACCAGTGGAGTCATCACCAGTGGAGAAGACGAGAAGACGTTAACACCAGTGGAGTCATCACCAGTGGAGAAGACGAGAAGACGTTAACACCAGTGGAGTCATCACCAGTGGAGAAGACGAGAAGACGTTAACTCGTCTTGCCACCGACCCCACTCCCCCTTCTCGCCCTCCTTCCCCCCTTCCTCTCCCCCCCCCCCCCCCCCCCCCCCCATGCAGCCATCCTAGGCAATGATCGATCGGGTTCGATAGGGACGCCAACGCCAGCGGAGCTATCGCATCTCACCTTGCCAACCATGGCACTCCCTCCTTTCCTCCCTTCCTCCTCTCCTCCCTCATCCCTCCCCCCACAGCCATCCTAGGCAACGAGGTGGCATGGTTCGATCGGGACGCCAACGCCAGCGGCGCCATCGCCTCTCGTCTCGCCACAGACGCCACGCTAGTCAAAGCGGCCGTGGCGGACCGCATTGCCCTTGCCACGCAGAACCTGTCGGTGATTGTCATCGCGTTTGTCATCGGGTTCGTGGTGGAGTGGCGGGTTGCGCTCGTGGTGATTGCAACGTTCCCGCTGCTCATATTTGCGGCACTCATGGAGGTGAGCTCAGGAGAGAGAGAGGATAGCAGAACCTGTCGGTGATCGTCATCGCGTTTGTGATCGGGTTCGTGGTAGAGTGGCGGGTCGCTCTCGTGGTCATCGCGACTTTCCCTCTACTGATTTTCGCTGCGCTCATGGAGGTAAGGGGGTGGGAAGGCGGATATGCGCGCCCTGCAGCCATGCAGAACCTGTCGGTGATTGTCATCGCGTTTGTGATCGGGTTCGTGGTGGAGTGGCGGGTCGCTCTCGTGGTCATCGCGACTTTCCCTCTACTGATATTCGCTGCGCTCATGGAGGTAAGGGGGTGGGAAGGCGGATATGCGCGCCCTGCAGCCATGCAGAACCTGTCGGTGATTGTCATCGCGTTTGTGATCAGGTTCGTGGTGGAGTGGCGGGTCGCTCTCGTGGTCATCGCGACTTTCCCTCTACTGATTTTCGCTGCGCTCATGGAGGTAAGGGGGTGGGAAGGCGGATATGCGCGCCCTGCAGCCACGCAGAACCTGTTGGTGAGTGTCATCGCGTTTGTGATCGGGTTCGTGGTGGAGTGGCGCGTGGCACTGGTCGTCATCACCACGTTCCCTCTGCTGATATTTGCAGCGCTTATGGAGGTGAGGAGGGGGAGTGGGATAGCGTAGCTCTCGCCACGCAGAACCTGCATGCTCTGCAGTCACTGACAGTCATGCTCTGCAGTCACTGACAGGCATGCTCTGCAGTCACTGACAGTCTTTTGAGTGTGCAGCCATGCATGAGTCGAACCCCTTCCTCTCCACCTCTCATTCCTCCTCTCCTCCTATCACCCCTCTTCTACCCCTCCTCTTCTCGCCCCTCCCATCCACATCGCCTCCTTTCCCCCTTCCCAGCAACAATTCCTGGCAGGGTTTGCAGGCAACCAGAGCTGCAGGCAACCAGAGCTGCAGGCAACCAGAGCTCATCCCCAACATCCGCACTGTAGCACCAACAACCTCCATCTCATCTCTACCCCCCTCTTCCCCTCCCCTCCTCTCCCCCCTCGCAGCAACAATTCCTGGCAGGGTTTGCGGGCAACCAGAACTCATCGCATGCGGGCGCCACCACCATAGCAGCAGAGGCGGTAGCCAACATCCGCACTGTAGCAGCATTCAACGCACAGGACAAAATCCTCGCACTGTTCACTGCCAGGCTGGCAGGACCCCTCAGGCGCTCATTCCTTCGCGGGCAGGTTGGTGGGGCAGGTTTCGGCCTGAGCCAATTTTTCATGTATGGGTCGTATGCGTTAGCACTATGGTACGGGTCGACTTTAATTCCCAATACAGCGTCATATGGTGATGTGCTTAAGTCATTTATGGTGCTTATAATGACGTCGATGGCTATAGCTGAGAGCATTACTCTCGCTCCGGATATTGCGAAAGGAAGCGTGGCCGTTCGATCGGTCTTCAAGACCACAGATCGGACGCCCAAGATTCTTTCCGACGATCCGACGGCTGAGGTGGTTTCGACTGTTCGCGGAGAGATTGAGTTTCGATCGGTTTCTTTCGCCTACCCGACCCGCCCGGAAACGCCCGTGCTGCAAGACCTTTCTCTCCGGGCAGCGCCGGGGAAGATGCTGGCGCTGGTGGGCCCGTCGGGCAGCGGAAAAAGTTCCGTGGTGGCTCTGGTGGAGCGGTTCTACGATCCGACGGCTGGGAGTGTGCGGGTGGATGGGGAGGACATCCGGACCGTTCATCTGAAGACTCTGCGATCGTTCATCGGGCTGGTCAGCCAAGAACCCGCCCTCTTTGCTACCACGTAAGCAATGTGGTGTTTTTGAGAAATCTCGAAGCACTCTGCATTGTGGTCTCTTTCTTTTTCACCCCTCCATGGCCCCATGCCTCCATGCTCCGACATCTCCACGTCCCCCCAGCATCCACGGCAACATCCTGTACGGCCAGCCAGGCGCCAGCGAGGCAGAGGTGGTGGAAGCAGCGCGTGGTTGAGGCGCCTCACTGATACCCAGCGCGTAGTTGAGGCGCCTCACTGATACCCCGTGTCACTTTAGAGTCGACTCAAAAGTGACCTCGTTACCTTCCATGTCCCCGTGTCTCCATCTTCTCCTCCCAGCATCCGTGGCAACATCTTGTACGGTCAGCCAGGCGCCAGCGAGGCAGAGGTGGTGGAATCAGCTTGAGGAGGCATGTACTTGAGGCGGGTCTCGAATAGGCTTCATGCCTCCCGATCCTTGCATGACCCCATGTCTCCACGCCTTGTTGTGCTCCTTGCAGCATCCGCGGCAACATCCTGTATGGCCAGCCAGGCGCCAGCGAGGCCGAGGTGGTGGAAGCAGCACGAGCAGCCAACGTGCATGGGTTCATCAGCAGTCTGCCCGAGGGATACGACACGCAGGTGAAGGGGGGGGAGGAGGGAGGCGTGGGTGGGATGCTGATAGGTGCTCGTACCTGGTGTAATGGAAGAAGCCAAGACAGCCAACGTGCATGGGTTCATCAGTGGGCTGCCCGAGGGATACGACACGCAGGTGAGAAGGGGGGGGCGGTGGGGAGCTTGTTGGATGTGGCCTTACCTGGTGAGGTGGAAGCAGCACGAGCAGCCAACGTGCATGGGTTCATCAGCAGTCTGCCCGAGGGATAGGGGGTTGCTCGCTTGGTGATTTGCTCTTCATCTGTACGCGTGCCTGGTGGCGTGGTGTTAGGAGCCGAGCAGTCGGTTCAGGTTGGGTTGGGTTCGGTTGGGTTGGGTTTGTTTGGGTTGGATTGGGTTCCTCAGCGCCCGTTCCCTTCCCCCATATCAATGTGCGTGCAGGTGGGAGAGAGGGGCGTGCAGCTGTCAGGAGGGCAGAAGCAGCGCATTGCCATCGCCAGAGCCATCCTGAAAGACCCGGTGGTGCTGCTGCTGGATGAGGTACGGTGGTGATGGGTGGTGATGTGGGTGGTGATCGGTGGTGATGGGTGGAGTGCTCATAGCAGTCTTAGTGAGCTGAGCACACTCTCTGCCATCGCCAGAGCCATCCTGAAAGGCGGTGTGCCATCTCTGCCAGAGCCATCCTGAAAGACCCAGTGGTGCTGCTGCTGGTTGAGGTGCAGTGTCTATCTCATAAGTGTCCCCCCTCACTCACCTGCCTGTCACTCACTCACTCCCCAATTTCTCGCTCACTCCTTACTCATTTACTCACTCACACGTCCTTCGTCGCCTCAAATTTCTCCATCCTGCATGGCTCTCCCCTGCAGGCCACGTCAGCACTGGATGCGGAGTCTGAGGCGGCGGTCCAGTCAGCGCTGAACCGCATCATGATTGGCCGCACCACGATTGTCGTCGCGCACCGCCTCTCCACCATCTGCCACGCGGACTGCATTGCTGTGCTGCAGGTGAGTGGAGGGGGAGATGGACAAGGGAGAGGGAGTGTGTCTGTTGGGTTGAGTAACAGAGTGATGGGATGTGTGGAGGGTTGAGTGCCTGAGTGATTCTCGCCTCTCCACCATCTGCCATGCGGACTGCATTGCTGTGCTGCAGGTGAGGGAAATGCTGGGGTTGGGGATGGGGGGCGGGTGGCATGGTTGTGGAGGGCTGAGCAGCAGAGTAGCGAGGTGTGCATTGCGCCGCCTCTCCTCTCCACCATCTGCCGTGCCGACAGCATTGCTGTGCTGCAGGTGAAGGAGGAGGGAATTGGGAGGAGGGGTGTTGGCCTGCATAGCAGAGTGATGGGGTGTGTGGTGGGTTGAGTGACTGTGTGGTGGGGGGAGGGTGTGGGAGATGGGAAGGGCTTGCTGCTGTAGCTCCATGGCTCTCATTTCCCACCGACGTGGTAATGCTTACATACTGTATCTACATTGTATCATGTCTCTTAACTAAGTGCTTATTGTGTTGTAGGGTGGGAGGCTGGTGGAGCAGGGCACTCACATGGAGCTCATAAGTGTACCCAATGGTGCTTATGCCACTTTAGTGCAGTTGCAACAAAGGAATAAGGTCGCCATGTGATGCATTTCATGCAATAACTACTTCTTTGTCCGTCCATTATTAGTATCTAGTGCATTCTTGTGCAATAAATTACTCCTAGTCCACCCATGATATATCATGGGTACGAGGGTCATTGCAGTTACTGCATTGGCCCTCAATTCCTGCAATGCCCGAAACACGCAATATGCTCCAGTAATCAGTGCACCAACCCCTCCCACCCATTCCCTCTTCTCCTTCATCAGCCATTGATTTTTTTTGTTATTGTTTAGTGTGCAATTTGCCAAGGTAGGCACCTGACTAAGCAATGTCCTGCCCATTCCAGCGCAAGTGTGTGAACTAGGATTGCGGTAAACACCGTATGCACACAAATACACATGCTTGCAAGAGCATCTGCAAGTAGTAGTTGCATGTCTGCATGTCTGCAGGACATCACTACAGAACTTGTTTATAAGTAATCATGAAGTGCAGTAGTTATCTTTGCTGACTGAGAAGCTTGTACGCGTATTCAGGTCAAAAAGTGAGTTGTACCAACCACTTGCCCTGCTTCAACAGCAATCCCTTCCTTACGAGACCAGACAAGACGACGAGCCGACTCGATCCACACCACACATACTCGATTGGATGAACCTGGCAAGTCGTCATTGGTGCACAGAGGTGATCATTTATTGGAGCGTTTAGAGCCAAGTGTCGATTGGCTGCTTGGTTGCAGCATTCGCGACGAAAACGCGGGCTCGAATGAAGAGGCTTCGTGTACTGCTTCGGAGAGTTTGCACTTGGTTTTACTGTGGACTACACTGAACATCTCTTTGGAAACAAAGCCACAGCTTCTGGGCAGGAAAGATCAATAGTTGAGGCGGCTCAATCGTCGGAAGCCCATGCCAAAACGCTTTGTTTTGTATCACGTGTAAGGTTGTCAAGTTTTGGAGGAAAAACAGGCTTGGCTACCCAAACATCATCACATGTCGAAGAACTGCAAGCCTTTTTGAAGCTCTGAATGCAGTGTGTCGACTGATAAGGAGGAGCCAGAAAATGGATATTTTTGAAAAGGGCATCAGGTGTATGCAGTACACATTACAGATCTAGAAATGGTTGCCAGAAGCGGTCCAAAAGAATATTTTGCTGTATGTTCCGAAATCGTGAAGCTCCTACAGCCCAGTCCGAATGCAAAAGTGGGAGGGTGCAGGATATTTTTGTGCACACCATCTCCCGTAATTACTACGGCCATATCGTGATTCCACCGAGTGTGAACGAGGATTGTATTGTTGTTCCAGGATTATCAGGCAGTAACCTGTCCAGGGTGGTTATGCAACCAGAAATCCATTTTCGACCACAGTATCCTAGTGGTTTGTTGGCAACGCCACATCAACGTCAAGAATACAGCACACATGTGTAGAGCAAGGCCGTCACATGTGACGACGCGCGATTGGACATGACCCAGCTGTCACCCGAGCCGACCTGGAAACAAGTGCGTCCCCTCGTCGCTCACGCGCGAGTTCGCCACCCCTCGGCTGCAACGTGGGGGGCCGGGGCGGGGGGCGTTGGCAGAGCCCCGCCCCGCGCCAGCCTGGCGGGGGACTCATGCGAGGGAGCTGGCCGCCCTGACGCTCGGTCGACCGTCACCCCCCTGCGTCGTCCCAGGCAAAAGGGGTGCGTCACCCTCAATTCCGATGAGCGATTCAGTGGCTTGATCACGGACACTCCCTCCCATTTCTCACTTCGTCTGGCGCCTTCCTTCGATCAACGTGCTCCTGCTATGCACCTACTGTACGATTCACTTCGAGAGTGGCTTTTTGACACATCTCAGAACGGTTGTATCTGGTGCCTACGTTTCCAGAACGGCACAGTCTGGTAACTGCTTCTCGCTAGTGGAGACTTTTGTGCACGACTGAATTGCAGTACTGTTGACATCCCAACCGATTTCATTCCAAGGTCGGAGGGGTCACTTCGCCATGTTGTAACCAGGTTAACCGTTAAAAAAAAAACCTACGCCGTTTCAAACCGCTTTGTAGGAGTGTTGCTCAGAACAAACTGAATTTCGACCTTCCGTCACAGCCTTGGGGCGCTAAAACAAATAAGACATGATTCCCATTCCCCATAACCATTTATCATCTTTCAGGCCGCCGAATTGGTCACTCTGATCTTCTCTCGCGACGTTGCACAAAGCGCTCTTCTTGTGGTGAGTGCACGACGCGCTTAAAAAGTATACGCGCTGCGATCATGAGCTCCGCCATGGTGAACCATGCGTCTGGGAACCGCGGCCTGCTACTTAACAGAGGCTATTCGCAGAAGGAAGCAAAGGCTCGTAACTGGGAAGGTGAGCACAGCACGACTTGAATCTTCTCGCAGATGACACGTTCTCCGTTTCGTGTTGTGTGCAATGTAGCTTTCTTCAGCATTATTTTTATTTCTCGAAGAGTTTTGGGCGTTCTGACAAGGATTCGAGCAACTTGACAGCTCATGTAACATTATCCGATTGACGTGGTGGATCAGCGTTGTGGTAAAGGCTAACAGCAATGGCATGCTCCCCTCGCAGATCTTGAAAAGAGATGCCAAGCCATGGACTCCTCCAATGCAAGAATCGACGGCATAGATCTCACGTCGCTCCTCGAAGATCTGGAAATCGACGGCGCCGCCGGCAGCGACGATGTTGCAAGCGCAGACGGCGATTTCGCGGGCGGCGGTAGCAACGGTCCCAGAAACGTCACCGCATTCATGTCCCGCGCAGCGACCGTGTCGAATCCAGCTTCAGTGGTCACTATCACTTCAGTGACTTACTCTCCATCATACGTCGACGGCGACGAAGATTCTCCTCATTTCAACACTCCGACTGGAGGCAACTCGAAGCCTCGACGACGGAGTTTCACGCTGGACCGTCACAATAAACGTGGTAGTGCAACCAGTGACGCGGCCGCAGCCGCCGCAGCAGCATCGGCCGCGGCAGCATCATCGGCCGCGGCAGCATCATCGGCCGCGGCAGCATCATCGGCCGCCGAAGCATCATCTTCGTCGCCCACAGCCAGGAATGCAGCTGCCTCGTCGGCGGCTCGAAGCGTCTTTTCGTACCATTCCCCGCTTCACGCGGCGGGCGGAGCAGCGCGAAACAGCACTCCTCCGACCTCGGGATTTGTCGGCAGAACCATGGGGAGTCCGTCCCCGTCTCTCGTCCAACCGCATCTGCTGCATTCTTCGAAAAGCGTTTCGGAAAATCCCCACAATCAACCCATGCAGATGCATTCATCGCAAAGCGACTCCGCGGTGGCGTCGTCTGGACGGAGTAAATACGGCATGCAGAGTGGTGGGAGCTTGTTCGGCTCCACATGCAGTGACGGAAGTTCAGGCATTGCGACTCCTGCGAATGCTGCGACTGTTGCGAATGTTGGTGCTTTTCCAGCGCAGAGATTTGTCTCAGGAATGGTGTTTTCGAGTCCAATCCACGTGAATCACCAGGATTCTTCTTCGGACGCGTTTAACTCAGCTGGAACCGCCACGTCTGGATCGTCGCTTGAAGAATCATCTGTATACCCTGGGTCGTCGCATGGATCATCTCCTGTAGTGTCATCCAGATCCCTGCCTGGTGCGTCCCCCCCAGGCTCCGCAGATCCCGCCACCTTGATTCCTCGCCATGCCAGCTTGACTGCACTCTCCACTTCCTCTGCTGCTTCCTCGGCAGCAGCTCGTCACGTCCGGAGCAACACGGGCAGCCCGAAAACAATTTTCAGATACGTGTTACTACCCGGGCAGACGCCGCCAGGTTCTATCAGTCAGATCGAGAAGACCGGGCAGGAGGCGAGCAGCACGATGGGCAACGGTATGAAGGGCATCGGGGAAGGGGCGGTGGTGGTGCAGGAGAAAGAAAGGCCTGAAAAGGCTTTCTTAAGTGAAAGCGGAAGTGGATTTGCTTGGGCATCTGTCAATGCTCCGGCTGAAGCAGCGCAAACGAAACTGAGGGTGAGAGCGGGAGCTAGTCCTGCTGCTGTTGAGGCTTATCTGAATATGAAAGCCCGGCGAGCAGGACGAAGATAGGGGGAGTCCTCGAGCTGAGCTCACACGCACACACACTCCCTGGAGTTAGCGATGCAATGCAAAGCTTTGCATGGGGTGTAAGAGAACCATTTAGCCCTCCTGTAATAAATACTGTAATGAACCATGCTAGGGTGGTTGGTTAGTCAGGTTGCTATCTGTTGGTGGTATGGTATGGCAAGCAATCCCGAGTTGATTGACGGCTGTAAGGAATTTTCCCGAATTCCTTATTGGGGTTAACTGCTTCGCGTACAACCCGATTTTCGGAGTTTGCACGCTCGGTCGATTTCAACGCTGCCGAGGCTCCTCGCACCGCCTTCGGCATTTCCATCGCCAATCCTGCACCCAACCTCGTTCGTCCGAGGTTTCCTCCTAGCTAGGCTAGCCCTACATTAGTCTGTGCTTTCATTGTATTCTCAGTTGATCAATCTCAGTCTCGTCATTCGTTTACCTGCTCCCTTTTACAACTCATAACACCTGGTATCAGAGCTAGTTTCCTAGTTCACCCCGCTTTTCCGAGGGTAGTTTGGTGGCATAGAGTGTGGCTGGTTTAGTGACTACACGACGGTTGGCTGCAGGGATTGTTGATTCAATCCTGCCCGACTCCGATAGTTTGTGTTTTCACTTGCCTGAAGGCCACGGAGACCCAACTGCCCACCAGACGTAGCGCTAGGCACATGGATCAAGAGGCGGTTAAAAGGATGATGGCGCAAGTGGCAGAAATGCAGGAGAGCATGAGGAGATT